TGCAGCGAGCACGCATGACGTGAGCACATTGCACGGTGTGTGCGCATGGTGTGGGCATGCCCTTGGCTGAGGTCCTGGTCTTACAAAGGAGCTCATCTGACCCGTTCGCATGCTCCTCACCCTCCCTGAGTGCAGGACCCCAAGAATTGGAGGGGACTCAGCTCATTTTCCCCAATTAACCCCCCACAACTCATAACACTCTGTGGGTTTCCGTGTGTTGGTGAACTAGATGGAGCAATGGTTTGGCTCACCATAAACAGAGCTTGGCCGGCCATCTGCCATGCCTTCAGTGTAATTCCTGCATTGCAGAGGGTCAGACTAGATGACCCTAGGTTGTCCCTTCCGATTCTACTATTCGGTGATTCCATAAGGTTGTTTTCTGGGCCCACTGGGCCACTGCGATTTGCAGGCCGAAAGCAAGAGGCATGATCAGTGCCATTGCCTGGGCCAGTCACACACACACTCCTGGATTGCCCACCGATTTTTGCCCGCTGAACCATGCCAGCCAAACTGGGGAGAGGCCTGCTTGTGAGTCAGGGGATCACCCGCTCTCTTTGCTCAGGGCGAGGCCAACGCCAGGGTCCCTCCCACCAACTCCCACCGTGAGCCAGGCCTGTTTTCTCCCAGGCCTCCTTCCACAAAGGACAAGTCGCCGTCCAAGCGGCTCATGTCCCTCACTGCCCCCTTCCACCACCTGGGGGGCTAGAAAGCTGCTGCACCCCCCTCCAGTTCCTGAGCAAGGCATGCGGCTTGGCAGCCTCAGCTGCAGTCAGGCGGGGGACTGTGTATTTGTGTGCTTGCACAAAGCAGGAGGGGGTGTCTGGCAGCGCGCGGCTCCCCGTCGTCGGCAGGGGCTGGCAGCAAGTGGGTGGCGGAAGCTGGTGGCACAGACATCACAGATGAAGGGTGCCAAGGCACCCTCCCCAGGGACGCAGCGCCATCACTGTCTGGGTCTCTGATGCTGCCAGCAAGGCTGCATGGCGTCCCTGGAAGACCTTTCCCTTTCGAACCCATCTCCTGTCTACCAGGATACCTCTGCCCTTAACCTAAAGGACCCCTGACCGTTAGGTCCAGTCGTGACCGACTCTGGAGTTGCGGCGCTCATCTTGTTTTATTGGCTGAGGGAGCCGGCGTACAGCTTCCGGATCATGTGGCCAGCATGACTAAGCCGCTTCTGGCGAACTAGAGCAGCGCACGGAAACGCCGTTTACCTTCCCGCCGGAGTGGTACCTATTTATCTACTTGCACTTTGAGGTGCTTACGAACTGCTAGGTTGGCAGGAGCAGGGACCGAGCAACGGGAGCTCACCCCGTAATGGGGATTCGAACCGCCGACCTTCTGATCGGCAAGTCTAGGCTCTGTGGTTTAACCCACAGCGCCACCCGCGTCCCTGCCCTTAACCTAGATATGACCAAAAGAAAGGCACTCTGTGCATGCCCAGAGGTCTTGATCACTTGTTCCAAGGCTTAGCTTTGGCACCGAGAACACCCTGAGGAGTGTTCCCTTTTGCTGTCCTGCAGAGAAAATGGGGAGTCTCGAATGACGGACAGGCATCACCAGTGCCGCCCCCCTTCCTGGAAGAAGTTCTAGGGTTGTGGGGAAGTGGTGAGGTGGGCATCCTTTGCCCTCCCCTGCCTCCCACAACACAGGAACTGGGTTCAGAGGATGAGGAGGCCTCCTCTTTCCTCCTGACCCCAAAGGCGGAGGGGCAGGGAGAGGAGAAGGAGCCCCTTCACATTCAGTTGGGGCTCAGAGGGGGCAGAAGCAGGTTTGGGAAAGGAGCCCTGCCCCCTGCTTTGCCCATGAATGGCGCTTCCACGAGACAGAGGGAGGTCGCTACCTTGGGAGGCAGAAATTGCCTAGGAATGTCGGCCACGGGGTCTGCTAGCCTAGATTCAGCTCCCAGTCCTGTCAGATTTTTTGCACAGAAGTGGGGGGGGGCACCATCTTGTCCTTTGGCTCGGGCTGCTCCAGGGACAGAGGAGAAGGACTCAAGGTGCCCCATGCCTCAAGCGCCCCACTTGTGGGATGCCCCAGGGAGGCTCAACTGCCGCCTGCCTTATACACCTTTAGGCACCAGGTGAAACACGTTCCTCTTCATTCAGGGCTTGGGCTGATTCACATCAGATGCTCTTTACAATGTGTTCTTGGAGGGGCAGGGGCGTAGCCCCGTCGCTCGGTCCCTGCTCCTGCCAACCTAGCATTTCGAAAGCACGTCAAAGTGAAGTAGATCAATAGGCACTGCTCCGGCGGGAAGGTAAACGGTGTTTCCGTGCGCTGCTCTGGTTCACCAGAAGTGGCTTAGTCATGCTGGCCACATGACCCGGAACCTGTACGCCGGCTCCCTCGGCCAGTAAAGCGAGATGAGCGCCGCAACCCCAGAGTCGGTCACGACTGGACCTAACGGTCCGGGGTCCCTTTACCCTTTACCTTACTCTGGGCACACTGGCTAAAGATTCTAGAAAAGGCCTCTCCTCCCTGCCCAATCCTCTTTTAAAGCCATCTAGATTGTTGGCCATTCTCGCCTCCTGCAGGAGAGTTCCATAGTTTAGCCATGTGTTACATGCAGAAGAACTGATGGCCATTCACTTCCATGGCTCCTGGGCCCACTGCTCAATGGTGCTTAGGAAGCGAGGGCTGCCAGTGACTCCCCAGTGTTTTGGTCCCCCTGAGAGAAGCCAGACTCCTTGTCCCTCGCTGGGTTCTGGCAGTTCTGCCACTTCCTGCTGCCTGCCCAGGCTGTTCTGGGAACATGGAAACTGCGTCAGCTGACTCCTGGCGGCACAGCCAGTCTCTGCGCCGAAACAGCAGACGGTGCTTCTGCCGCCCTGCCGGCGTCTTTGCCGACGTCCCAGATGGCACCGCTCTGGGGGCCGATCAGGGCCACGTGCCCATCAGGGAGAGGGTGCCAAGCAAACCAAAGGCCCAGCCAGGCCACAAACGGCTGGAGAAAGAGAGAGACACTCCTCAAGGAAAGGAGAGCACTAGCCATGGATGGGATGAGCCATAGGGAGGGCACACACTCTTCATAGGACCATAGAATTGTAGGAAGGGGCCTCAGGGGTCATCTAGCCCAACCCGCTGCAATGCAGGAAGCGCAGCCAAAGAAAGGAAACTCAGGTCTCTCAGCCTATACATCGCAAGCTCGCACCCTTTTGCTCTGGATGAATCCATCGGCGGCAGCAGGCACCACCCCTGGCCACGGGCTTACAGTCCCAAGCACAACCCAATGAGAGGCAGCGTGGTGCAGGGGTTAGAGTGCCTGACTCGGACCTGAACGACCAGGGTTCAGATCGTCACTTAGCCACAGGGTAGCCTTGGTGGCTGGTCCCTGCCTCTCAGCCTAACCTTCCTCACAGGGTTGTGAGGATTGTACGAGGAGGGGGAGAACGATTTGGGCCACCTTGAGCTCCTCGCAGGAAAGGTGGGAATGAAATGCAATAAATAAACAAATCTGAGACCCCAACAGAAGTCTGGATCAGGACTCAGGGGAAAGGGGGAGGGAAAGAACACCGCCCCGCCCCAAAGGACAGCTCAGCCGCGCATTGGGCTTAGGAGCAAGTTCTGGCACGAGCATCCTTAACGGGAGAGGGATGTGGTGTTGGAAAAGGAAATGGGTCGGGCTGGGGTCAAAGATGGGATGGGTGTTAATAAGAGGGTATTCCAAGCACAGGGTTTGGAGAGCACATGCCAGTCAGGTCAGGGAAGCAGAGACCCCCATAGAGGAAAGTGCACGTGTCCCATCGGGACCATCTGGGAGCCCTGCCAGCCTCTGAGCGATGGGAGAGCGCCCCCTGCCGCGTGGCTGGAGAATCGCTGCCCAGGAACGCGGCCCCTTTGCGCACCGGGGAGTGGGGAGGGGGAGGCCTTGGGGACCCTCCCTAGCCTTCACTCTTAAAGATGCATGGACCCTGGCCTCTTCTGCCCCACACAACCATTGCGCACAGCGGTAGCAAGGAGAAGCAGCCATCTGGCCCCTGGACTGGACTCTTGAACCTTGTGAACTTGGGCAGAACTTGCTTCCAAGTGAGCGTGCATAGAGTCTCACGCTGTTAGGAAAGTTTGCAGCAGTGTAGATTCACACACCCAGCGTGTTTAGTGACCAACTGACCAGAGAAAAACCCTGTGCTTTCAGCAGCAGCTTCATCCCCAGCAATCAGCAGATGAAGATTTTAGCTTAGAGAAAAAGCGAGCAAGCGGCGGCATGACAGAAGCCTTCAGGATTAGGCGTTGCATGGAGAAAGCAGGCGCAGAAAAGTTCCCATAGCACTAGAAGTTCGTGGACATCCAGGCAAGCCGATTGCTGGAAGATTCAGGACGGAGAAAAGAAAGTCCTTCACGCAGTGCAGAGTTAAACTGCGGAACTCCCTCCCACAAGACTCGGCTGACTTTAAAAGAGGACTAGATGAATTTATGGAAGAGGATAAGGCTTCCCGTGGCCGCCAGCCAGGATGGCTATTTACCCCTCCACTGTCAGAGGCAGTTATGTCTCTGAAGGTCAGTCATTTTGCTGGAAGCCACCCAGCCAGATGGCGGGGTATAAATTATAAATTTATCATCATCATTGGGGATCTCAGGCTAGGCTCTTCGGTTCCCCCAGGCCAGTGCGGATAGGATGAAGCGCCAAAGTACGCAACTTGGGTGAGGGTCGCAGGCTGCAGCCGTGCGCCAAGTTCCTTTGGAATGTGGCCAATTGAATTCAACGGGCTTTTTACCTTTGAGTAAACATGCACAGGATCGGGCCCACAATAGGTTACCAAAGGGCCCAACTTTTTTTGCGGTTTCCCTTCCGGGCGTCCTCAGCTGCAACCCAGAAGGCAGCTGAGATCCCTTTTGCAGAAGCGGCGCGTCCCTTTCCCAGCCTCCCTCAACACCTGAATCCCATTCTGGTTGTGAGCCGGAGCAGGCTCGGCGGCCCAGCTGCGCGTGCTTAAGCCCCATCCTCAGCCTCTCCCTCCCTCGCGCAGCCAGAAACCCCTGCCCACATTTAACGGGCCAGAATGGATCCCCCGGCGGGTGTGGAGGAGCAGGCGCGCGCCTTGCAGCCCACCCTCCGCCTGCTGGTGGGCTTGCTCATCCCCTGCCTTCTTCTCCTCTTCCTCCTGAACCTCCTGCTCTTGCTGGGCTGGAGACCCACCTGCCGAAGGGTGGGGAGGCGGGAGCTCGGCCAGGCCCCCCCGGCTTCCCCCCGGCTCTTCCAGGTGGTCTCGGGCAGCGCTGTGCTGAGGCAGGATGGCAACGGCAGGGTCGTCCTGCAGCAGCTCCTGCAGCCAGCCGAGGGTCCCGGGGCCCCCCGTGCCTTCCCGCTCCCCTTGTCCTGCAGCGGTGGGGCGGCTGCATCCTCGGGGTCTCGGTCTAGGGGGACGCCCAGGCCCCATCGCAGCAGCCAAGCTCCGCTGAGGGGCCACCCGGGGAATGGGGCGTCCCGGGGCACCGTTTCCTCCTCCAGTGACCAGGACAAGCAGCCCATCTTGGTGCCCCCCAACACGCCCGAGAGTGGCTCAGGGACTGGGGTAAGTAAGCGGTTGAGCTAATGGGGGGGGGGCGAGTGGCAAACATTGCTTGGGGGCTGCTGTTCTTCCTCTCTCCCCGAGGAAGGTGTTTTATGCTGAGTCTTGACCATTTTATCTTTTGTAAACTGCTTGGAGAGTTTTTTCTTTTTTTATTAAGTTTTACAAGTATTGTTTTACAAGTATTTTTGGACGCGTGTGGCGCTGTGGGTCCTAGGACTTGCCGATCAGAAGTTTGGCGGTTTGAATCCCTGCCATGGGGTGAGCTCCCGTGGCTCGGTCCCTGCTCCTGCCAACCTAGCAGTTCGAAAGCACATCAAAGTGCAAGTAGATAAACAGGTACCGCTCCGGCGGGAAGGTAAACGGTGTTTCCGTGCGCTGCTCTGGTTCGCCAGAAGCGGCTCAGTCCTGCTGGCCACATGACCCGGAAGCTGTACGCCGGTTCCCTCGGCCAATAAAGCACGATGAGCACCACAACCCCAGAGTCGGCCACGACTGGACCTAATGGTCAGGGGTTCCTTTACCTTTACCTTTTACAAGTATTATTTACATTCAAATACAATCAATTTTTATGCATACATAGGATCCCCTGAATCCTTGGACTTCCTCCACCCCTCTGTGGGTTCCATTGTAAATCTTTATCTGCTTTATCTTATAATGTTACCCAAATTTTCTTCAAATTTCCGATTTTAACCATAGAATTGTTACAAGTTTTATGACAATCCTGCTAACGTTTTTAAATATTCACAATGTTCTTGAAGATAACCTATAATTCCCCCCCCCCCTTCTTTGTTAAATTTCTTATCTTCTTGGTTTCTGATCCTCCCGGTCAATTTTGCCATTTTGATTATCCATTCTTCTCTGGTTAGGAGTTTATCTTCCTTCCATCTCTGGGCAAAAAGCATCATCACAGCTGTCGTCGCATCCATGAATAGTCTTTTCTGCTCCTTTGGTATCTCTTCACCTATAATTCCTAATAAAAAAGCTTCTGGGTTTTTCACAAAAGTTATCTTAAACATTTTTTTCAACTCATTTTATATCATTTCCCAGAATTCTCTTGTTATCTTGCACATCCACCACATATGGTAGAAAGTGCCTTCTTTCTCTTTGCATTTCCAACATGTATTTGTAGCAGTTCTATACATTTTTGCTAACCTAGTAGGGGTTAAATACCATGAAGAGTTTATTTCTTTTACAATTGAGGGCTGTGTAGATTTTAGGAAATGAATATAAACTGGGTCCATCTACAGCATTATTCCAGCAGCGCTCTCTCTCTCTCTCTCTCTCTCTCTCTCTCTCTCTCTCTCTCTCTCTCTCTTTTCCCTGCCTGGACATGCTGTCGAGATGCCCTGCATGAGAATTGTATGCTCTTCCAGGGAGCGATGCTCTTTCCCTTTAAAACAAAGCAAGATTCTAGCCGGGCAGCAGGGCTTTGCATCAGCACCTCCTTTCAGCAGAAGCTGGGGCAAAGCTCCACCAACCACATTGCCAGGAATGGGAGGAGATCTCCCCATCAGCCTAGCTTTTGGCAGAACGCCACCCCTCTCACCAACTTGGCAGGAGGTGGGGCATTCTGCAGAACTTTGCCACCTGTCCCTATCTGCCCCTAGAAGTTGGAGAGCCCAGTGGTGGAGCTGAGTGGCAGAACAGGTGGACTGCTGCTTGAGGAGAGCCGTCTGAGGAGGCTGCCTCACCCAACATGTGAGTTGCCCCAAGCTCAGACCACATGGCTCTCACCAGCCTCTCTTGAGTTCCTTTACCAATAATTTAGGACTTTCAACTCTGTAACGAAACCAAGTTTTACTGCCTGGAAACCCCCAACCCCCCTCCCCATGGAATGCTACATGGAAAAGCACATGAATCTGAGAGTTTGTAAGTAAACCATTTTTTAACTTCTCAGATGTGCAGTCTTTTTCTACGCTAGAGGAAGAGGGGAACTTTGGAAGGAACTTAGGGAATATTTCAAAGGTCTAATATAGGCTATTTCCATGCTTTTCTTTGCTGCATAATTTGTGGTTTTAAATCTCTGTTGGGGGTTCTCCCACCACAGAGTACTTGCCCCAAACCTGGATCTTGGCATCCAGTAATTCTCCTCTTATACCTGTTTTGTTCCCCTTGCCACTAACAGTTTCCCATTTCTAGAAGCTCACAGAGCTCTCCTCCAGCACTGGACTTGCCCTCTTGGAGTCTAGTGGCCTTGCTTGTGTAGGCTTTATGGCATAATGGTAACTATAGGGCAAGGCACAAAATGGACCCTCTGTCTTCTCCAGAGAAGATGGAGTCAGGCCTGGGTTTATCTAGCACAGTACTGTCTACACGGATGGCAGCTGCTCTCCAGGGCTTCAGACGAGGGTCTTTCTGCATGCAAGGCAGATTCCCGATCACTGAGCTGAACTCTTCATTTGGAATCACTCTGTTTGGCTTTCAGGGTATCCCAGATAGCACATTCAGCCGCTGCCACACCAGCACCCAGAACAAGGCTTGCCGCAGTAGCAGGTCAGCGTCTGCCACCCACCCACAAGCGGTGCCTTTTGAGCACGGCAGCAGCATCCGATGTGAGGACCAGAGGGCGCAGCTCAACTCTGCAAACTTCACAGCCTCTCAAGGACCAGGCCTGGACTCGGACTTTGGCGCCAGTGCCGGTGAGTGAGTGCCGACACCTCAGGCCTGGGAGGGGGGGCTGCTTTTTACAGACTGCCCAGTGGGGGTTAGATTCTGTTGTGTTCAGCCCTGGGCACCTTGGGTGAAAGAAGGTGGCTGGTGGTGAGCAGGAAAGGAATTTGAGGGGAGGATAAAACTCTCGTCCCAGGAGAGCCAGCTGCAGGAAATAGGGTGAATATTGCCCAGGGAAGGGCAAAGTTGTTCCCCCTCCAACAAAGACAGGGCAAGAAATAAGTACATAAGATGAGTTGCTGGATCAGGCCAGAGAAACCCCATGAGCTGAACCCAAACACAAGAGCCCTCTCCTCGCCTGTGGTCCCAGCAGCTGATATTCAGAGGCATCCTCTAGTCTGAGTTCAATGGACTGAGCTTGGGGTGACCCTGCTGCCGTGGGAATGTTGTGGATAGTAGGAGAGGATATATTGATTAAATATTATCCTTCCTCACTCATGCTAGTGAGCTAGTAGCAGAGCACATTCCCTTGTACATAGCAGGAAGCTAGCTGGTAGATTCGTTTGAATCGCTGGAGTTAAGCAATTCAGTCTGACTTGTCCAGATTGGATTGTTCCTGGTAAATTCCCCTTTATTCCCTCTTAAAACAACGACTTCTTGAAAAGCAATGATAAGAAGTTTACTTACATTCAGTTCACAGTATGATCCTGAAGGCAGGCTTTAGCTTTTAGCTGCAGAAGAGAGTGTGAGTTTATCCCATATGGGGATTGAGCCCATGTGCTGCTGGCTGAGAGCCAGCAGACAGCAAAAGAACATCAAGAGAACAGTATCAAGAGAAGAAATGGCATCAAGAGCAACAAGAGAAAGATGGCTGCGTGCCTGGCCCTTTTATGGGGTCTCCCAGGGTCACGCTCATCTAACTGGTCACACGCAGGGGGAGGATGCGCCAGACAGGTGTGACAGGAAGTCCTCCTGGCTGGAGTAACATCCCCATGTGTCCACTCTGGGCAAACAGGAAATGCTGTACTTGACTGCTACTGTGGTATTACAGGTGCTGGGCAGGATGTTAAGCCTTGCCATCACTTCCTTGAGCAGCTGACTGATGCCCAGTTTCCAATAGCTTCTTTTCCAGCTTTGGCGTTCCCAGTTGATTCAGCTCCCACGTCCCTCCCTCCCATGTCCTGTTCAATCCTCTTATTCTTCCTGGTCATCTTCCTCCCAGGCACCATTTTTTATTTCGAGATCAGTAGGCACAGATCCTTGCTGGTGTGTAATGGCAGGATAAAATGCTTCAAGCCAGGCCCGTGGCCCTCTGCTGGGGCTGCCTTCCAGCATATTGGAAGACTTGGTTCCTGTCGAATAATGTTGGGCTCATGAAGCACACAGATCATCTCTTGCTGCTCTCCTTTCCATCAAGTGGATGCATCCTGGGCACTTTCAGGAAACTTGCCCTGCTGCTCTTAAAGGAGAATTGGGGCTAGGGACCAGCACTCAACCCATTAAATATTTCTGGGTGGGGAGAGAGTTCAGGATAGGGAGATAGGGGCCCCACCCCCTCCATTGTTTCCACCTCCAACATTCAATGGCTCAAAAGCACTCAACCATAACATGGAATGATTCACGGAATATGGCCAGCTTCCAGTTCCTGGAGTGTCTAAGTTTAGGCCCCTTTTCTTCCTCTCCCAGAATCAAAGCGAGAATTGCCCACATAAAGCAATTGGAAAATCCAGGAATTTGAGCAAAGCTGTGATTTGGCAGCATGATGTCATTTTCTCTCTTCAGAATTCTCCCCCCTCCCAAGCAGCAAAGACAGGCACTCGTCTCTTTGGCATTCAGTGTGAAACTGGAAGCGGGATCTGTTAGGTTCTTTTAGAGGACAATCCATCCCAGGCGACATTGTCCCCCCTCATTGCTAAGTCCTCATTGGCATGGCGGGGGGGGGAGAGAGCACCCTGAAAGTTTCTCTGTTTTTTTTTGTCCTGCAAACCTTGGGAGTCCCCCCCCCCCCCACAAAAGCCTGCGGATGCTTTTCTCCTGTGTAGGAATTGGCCTGTTTTGGCTACATAAGGACCCACGACAATTGGGGAACAAAGCAGCCATAATGGTAGCTAAATTAGCAGGGTTGCTGGCATGTTTGGCTAGTATCCGAGTGGCTTCTTCTCCCCTCCCACCTGTCTTTTGCAGGTGTCTCTGTGAGGATCTTGTCAGATTGCGAAGCAAGTCCAGGAACACCCCTGTTGGGTCGGCTGTTTGAGTGGGACTATTATGACCCCACCTACAAGAAAGAAGACCAGCTCAGTCGGCAGCTGCCTCCCATTCACAGCAAGCAATACTGGCTCTAGCCCAGGGCAGTGGCAGCGGGTGGGTTGTGGGCCAGTGGCTCTCATACACACCCAGCCCTTTCCACAGAAATGCCTGCCCAAGTTTTTAACTTAATTTATTTTGTGTGTGTGTTTATTTATTTATTTATTGTGTATTTTATCTGTTAAGCACTGGCTGCTAAAAGAAAATTCTTGTCTTAATGTCAAATTCAGAATGAGATTTGCACATCTCCTTGATGCACACTTGATTTGCACTCTCCCTCAAAGCCCTGCATTTCTCTGCACAAACGCAGCCACAAATGCATGGCTGCCCACCCCGTCAATTGCTAATCCCTTCACACAAAGGGACACTTGCGCTAGCATGGAAACAAAAAGGATTTAAGGGGAATTGGGACACATTTTACAGGGAGGGTCCATCTGAGCAGGTCTTGGATGGCAGGAACTCTCAATGGGAATTGGTGGCAGGGACTTGCATTAAGGAGAACACAGATACTCCTGGCACTATTTTTTGCACAGGCCTGTCTTGTGCCTGGGTGGGTGGGTGGGTGGGAGGGAGAAAGGAAGCCCTCTGGGGAATCTGCCTCCCTCGCTGTATCATGTAGTACCAGACTTGTGTTCTATCAACTTGTGTTTTATTAAAGAAGATGCTGGAGCTTTTATTCTCTGCTCAGCTGCTTTTTGAAGAATCAAGGAATTGTAGAGTTGGAAGGGACCCCAAAGGGGCATCTAGTCCAATCCCCTGCAATGCGTGTAGGCAGGAGCGCCCCAGCATGTTACTCATTTTACCCAAAGGCTCTTGGTCTTACCTGGAAAGAGAGTGTGGAATGGGCCCCCCAGAGAAAGCACATTAATTCATCAATTAGAAAATCCTCAGTTAGCTTTTCTCTCCTGCCCCTGCCCACTTTTCGTTCACACACTAAGCTTTTGTAGCCTGGAAAAGAGCTTGAAAGTATCTGATGGAGTCTCTCAAGCAGGGGTGAGAAGCAAGACTTTGGGCAAGACTTTTGGAAAGCAGAGGGCTGTTCCCTCCAGGCTGAGCAGCAGAAACTGGGATGCAGGTTAAGAGGAAAAACCGAAGCGTGCATCCTTATACATTAAGGGGGCAGTCCCTGACCTTTCCTGCTGATTTCTAAGTGCTGAGGTTACAGAACAACCAAGTTGCCATGGTCTAGAGAAGATCTGAAGTGCTGAAATGTGGTAGCTTCATTTAAGAACACCCTTGAGGCAGGTTCTGAGTAAATTTTATTAACATTATTTCTCTGTGCTTGAAATTTTGTTTTTGCTTGTTTTGGAACCATTGAGAATTGAGTTAGGTCAGCACAAATGAGGTAAAACAGGTGCTTGCTTGAGCCCTAATCCTACTCACAATAGATAAAATGTTCTAGCAGCCAGGTTTCCTGTGTAATTCCAGAAAACAAATGGCTCTTTCCTTTTGCTCTTGGGGAGAGCTTCCATGCAAACCACTAGCCCACAAGGCTAAAGATCTCCAACTTCAGTTTCCCTTTGAATAGCTCCTCAGTTCCATGGAGTGAAAAGGGGTGGAAGCGCAGGACAAAAATAGCATTGGCTGAGCCAATTAAGGGAGTGTTAACGGAAGATTCCCATATTCCTATAGCAACCAAAGTCCGGAAAAAAGATTGCTTATTTTCAAGAGTAAAAACCAGAGAAAGTGGCTTTTGAACCTGAACACTCTGAATGCAAAACTGGTAACTGGGTTGTTGAGAAAAACAAATAGATAATACTATTCTTTATCAAAGCTGGAAAAGAGGGGTCCCAAGAGCAGCAGTTCTTTTTCTGCCTTTAATTTGACTCTCAGATACAACCAGCTTCTCTCACAGCAGCTCAAAGTAAGTCATAGTGAGGTGTTACTTGGAATTGCTAAGGATTTCTATCCTGCTGATTTGATAAGCAACACAGCCAGTTCTCTACTCAGAAATGTCTGGCTTGATCACAGAAGCAAGACGTCTTTTGCCCAAGGTTCCAAATTGCAATTGTGCCCAATATCACAAAGAGGACACAGAGGTGAGAGCCACAAAACATGTCACAAGTCATCCTGAAGGAGAGGTTTATCAAATAGGTTAGTTTAGCTCTTTCATGTGATGTCCTGTAGTGCCCATCTGTAGGAACACTCATGGATGAGCCTCTATAAAAAAGCACACCCAAACACTAAGTTATATATATATTTAAACTAAAGAGTGGCCTTGGTAGATCAGGCTTCAAGGAGTTCCCTCTAGCCTAGCATCCTGTTCTCACAGCAGCCAAGCAAATGTCCTAACTGGCATCTCACAAGTAGGAGACGAAGGCAACAACAGCTGTGCAAACGGCATTCAGAAGCATTTTGGTTCTGATATTGCAATTGTGTTTTGTTGCAAGTGGCAGAAAATTTCATTAACTCTGCCCTGTGTTAAAAAAGAGCAAATCTTTCAGTTTAACTGGATGCTCTCAGGTATTATATGAGGCTCCTCCTCACCCTAATCCCATTCCCCTATGACAGGCACGTCCAACTCCCAAGAGACTGATTTATTCCCAGTATGTATAAAAAAAACTGGCAGTGATCTACACGTTGTCTTTGGAGGGAGGAGGAGCATGCATGGGGTGGGTAGATTGCCCAGAGTTCTTGAGCCCAGAGTTCTTCAGCTTTTAACTTTCGGTAAACTTTATTTAATCCCACGATCGATAAGGGTCCTGCAATCTACCAGGATCAGCCGGAGATCTACCAGTACATCGCGACCTACTGGTTGGACATGCCTGCCCTGAGATACACCTCCATCCTGTTGTTCCCAGTTTACTTTTCTTCTCAACTGAAAAGTCACAATTGTTGTAAGCTTTCCTGAGGGAGTTTCTTCTGCCTCTCGATCATTTTGGTCACCCTTTTATGCACATTTCCCAGATTTACAGTAACTTTTCTGAGATGTGGCAACCAGAACTGTGAACAGTGCATTCAAACCATGGATTTGTGTAGAGGAACTGATGCAAGTTTTAATGTCACACCTTTTAGTCAGTAAGCCTGAGGGCAGGGACTCTTGTATTGGTAAACAACTTTGGGAACCTCTTTTCAGCTGAAGAACAGGGTAAATAAATATATGCATTAACTGTATTAGCTCCCACGGTAACATTCAATGTACACACAGCTGTGTCCTGTCAGATGTGGATTTGGGAATGAAAAAGTCTATGTGCAAAGGTCTATGTGTGTATCTAATCACTTTGAGAGGTAGCCTTACGCGAGTGCCATTTACAGCAGAAGTGGTTGGGAAAGGGGCAAAACAGGTACTTTTCATTCTATCTGCACAGGGTTACGTGGATCTGTATGCAATGTAATCTGCTCTGGTTCAAAATAACCAGCCCCCAAACCACCTCTAAAGTTAGCATGTGAACCAGAATCGAAAACTTCAGCTTTAAATGCTGATGAACTAGCCTAGAACTGCATCTAGCAGTTGCAGTGTTTCTGAGCACCGTGATGAGAGAGCGCTGGCATTTGGTGAAGAAAGAGAAATCCTTTCCATCCAGCCCAGGTCCCCACCAGATGCTAGCTCTTGGTGCAGACTTTTGACCAACTCTTCTTCCTACCCACAAGGCATGCTGATGCCTACTTCTGATGAGGCATCGTTAAGTTGAAGGGGGTGTCTCTAACATAATTCTAGCTTGTGGTGCCAACACAGAAGGATAAGTAAAAAGGGAAAGAACCTCTACTTCAACCCTTGGATTTCTTCAGAGAAAGAACCATTGTAAACACAAACAAAAAACAGAGCCATATTCCAAGAAGGACACAAGCAAACAGAGTTCCTGAAATTGTAATAATTGGTCTGGGGGTGGAATTCAGCCACCAAATGACAAAAACAGTGAACATGAAGATAATAAGAGGGCAGGCCCAACAGCTTATTAATTGCCAGCTGTTCCTGCTCCGAAATTGTGTTCTATGAAAGTGAGGCCCTTTTCTCAGTATTCCAACATTGAAAGGTTGTTTATGTGCAGATTGTTAGGATCATTTCATCACCAACTTTTGTTTTGTGGTTCTATGCCTTGTAGGGTACAATCCACTGGAAGCTTCTCCTATTCAAGCTCTCCCAGAACACGTTTAAGTTCTACACAGGTGGTCCTACTGATTCATGCCTCAAAAGTCAGCCACAGGGCCAGTATTATGGAAGTTAAGTGAAGTATGTTGGGTAAATGTGTTTTATTGTCTTTGTTCCCACAGAACTGAAGGAACACCCTGCACTGATTATGCCCCAACAATTCAGCCCCTTCAAAAGCAAAGTTTCAAACCTCTTAAGAGTTAGTGCACCCGTTAAAGAGCTGTGAGCCAACAAGCCCCTGGTTCTCCCTCCATTCTCCCATCTATCCCATTTGCCGCTGAAGAGGTACCCACAACTCCAGCCCACCGAATCCCCACCACACACAACGAGGACAGGTATTGCATCTGGCAAAATCCTCGCTATCCCCCCTCCTGGTATAACTGCTGTTTTAACCCAAACAGGTCCCTTTCTTAATCTGTCTCATCTGCCTTCCTTTGGTTTTAGCCAAGAACTTTACCAAAGCCCTATAATATCTCTACCCATCCTCCCCGGACAACTTCCCCATCTCTTTCTAACAAGCAAGTAACACCACCACCAAGACCCCCTTGTCCCTTTATCGGACCACATCCACATTTTCCCTCTATGGCATGCTTGTAAGAACAACTGTTGCACTCATTTTAAACTGAGCCTGTTTGTGTGTCGTCTACAAAGTCCCTTTTTTGATCCAGTACCTTAATTTTTGCTTTATCTTTCTTTGTCAACTGTTGGGGTGCAAAATTCCAGGATGCACCCCGGTCTTAACGTCAAAAGATCCTTAGAACTGTCAGATTCCATGTGAAAACTGTAGGCTTGTGTGCAAACCACAGAGTTTGTAACACTACTAAGTCCTAATGGAGACCATAAACCCTGCAACCAAGAAGATGACACAAGCTGCAGAGATGAAGTTCATGGAGCAAATCCCGGTTGGGGCACAGAGAACGCCTGACCTTCAGGGTGGCACTAACACCTCCCTCCCACAGGTGAGCAAAGCCTTCAAGCACATCCCCTTCCTCTTGTGACCCTAAAGTACCACCTCTGCTTACAGAAACACTATTATCAGGCATGAGCCTCCACTCCTGGCAAACTTTAAATATTTTCTACTGAAAGAATCCCTGGAAGTCCTGTACAAACTGACTGTTAAAAGCACTAGGAGTCCTGCTGTCCTAAAACTGCACAGGCAGCCCGGATGGCCAAAGCAGCAGAAAAACGACCAACAGGAAGGAAGGAAGGAAGGAAGACCAATGCCAACTTGAACTTATGGGATTTTTTTTAATTTATTTTTGTGGGTTTTAAACTTTCAAACTTTTTGTTTTTACAGGCTATTGTACCCGTTGCTAAAGCTGCTGATTCTGCCATAAAACTAGAACAGAAATTTCCCAGAAGTGTAGTCAGTTCCTCAACTGCCCGCCCACCTGCCTCCCAACCAACATTGCATTTGCAGCAGCAGCAACAGACTCCTGCTGACAGAGTCTGGCACGCAGCTACACGGGTCTGACCAAGGAATGAAGAAGCCAGGAGTCCACTGACCATTGGAATCGCCCTGTACAACACGGCCTGCTCTGCAGTTTGGTCCGCTCTGGCAGCACTTTAACCATAGAGGTCGTCATCGTTGTCTTCACTGTATACGTTCCCACCACCGGTGCCTCCGGTGCCCTGGCTGGGTCCAGCACCACCCTGGTTACCTGATGGGAATCTGCAAAGAACAGCCAGAGAAGAGCAGCTGTTGAATACCTTCCACGGAGCAGGAGGCCATCAAGGCTGCTTGGGGTAAGCCACAGCCACCTTCTTCCCCATGACCAGTTCTCCCTTCGCAGCTGTGGCTCAAAAGTCTCAAATTACCTGACCTGTCAAAGTGGCCCTCAACAGCTGGCCACTTCTGGGTCTGGCCCTCTGGCCAGATCCAGTTCCCCACCTTTGCTGTGACACAGAAATGCATGGCAGACGCCCTACCTCAAAGTGCCATCTCAGAGCCCTCTGGGTTTCTGGCTCTCTGGCCAAGCGTCAAGACATCACATGTCCTGTATGCTTCATCCCATTTTACACCTTGCTGTGGAAGGAGGAGCCACACAAATGGGTTCCCCCTCTGCTCAGTTCCATGCAGGCCCTTCACTCTGTCGTGAAGGCACAGAGCTACAAGGGACACCTCAGGATGACAGAGATCCTGGGTAGTAACAGGGAGGGGAGGGGATACGGCAGCAGTGCTGGGCTACAGAGGGAAGAGATCTACAAACAGATCCAGTCCCCTCTCACTAAACTCTAAGTACCAAGCAGCTTAAACCTGCACAACAGTCATGCCATTTTGGTAAAAAAATAAAAATTAATTCACGGATTCACATAAACATACTCTTCCAAAAGCTGCAAATACCATATTGATAAGGGGGAGGGAGACCCAACACCTCGTACTGGGGAAACACAAGTAGCGATGGCAATCACTGCATTCCTCGTCCCGTCTAATGGGAGCTGTTAAGCTCTCATGGCAAGATAGGTTTTGGAATGTGGACAGCACTTTTCTGACAGCAGGTACTGTGCAAAGGCCCAGTAGGAAAAGCAGCTCTGTACACCACAGAACCACAAGTTGCACATTTTTGACACCAGCTGTGGTGGACCTCTTTTGGACCTCTCCAAAAACCCAGGGTCATAAATGAAGTCCCATGTAATATGAAGAGCTACTAAGAGGGAGGACACAAAGTCTATGCCAAGATGCTCTGCTCACCTGAAGCTACCAAAGCCGCGGCTCTGCTGAAGGGTCTGTGCAAACATCTCATATTTGCGGATATCGTTGTCGCTGACTGAGCGGCGGGCGAAGCGCATGGCCTCCTCAAAGTGATCACGCCGGATCTCAGGGACTGGGTCATCCTCCTCCACTTCCTAAACCAGCCAAGTCACAGTTAGGAGCACAAGGCGCCACCAACAGCCACAGTCAACCCCCCCTTCCCACCCCAAGAGTTAATATCCACCACAAGTCCAAAGACACTCACCATGGCAGAAGGGTTGGTCTGCCTCTCCCTCTCCCGCCTGATCTCGTTCTCAATCGACTCCCGGATGGCCAGCTTACAGGCCCGCTGGCAAATTTCGGTTAAATCGGCTCCTGAAAAGCCATTGGTCATCTTAGCCAGAAAATCCAGGTCCACGTCCTGAGGAAACACGGGAGGTCCCACATTAATTTATAAAGCCAACTTATCCCCTGCCCTTCCAACGCATTTCCATCATGCAGGGCAGTGTATGACAGCAAGGAAAAACAAAAGCACCGCATAAAAAGAAATAAAACTGCGCAACAAAAAACAGGCGCAGCAGATAAAAACAAACATTTTAAAATGAGGTTTACTACAGAAAACACAAATCAATTGCCTAGTAAGACAAATGTTTGTCAGAACAAAGTAACTTTAATCAGTTGTCAGGAAGGGTTGGACTAGATTACCCTTGGGTAACTCCCAACTCTTAAGATTCTATGAACTGTGAGAAGGTGAATTTTTTTTTTTAATGATATCCCACCCTTCACTCTAATGCAAATAATTTTTCTTTTCCCACCATGAAGAATTGGCAAGCAAATATTTCAATGCATCTTGATTAAAAACTGGAGGGGCGTCAGAAGGCTAAATAAAGTTGCGTCATGGTCCAAGTCATGACCTCTGATCTCTGCAGGACTCCTAAGTTCTCTGCAGACACAAAAAGTGACATTTATCTGTACCCCACCCCCACAGCATTCCTGTCAGCCCAAAACCTGCCTTGGCAACAGGCGATTTCCTCAGGTTGGCCTTGAGAATGGCCACACGAGACTTCTCATCAGGCAGTGGGATGTAGATCAGCTGGTCCAGGCGCCCAGGGCGCAGGATGGCGGGATCAATGATGTCCGGCCGGTTAGTGGCGCCAATGATGAAAACGTTCTTTTTGGTTGACATGCCGTCCATTTCTGTTAGGATCTGGTTGATGACTCTGTCTGCGGCGCCGCCACCATCCCCTATGTTCCCACCACGGGCCTTTGCAATGGAGTCCAGCTCATCAAAGAACAGCACACAGGGAGCAGCTTGGCGGGCCTGCGTGGAGGAAGGATGCCCGGTCAGACCTCAAAACATGCAAGCGCTAGGAAACCAATTCACCAGACCTGGCATGGAAATGCCAGTGGGAAAATCCAGCAGGGAGAGCTGTACCTTGTCAAAGATCTCCCGCACGTTGGCCTCGGACTCTCCAAACCACATGGTGAGCAGTTCTGGACCCTTGATAGAGATGAAGTTGGCCTGGCATTCGTTGGCAATGGCTTTGGCCAGCAGGGTCTTTCCACAGCCAGGAGGCCCATAAAACAACACCCCTTTGGAGGGGGTCATGCCAAACTTAAGGAATTTGTCAGGATGCTCTACTGGATACTGTGGAAGGAAGAAGATCAGTATCAGCCCCACAAGGTTAAAGGGAAGGGAGGAGAGAACATCCTGAGCTCAGGGCCTCGCCACACTGTGTTGTTTGTGGCCGTGGAGCACTTGGAAAGGGCTCTGTAGTAGCAAGCAATGCTTCACTGAGTCACAGAGAGGCAGAGGTGCAACATCCGCTCAGAGTTGGACTTTTGTTCTTTCCTCGCACATGCTGCTACTTCTTATAGAATAGCCCGGGAGTATAAGCCGGCATCCCCTCACCTACTGGATGAGCACAAGCTGGTGACCCTGGTAAAGGCCTGGGGGTCGGCAGATTGAGGATTTTATGGCGTCATGGTCGTTAATCTCACCACAAACGCACAACCCAAAATTATATAACTGATGCTTACACTGGAGCAGCCATATGGTGCCAAACATAAACGACATACAAGTAATGCTGTGACTGAAAACAATCCAGCTTAAAAGCTCAGAGAAAGTGAGATCTTCTGTTCTGAAGTCAGCCATGAGAGCGCTACCCCCAGGATCCTAAAGGAACATCGCCAGCTGCGTTTATAAATGCAGAGAAAGTACATAAGCCACGTTCCTTGGCAAGTATGTGGCCCTAAACCTGCAGGTCTCATTACAGGGCTCTGAGTTTTGTAAAAAGACTTGGCAGGCATTAGAAACAGAACCATTCAAGCAAGATACACTTAAACAGCCAAGAGAACAGAGAAGGCTTATGTGACAGTGGGGCCTCCCTGTTCAGTAACTGGAAGGGTGTGCAAGAGCTATGTGCAGCCCTTAGTCAGGACTACCTCCTACACTTTTAACCAAGAAACAGTAGAAGTTCAAAGAACATCTGGTTATCCGGCTCTCCCCCCCCCCATATCCTGCCAATGTAGCATCCATTTATATTTAAAGAACGATTTATATTTTCCTATGCAAAAGAGTGACTGATAACCAATGCTGCTGCCCATGACAAGGCCCTCAGCTTGGTCTAAGGATGGTAACTGGGAGTCTGACATCAACAGCCTCACCTGTACAAGCTCCTGCAGTTCTCGCTTGACGTCTTCCAAGCCTCCAATGTCTTGCCAAGTAACTTGTGGCACTTCTACCACCGTCTCGCGCAGGGCTGAGGGGTTGCTCTGGCTCAGGGCCCACTGCAAGGAGAGGTGGAAAGAGGTGGTTCATTGACACATGCACAATTTGCCGGCATGATCCCCCACACCCACAGAGAGAAGACATGGACGCATCCCCCTTACCCTGAAGTCATCCATGGTCACAGCCAACGAGTTCATCACTTCAGCATCAATGGTCTCATCCTCAAGGTCGATGAGATCCATCTTCTTCCGGATGGCCTGAAGAGCTGCCTCTGAGCACAAAGCAGCCAAGTCTGCACCCACATGGCCGTGGGTCTCATTAGCCACCTGAAGCAGGGGAAGAAGAAGCAGGAGTAAGCAGGTGCTCCAAGCGGCAGTTCCTTGAGGAAAAGGAACCCAGCTGCTCCAACCACTCAAGAAGACCCCAAAAATCGGTCCCTCAAAATGCTCTGAACCGCGGACTTCCTGTTTCCGGCGGTGGAAAATGGCTGATCCCACACAATCGGACTTCAGCCGTTCCGATAATTCAGGGCTGATATGGGGGTAATTAGCCCTGGCAGCCTCCCCAGGGCAGGGGAGGACTGTCTCAACGACCCGCGGTCTGCCCCAGATTGCCGATGTGGCAGACGGCAGGGGCACTGGGTCACGGAGCTAGGGACGGCTGACACTCCTGCGACGCCACCCCATAGCCGGACGCATCTGTTTGGGAAAATATAAAGATTTGGAAAACAAACAGACACGCTCTGAATTGAAGAAGCTGGAAAAAACCTGCAGTATGTACAGTCTCTGGTACAAAAGATCGAACTTCAAAGAGATCCTCATCATGACGTTTGGAATGTGGAGGGGCTTGGTATGTAAATAAAACATTCTTTTATCCTTAACATCAACAATCCGTAATGCATGCCAAGTCTCATTAAGAACTTAAATTGCTCTTCAAAAAGTGAGTTCAGATGGACTTTCATATATAATTGGGATCTACTCGCAGCCACTTCTCTTCTAAGACTGGAAATGTCTGTTAAAGACGAAAACAAAGGACAAAATGGCGTCTCCCACCACACTGTTATTGAATATCTGAAATACTTCCCTGATTACGAGAAACAGGAGCTAACGGATGGTTGGTTATAAAGACTGGAAACAATATTACATATACAACTGTTTGCAAAAAGATGTTTTTTTGATTACGAGCGAGAGAGAGGGCTAAATGGATGTCTGGCAGCCCCCCTCTAGGGCCCGGAGGGGGGACTGGGAAGATTCCAAAGGCCAATTGCTAACTGTCTGATATATGACTGCATTGCAAAAGGTCTGTTTAAGATAAATCAACAAGGAGGGTACAGAAGGAAATTTCTCTCTGTTTGTTTGATAACACCTGGACGGGAAAGATTAACGATCTGGGAGCTGCCAAAATAACAACTCTCAAAGAGCTGGACAGAACTTTGAAATTGGATGCAATTAAATGAAACGGTGCGATGAAAAAACAGCTGAAGGAGTACAATATACGGACAAATCTGCACTCCATAGAAAAAAAAAGTATCGGTTTTCTGACATGAATGAGGATCGTAGAACCAGAGTCAAAATGTGGAAGGGAAAAATCGGACATGGAATTATGAATAACATTGAGGATGATGAGAGGCAGGACTATGATGTTGATCCTCCTGGGCATAGTTGGCCAATCGGTGTTAAAGAAGGACAGAACTTTCTTTATGTATGCTACAACAGCAGCAAGAATACTTATTGCAAAGCATTGGAAGACACAAGAGCTACCCACACTGGAGGAATGGCAGATGAAAATGATGGACTACATGGAATTGGCGGAAATGACTGGCAGAATCCGAGACCAGGGAGAAGAGTCGGTGGAAGAAGATTGGAAGAAATTTAAAGACTACTTACAGAAATATTGTAAAATTAATGAATGTTAGAATGATGTTGGATTGAAGTTAAGTGGTTTCTAGCTGTAATGGTATAAAAGAATATGGAAAAATTGGTTTTTAATACGTAAAAATTTAATGTTATAATATATCAAGATTAAAGATCAGGATTAAAAAGGAGGGAAAGGAATTGCTGGACTAACAAATTGAATTGGAATACAAAAGAGGGTGGTATGAGGAGGTCCGGGAAATAAGTAAATGTAAGAGAAGTGATGAAAAGATGGAATTGTTTTTAACTGTTTTTTCTTTTTTTGTATTTTGTATTTTTCCTTTTTATTGTTAATTTTCTTATTAATGTAATCTCTTTCTTTTCTTTAAAATTTTAATAAATATCATTAAAAAAAAAAGGACTATGATGTTGAATGCACTTCGAAATTCAGACCATGGGAAGTCAAAACAAAATTATTACAATTTGGAAGACAATTGGACCTTTTTTATTTTAGTTTTTTATTTTTATTGGATCTGATTTGATATGTTAATTGGATGTTTTTATTGGAAAATTAATAAACGCTTTAAAAAAAAAAAGAAGACCCCAAAAATCATGACGCTTGTGAGCCTTATCACATAGGGGCAAGAAAAGAAACCAACGAACCTGTTCCAGATCAACATCATCAGCCAGCTTCATGTTCTTGGTGTGAATCTGCAAGATCTCCAGGCGGCCAGTAGCATCAGGAATGCCAATGTCCACCTCCCTATCAAAGCGACCTGCGGGGCACCAAAATCAACACTGACATTTGCTTCTGTACTTATGTCACTCCCCCATGCACAAAGGCCACCAAGGCCAAGCCCACATGCCGCAGAACAGCAAAATGGGAGCACTGGGTGTTAAAAAGACCTCAGGGAAACACAACAGTTAATGGACATTCCCCACAAGGTAACAAGATGATGTTTAACAAGTGAAGAAGCTTTATCTCAGCAGTGTGCTTTCAGGCTGTGTTTGTACGATTATTGACTTGAAAAGAAACTCTACTCAATTTCAGAGAATATGTGTTTTAAGACCAAGGTAAGAAAAGAGGTCTCTTTCAGTAAAAAAGAAATAAAAAGGAAGTTATTTGATCCAGCTTGTTAAATTAGCTGCCATTAACACAGACACCCTTTCCCAAACATAATTATATACATTTTAAAGAGAAGGTTAATGGGGTCAGTGTTACTTATCCTGCCTTCCACATTCTCTCATATTTATCAGAGGAAGGCTGGTTTTGTTTTTGTTTTTTAAAGGGTCAAGTTTAGCCTTCCTTAATATGCTGTTTTTCTACATAGCAGCATTCACACATGAAAATCTCCAGGTGCAGCTGGAAGTGGTACAATCCAGGAAATGGTTTTTTTAAATTCATTTCTGCTGCATATACGAACTAGGCAATCAGCTCTCTGCTATCAAGCAATGTCTGTTTGAAAGGTGCCCACCAAGAAGCGTGCACTCTCTGTTGGTTAGAGCATGGTACTGATAACACCAAGGTTAAAGGTTCAATCCCATATGGGACAGCTGCATATTCCTGCATTGCAGGGGGTTGGACTAGATAACCCTCAGGGTCCCTTCCAACTTGACAATGCTACACTGCTACGATTCCTCTCCTGTCACCACGTCTGTACCCTCACTATCATGTGAAAGTCTAAGCAAAGGTGCACTGTGATTTGTACATATACAGTACACAGCTTTCTGTTTTTAAGTGGCACTGGGAGTTTACAAGCTGAGCAAACCTGAAATTTCTCCCAGGGGCTAAAAATACTAATAAAGGAGACTGCACTGCATCCATGCTTTGTGCAGGTCTGCTCTAGTACTTAAGTTACCCACAGACTATTGCAAGTATTGAGCCAACATCTATCACACTGTAACACCCTCACAACAGAACAAGCCTAGTTACCAAATCGCCGGAGTGCTGGATCAATGCTGTTGGGTCTGTTGGTAGCAGCCATTACAATCACATGCGCTCGCTGCTTCAGGCCATCCATAAGTGTAAGCAACTGAGACACAATGCGCCGTTCTACTTCGCCATGTGTCTGTGGAGAGAACAGCCAATAGTGTGAAGATCTGCTAGGAAAGCGCCCGATCCCAAGGCACAAGTCGGGGTACAGCTTCACCACAAGCCACCCTTTCCCCTGGCCCCCAAAAATCAAGCTTAAAAACCAAGCAGTAAGATAATCCAGCCCAAGTAATAATTCTAGGGCAAACATGGGATCAAATGCAGACTTCAGTTCAGGACCTACGAGATGCATAATGCAAAGAGGAGGAAAATGCTGGCAACCCAACACCAACTCCTTTCTGTTGCAAGCTGCCCAAAGTGGCTGGGAAAACCAGTCAGATGGGAAGGGAACAAGTAATAAATTACTACTACTGCTGCTACTACTACTACTACTACTGCTACTACTACTACTACTACTGCTACTACTACTGTGGCAAGAATTCCTATCATCACCATCAACATCCAGAATGGGTAGGTGTGCTGCCTAGCCCTCCTCTCAGAAGGTCTGTTTACAAAGCAGAAAACCTAACTAGGCCTAGCAATGAAGTGTAGCTCCTCTGCCATGCAACTCATAAGAACGCTAAGCTTCCTTACAATACCTGATTGCAGGAGACAGAACATTCGGAGAGCTTAAGTCCAGACTGAGGGCCTTCAACATGCCTTGGGACAGCCAAGCGCCACCTGCACCCCAGCCTATCACTCACCACTTGCTCAAGAATCCCTTCTCAAAGTGCTGTAGCCATAGAACTGAGCTCCATCAACGGATTGGCAGAAGACTCACCTTCTCTCTTTTTGGAGCAATGGCATCCAGCTCATCAATGAAGATGATTGCCGGAGCATTCTTCTCCGCTTCCTCAAAGGCCTTCCGCAGGTTGCTCTCCGACTCACCCGCCAACTTGCTCATAATCTCAGGCCCTGTGGGAAAATGGCAGTATGTTACTTAAAGAGGAAGAAGGTGACAGCAGTCACAAATGACAAACCCAAGTCACAGTCCTGTTTAAAGCAGCACTGCTGGTAGGAACCTGAGAAGAGGAAAACCAAAGAGACCCCAGCTTCATCTCATCTATCAGGCAAGAGACCCCATCTTTTCTACATACAGCGGACTTTAGCTTTGGCCTCAGAAATTAGCTAGAAGCAAGCAAGCTATATTAGTTTTGGCCTTCCCGGTAACATTTTAACTCAGCTTGAAGGGGGAAGAGCCAAAACTTTTGATTTGTCTGTTAATTTTTCACCCTCCTGACTAATCTCCCGTAAGCACTACATTGCGGTGGTCAGCAAAAGCTTTCAGAAGGCTGCTGGCACCGAACTCCCCTATCTCGTGACCATGTCCTTTTCTCTTCCCTAAAAATAGTACTGACCACTGTTCGACACTCCCATTGTTCTAGGTGCATTTTGCAACAGGGAATTTCATTAGTGCGAGCAGTTTCTGAGCTGTGGGTGCAATACTGGGCCTACGATTTCAGATTTAAACTGCAGAATGGAAGGAAAGGACCTTTTTCTGCCTCCCCACTGCCAGCTACTCTCTGAAGACTGGAGAAGACCCTATTAAGAATATTAGGGGGGTGGGCAGGGGAAGGGCTAGACCATGTGAAAAATGAACATAGTACCTTAGCTGCAGTTCATTCATTTTCAGCTTTGTATTCTTGTTAAAAAAAAGGGCGCCTAGACATTCTGTTGTCGTGCCCTAACCTTGGTTTAAGGTGCCCTTTAGCTCCTAGCTTCCATATATCAGTTTCTAACCGTGGTACTGACCAAGTTAATAATCAGCAGAACAAGCTAGAGAAATCCCCAAACATGCCATCAACCCCTTAGCCAGGTGACCAAGTTGGAACCAACGCATTTGAAATGTATAAATCTGTGTGATCCTTGCCGTGTAACCTTTGTACATGATTTGGAACTGGATTTCCGCTGTATCTTCTGACTGCAGTCTGAACAAACCTTTTCTTTTTCCACCTGTGGTGTGATATTATTTGGCTCGTCACCCCAGTTGGACTGTTTGTCCATAACACTGTCCACGTGGCACTCAAACTCCTTTCCAACCCAACACCTGAGCCGATCAACAGTGGCAGCCCCAAACTTCCAGTCTGGGAACTACTCCATCTGCTCCGTATCCTGGCTTTCCATTTCTCCTCTCTGCCTTTCAATGACTCCATTAACATGCAACTATGGCTTAGTGTGAATGTGCAAGAATGTAGGTTCCTGGAGGGAAGATCATGGCTGCTTAGCTCCTCTCCCAGTCATGCTGCTGGTGCCGCCCTGCTGTGAGCTAAGCCATGGATTGGATTGGCATGTCCTGTAAACCTAAGCTCACTCCAGACATGCCACAAGCTGTAACCAAGGTCTATTCTTCTTTCACTGCTTGTGGTTTGTCTGAAACAAGACAACATGATAAGCCAAGCCATGGTTCAACTCACAAAATGCAGCAGCAGACCAGAGGGACAAAGCGGCTGCCATCTCCTCTCTGGGAGCCTGCACACACGTGCCAAGTCATGGATTGGCTGAAGGTTGTGTGTGAACTGAGCCAATGAACCTCTGCAGACTGATGTAGCTATTTTCGATTCAAAAACAGAGAGTACAGTGGTACCTCGGGTTAAGTACTTAATTCGTTCTGGAGGTCCATACTTAACCTGAAGCTGTTCTTAAACTGAAGACCACTTTAGCTAATGGGGCCTCTTGCTGCCGCCGGAGCACGATTTCTGTTCTCATCCTGAAGCAAAGTTCTTAACCTGAAGCACTATTTCTGGTTTAGCAGAGTCTGTAACCTGAAGCGTCTGTAACCCGAGGTACCACTGTAGACTCACCACTTTCTATTCACCTGAAATTGACCTGCATAGATCAAAGTACTTCCTTTAGGCTCCTCAAGGGGGCAAGTGAGGTTTCCAAGGAGACAGGTTCTCTATTGACAACTGAGTTTGGCAAAGCCTTTCATAAACACCCAGCACCCAAGGGAAGAATAAGGATCCTCCCCTGAAGCAAGGCTGAGTTGAGATCTTATAACTGAAAATGGGCAGCTGTTTCCAAGAGTTTAGTACTACGTTCTCTGTTAAAGTGGTGCATTTTGATATATTGTTATATTTTATTTGCTGCCTACATTGTAATTTTGAGCTGTTGCCCTACATTGCATTGATAACATTTGCTATTTATTTAGGTTACTTTGAGGTCACCTAATAACTGAAGAGTCTGTGTCAGTTCCTAGACTGAGAAGCATGTGCTCAATGCAGTGCTCTTCTGGCCTTCATCCAGGATTTTACAGAACTCCCTTTGGTACTAATATCAAAAGGTGGAGAGAAGCAGCTCTATAGAAGGAGAGCACAGCAGGGGGGCTCTGCTCCCCTGCTCATGGGCAACCACCATGATGATCCAGGAGGAAAGGGAGCTGCGCATCACTGCAAGCTGGCTAGGAAGCACAAGTATACCAAAAAGTGCCCAAAGTCACCTGGCAGCAATACACAATATGATGCAATCTCATCCAACAGAGAAAGAAGATACTGAAACTGAGATGTAATTTTAGCAAGGAATCCTCCATACCGAAAATTTAACTCTTGTGAAAGGTCTTGTCCACAAGGAAAGACATTTTAAAAACAGGCTCTACTTGAAAGGCTCACTTGTTCTCCTCCTCACTGCCTTTTGCTCAATATCAAGCTAGCCATACAGCTGAAGGAGTCAACATGAGCATGACCACAGCAACTCAGACATGGTGACTTCAATGCACTTTATGGGGGGCTTCCCTTGCACCTGATCCAGAAGCTGTAGTTAGTTTGGAAATCTGCAGCACAGCTGCTGATAGGAGTAAGACCCTGCTGGCATATAACATCTCTGCTCAGAGATCGGCACTGGTTACCAATCTGCTACAAGAACAAGTGCAAGGCATAGAGCCCGGAACAGTTTTGGGACCAGTTTACTTGCAGGATTACCTTACCCTAAAAAAGCCCACTCAACCGCTTCACTCTGTGGAACTGTCACTGTCATCAATGCCACATCACTCATTCCACAGTTGCAAGTAAACGGAACATTTTAGCGTGGCAGCATCTAGCCTTTGCAACTCCCTGCTTATGGACCAGGGGGATTATTGCATTGTCTTTGTTTTCATTTTTATTATGTATTATGTGTTTTTTATATTGTGATTTTATGTTGTGAACCACCCTCAGATCTGTGGGTATAAAGACCATATAAAATTTACAATAATAAAAATAGTAATAATGTGGGTGCCTTCACTAGACTTTTCCAAAACTGCCTTCACTACACTTTTCCAAAACCTATCCAGGCATGCAGAAGCTACATGTGCTTTAATCCGTTTTAGCTTACTGTTTATTTTTATTAAATACCCATTTTAAATGTCTTTTATTGATAATTTTAATGGGGGGTTTTGTAAACCAATTTGAGGCTTTAACAAACACTATATAAACTTGGATAAATAAAAACCATGAAGCTGCTCCCAGGCACTCACCGTTGATGAGGAAGAAGAAAGCTCCAGTCTCATTAGCCACTGCTCGGGCAATCAAGGTCTTCCCAGTACCCGGTGGACCATACAGCAGGATTCCACGGGGAGGCTAGAGAAAGGCAGGTACGTTGCTTAGCATTTGAGGGTTAAATCCAAATTCTGGTAAAGACCTGTAGTGCTATCCAGAAAGTATCTGTGCAGTCTGGGATCAACCAGTACCACACATCGCCAGCTTGGCCCTAGGACCGTGGGTGCCTTGGGCCGTGCACGCCACAGGCACGCGTGAGTCTGACATCGGCACGCCCGCCGGAGTATGCACATGACATCACATGTGCACATCAGCAAGCGTGCTGATGTAAGACCACATGCCTCCCGGCACCAACATTTGTGGCCAGTCCCGTCATGGGGAATGTTGTGGGGCCTGGAACACCCACAGCCCTACACACTCAGCACCTATGTACACCACAGAGGACTAAGCAAGGAAGGGCTAGTTTGCACCATCCTGGTCTGTGCCTGGTCTGCTCTCCCAGTCAGCAAGAGTGTGGGTTTTCACTGCAGCACTCTGTTTGACCTGCATGGTTATCTGCCTGCAGGTAAGTGTGTCTGTGCTGACTGGAGCATGGGACACTGCTTGATTGCTGGCTGGGTGAATACAGGCAGGGGTGTGGTAAAGGACCTGCCAAGGGTGGCAGGGGATGATGCCAAAGGGATTCACCACCACTTCAGGAGTCACAGAGACAGGTGAACGCCCCCATCCCTATGATATAGAATTGTAGGCCAGACATTGTGGAAAACAGTCCTGCATCCCTCTCCCAGGGTGAGAGCCTGGTTGAGGGGAAGTATGGTTTGCTAGGGTTCCCCCTTGCCCCGAGTGAGCGGCAGGGGGATAAGAGTTGGAGTGGATTTATAATCTTCCTTCTGACAGTGTGGGATGTGCATACACCCAGGCCTGAGTTTACTATCTGTGGCCCTGATCTCCCAGTCGTATACAGTGATGGAAGGTGGCACTCATATTTGCCTGGGTGGGCAGGTGGCAATGAAGACGCTGCCTCAATTTTCACCTTCATTGTGTTCTTCCGGTGCTTGCTAAAAACATTTCTGTTTGGACAAGCCTACCAACATACGTAGAATATTTACATGCATTTTAATCTGTCTTTAGATTATTGCTGATTTTAATGACGATTTGAAAGCTTTAAACAGCTGCTTTTACTAATATTTTTGTTATTTTATTCTATTCGTAAAGTACTTTTGAGATTTTCGACAATCAAGCTATATACAGATTTTATTAAATATAGAGATACACCAGCGCATGATATCAGAGCACTCTTGAAGCAGGGCTCTAGCATTCATTAGTACATGCACACCTGAGCAGAAGCAGCACCTGCAGGACATGTTTGCTACCCACACAGAGTCCAACCCATCATGAGTGGGGCAGATGCTCACCTTCACACCAATAGCCTTAAAGAGAGCAGGGTGCCGCAGAGGCAGCTCAACCATTTCCTTGATCTGAGCCAACTGCTTTCGACAGCCTCCAATGTCATCATAGCCCACTTCATTCAGGGACTCCTCTTCATCCTGGCATGTTTTCAAGGGACAGAGAATAAATGCACTGAGGACCTCATGGTCAAAGTAGTATGACAACCATATCAGATAAATTCAGAAATGCCAAGTCCCAAGCATACTATATTTTTATGAGCTAGCTCATAAAAGGACTTCAGGACCAAGATCCAGTCAAGTTGGATGAGTGCTTATTTGTGGCTCAGGACCACAATACCTCAAGGACTGCTTCTCTACATGTGAACTCAGGCCCTGCAATCATCACTGGAGGCCCTTCTTCACATGCCTCCTCCACGTGAGGTCCGGAGGGTGGCAGCATGAGAACAGGCCTTTACTGTGGTGGCTCTTCATTTGTGGAATGCTCTCCCCAGCGAGATTTGCCTAGTGCCTTCATTACATATCTTTAGGCACCAGGCAAAAACCTCTCTCTTCAACAGGCGTTCAGCTGATTAACATTTTATGGCTTTTTAAAATATGTTTGTGCAAGGGGAGGGTGCATTTATATTTGTTTTATTATGTATTTCTTATTCTCATCTTGTACTTTCCTGCTGTTAACTGCCATGGGATCTTCAGATGAATGGTGGTATACAATAACAATACTACTACTACTACTAATAATAATAATAATTTCCAACATGGCTCTTATCCTATGTTATCAAACATTTTCTTTTCCTCCTAACAGACAATATGTTAAAAACCAGCTGGTCACTATTCCAGATACCCACTTGGGTGGTATAGCACCCAAGGAAATGATCTCAGTCTACAGCCTTGTCCAGTTCATCCATCATAGGAACATGTGCCAAAGCTACAATAACCACTTTAGCTGGGAATGGGAAATTCCTGTGACAGGAACATAGCACATGGCTGCTTTGGTATTCAACAGCTCTGCCTTCCTTCCCATAGGGGGACTTTCCCCCAAGAACCAAATAGCAGACAGTGTTTCTAATCCTCAACTTTGTTTCCCCACCACACCGCTTACGGCCCACTCCAAGTCACAGAATGAGAGCTGTGGAAGAGGCCTGCTCAACTCACCTCTCGTTTGATAGGCTCTCCCTCACAGTGAATCACAGTGTCTGGAGCTACTATGCAGTATGGGCTGGGGTCTGTCTCCACCACTTTGAACTCGACTGCACGCATCCCTCCGCGCACAAGGAAGATGTCCCCTGAAATTATCAGCATGTTAATGAGGGTCAAGACACCACCCACCTCCAGAACAAGTACTCTCAAGAGTTGTAACGGTTCCCCATCCCTCTACTTAAGAAAGCTGAGAACTGAGGGAGCAGCTGTAGGTTTCCAGAGGAGATGCTTCCTTTACTATAGACTCAGTTTAGGACAAGGTCACAGTGGCACTAGTAGCTCTGGGAACTTCCCCAAAGGGAACAGGAATGGCAGATGTTGCTACTAGGAGTAATGGCAAGCCAGCCTGACCACTACTACCAGGGGGGAGGGGGGCAGAACTGCACGCTCTCTCCTCACTTGACTGAATAGGGCCTACAGAATTGTAAAGTTGGCTACACACCAGAGAAGCTCAAAACAAGGCCCCTCTGCTTTTGGCTACTTCTCAATGCTTCACAATCAAAAGACCCTCTAGACTTACGGCTTAGACACTGACAGCTGTTTCAAACAGCAGATAATGGTCTAGAGGCAGTTTCTGCAACACCACTGTTCACTGCACATGGCAGGAAGCCAGACTTTCATTTGGGGCAAAATAGAACTGGGAAAATTTAGTCAAAGACACCAGCTCACAAGCAACCCAAATAAAAGTTTATAGTCTTGGACTACAACTGTTCAGATGTTTTGGACTCCAACTCTCATCATCCCTGACCATGCTTTACCACCTGAAAAATTCAGGGTGGCATAAAAATGCAATTAATAAAATAATATACATGGATAACAGCAGGTTGAAGAAAGTTTGTCTATAAAGTATTTTCCACAGCAGCTTCTCTACTGGTTTAGTGCCAGGTGCCCTTACCTTTTCTGATGGGTCTGTATGCTTCCAGGAAGTATGGCTTGAGGTACACCTCAAACAGGTTCCCTGTGATCCCTTCCACTGTGTCATCAATGGGCAGCACATGGATGCGCTTGCCATACTTCACATCTGGACAAGGCTGGATGCTGAAAAGAAAGAATGTGCCTTTGTGACCCTCAAGTGGCCCCCAATTTGCAAACTAGAAACATGTACAAGAAACAACTTCCCAGTCTCAATGAAAAGGACAGGGCAGCCAGCTACCTTTTCACTTCCTTCAGACTTCCTATTCATTTCCAACTTTTCGATGGGGGACTTAGGAATCTCTCTCATCCAGTCAGGACAAGGGGACATCTAGCTTGGTATTGTCTACATTGACTAGCAACAGCTCTCCGGAGTTTCAGGCAGGGAATCTTTCTCAGCCCGACCTGGAGATGCTGGTGACTGAACCTGGGACCTTCTGCATGCAAAGCAGATGCCCAATCACTCAGCTACAGACCGTCCCTGTCATTTCCCCTTCCATCCAGGAAGGGCCCTAGCTCAGAGGTACACTGTCTGCTCTGCATGTAGAAGGTCGAGACTGAGTATTTCCGGGTAGGGCTGGGAGAGGCCCCCACCCGAAACCCGGTAGAACTGCTCATCAGCTCACTTAATAAGGAGTTACATGGTCCAGCGGTCTGTCTCGGAATAAGGCAGCTTCCTAGTCAATTGGTTTTCTGCCCCACCTCACCCTGGCCTCCAGGTCTTCTGACTTTTCCTTCCAATTTCCTTCTCTCCCCCACCCTCTGCAAAAGGACTGGAACAAAATGCTTCAAACTCTACAGCTCTCTCAAATTCAGCATAATTTATAGAAAGAAGTCAATATTGACATAATTTTTTCCAAGTGAAGAACATTATGATAATAAGAACCCCAGAACTCATGATAAAAAGAATTCCAGAGACTCCACTTTCCACATATTAGCCACAGGCTTACTGACCAAATTAACTCTGTGTGTTTAACAGGACATGCAGACCTCACCTGATCACGTCTCCAAGGCGCACCCTCAGATTGTTGCGAACAACCCTGTTCATGCGGATTTTCTCATCAGAGCAGGTGTCATCAGACAGGACGATGCACACTGCCTCTCTCCTCTTCTTCCCTTTCAGCAGGACTGTATCTCCCCTAAACAGCTGCAATTCATCCATTTTGGCCTGAAAACAGAAAGTGTGAAAAAGCAGATCCCCAACTGAATTTTAAGAACAAATCGGTATATTAATTCTGCTGATCTGAAATTGACTACAACTGGTAATGTACTAGTTTGATAAAAGCATCCAGTTAAGAACAAAATATTAATCAGCAGAAGGGATACAAGGCAGAATAAAGGTAAATTTAGGAGAGTGTCCTGCTGGGAAAACCCACAGGTACCTGGTTGTAACAGTGTGGGGGTGTTAGATATGATGTAAAGCCTCTTCCTGAAAACCCACTGAGCCACTAAGTCAGAATAGGCAATACAAATAGCCTGTTCAGAGACAGCTTCCTCCATTCTGTGTCAATCAAAGAGTCACCAACAAATTGCACATATCAGTGATATGGCTCTCTATTGATATGTTGAACACACCTGTGACAGTGACACAACACTGTTGTCCTCATTGATTGCTTCATCAACAATTAGCCGATTGGGCCTGTTCTTCTGCTTGAGAATTGCAGTTGACAAGTCATCAGCTTTGGAACTGTAATAAGAGAAGACAAGAGTTGTTGGAAGCATAGGAGACGGAGCCACACCCTTGTTCAACCATTTGCATTCTATGCTTCTTTGTTACATTTTCTCTTAGGCAAACCTTAGTTGAAAGGCAAGTACAACATTCTATGCAACAAAATTCAAAACAAGCAACAATGTGGGTGCAAGGTGTTCTCCCAGTGCCCTCTACTCTGTTTTCTACTGAGCAGTTATAGACCAGAAGCATTCAGAAACCACTTACCATTGTGAAAAAGAAAGCAGGCAATGTGGCAAACAACCCACATACAAAGAGCCCCCCCATTAAGTGATAGTCCCTAGGCAAATCTTGACACTTATTCTGTCAAAATGTTTGTGTAGACTTCCCAGAAGATGCCCAAGCTTAGTCTGCATCAGAAGAGAGGAGAGGAATTAAAGGGTGTACAATAGGCAGAGTCCTTCTGCAAGCCCTCAACATTTCATTTCCCACATGGAGGTCAAAATTCAACACAGATTAATTGCTCAAACCATTTAAGGTTCTGTGAGCTAAAACCAGCACCTGACTTGTGCCCTGGAAGTGCAGCTGCCGCAGCATTAACACTGCTGCCTCAAGCTCCCTAACAACCCAAAATTACATGCACAGAAAGGGTCCCACGAACATTTCAAGGTTTGACAGTTGGGGAAGTTGGACCCCATCGATTAAGCCTTGGTGGGTCATAAACTGCCACGAGTCCCCCTTTACCATCACCTGCAGGCAACCTCCCTGGCCAGACACAGAGCAAGATCAAAGACTTGATAACCTAGAGAGCCCTGAAGGATCACACAGCCAAGGTTCTAAGAAGATGAAGAGCAGCCCTATCCCATCACTTCCACTAGGAAGAGGCAGAATCACTGAAGAGTCTCTTACAATATCCAGTTTGCAGTCCAAATTGTCCAAGGGTTTTGTTTTTTAAAAACTAAGCAAGAACTTCAACACAAGTCTGAGAATGTGTTGAACTGAATGAGGCCTAGGTAACAGTTTCATTAGCTCATCAGTTCCACCCTTAAGATGGAAACTGACACATCATGGCTTTACATTCCCAAAAACAAAAGTGAAACTGACAGTTTCTTTTGCACAGCTCAAGCAGAAAATACATGAATGGTATGAAAATGGGAGTTCTTCAAGTATTTTGTTCCCTGGCAGATATGCTTATAGACAGAGCCTAAAAGAAGAAAACCCCTAAGAAACTCATGACAGGATAGTGTGAAATGAGTGAGCCTACTGGAAGTGACTGGTAGATGCTTTGCAGGATGCCAAATAGGACACCAAGCCAACCCTCCTAAATCTGCCTTCAATGATATGCAGCAATTGAGGAAATACAGATGTGTTTACACCAGTTAAGGCTGACAACTAAGATGAAGAACAACTGTTATGGTACCAGCAAACCCAAATTTGGAGGAGGGTGAGAAGCAGCACCTGGGGCCAACTCTCTAGTACTGGAGAAGAGCCAGATATTGTTCAGGCAACTTAATGTGCTCAAGTGTGATGCAGTCAAGTAATGCAATGTGGGGGTTTTCTCCACCATCACATTTTGGCAGGGAACGCGCCATTATTAGACACAAGTTGTTTCATAAAACTGTCAGTCATGTGATGAACAGAAATAATGCAATTCAAACTAAGCAACTGGAATGGATTAAGTATCAGTCAGCCCAAAAAAGGTTGTAATCGATTCCCCATCCCCCGTTGTATATGTCTGGAAAGCACAGCTTCCCAGGTATGTTAAACAGTTTTCAGTGCCTTCAAGTTTTCTTACCTCTAAATAATGAAAGGGAATAGCTTAAATGAGAGGGCATATCATAAAATGTAATCAGTCTGCAAATCTTTACAAATTTAATTCCAGTAAAATAATTTCGACGTAAAGTATTGAATATGCTTCGGGGTAACATTTAAGTACTCTAAGTGCACTCTTCTAATAATGTTTTTCAGTTCATTTACTTTGGGCTATTGGAAAAAAATTAATATTTATGCAGAACATAAACTTTAGTTGGGTGGCCTTAATGTAAGGCAAACAGACATGCTAAATCAAATCACAAAACTATCTGGAAATGGAACATTGAGAAAGTTCTCTGGAAAATTTTCCAGTGCAAGAAAACCCACATTCCTGGTGGCAGAGGAGCAACTCCAGGTCCCTCTTACCAATCAAGAGAAGTGAAGAGTGTAAGTACAATACTGGGAAATGGAAGGAGCTATCAGAGAGCTACAGGGAACTGATTTTAACCCTCTTCATGACTTTTGGAAGGTCACTTCCAGTGGAAGACGGTCTTCCAACAGAACATCCAAAAATTGAAAACCGAAGAAAACACAAATGTGAATAAGCAAGCATTGTGGCAATGAAGTTTCAAATAACAGCATGGTGGCTACTACTTTCTTAGAACCAGGCCATCAAGATTCCCGACAGATCTTCAGGAAGATACTTGGCTAGAGGAAATACTGGAAAGCCAAGGGACCAGTTAGCTCTAACACAGAAGACACTTCATTTGGAATTGTAACTGGAAGCAGATTATGGAGGAAGAGATCTGTTGTTTCACAGCTAACCGGAAAGTTGGTTCTTCTAAGCTGCTGTAACTGCATTAAAAATAGAAGGAAGGATCTCAGCAATGACACCTGTAAATTTCAAGCAGCTGGTCTTGCCTCAGCCATGTCACCCGAGAACAACCAGGTTAAAAGAAAAACAAATCCGCTTCAGCCAACAAAAGGAAGATGAAGCCTAGATTTGCAAATAATAATTTATGAAGGTTCAGGAATTTTTCTAGGCAACAAAGCTAGTAGGAAAGGGTTCAGCTGTCTGTTTACTATTATGTAAGAAAAAAGCTAAAAACTGTTATTCATTTATTTCGAGGCCTGTATGTTTAAGTAGAGGAACCAATACTTGTACTTTTGACTGGAAACCAGGGAATTCCATAGGACATATCACATTCATAGTGAAGAGAAGAAAATACTCAAGAGTCTACCTACCTGCCAATTATCTTCCTGCTCTCATGCAAAGTCATCCAGACATACTTTACAAGGTTTTAAAAAGGAAGTTGCTGGCAAGGCTCCTTTCACCTCGCAATGCTCGCCAAGTTGAGAAGCACCCAGTGATGCAAAATTAATTGCAATACTGATTAGTTAAGGAGTCCTTGTGATCTCAGTGCCCCCAAACTTACCTATTTCGGCCATCAGATTTTTTTAATGTAGCAGAATTAGAAGAAGCAGGAACAAGACTTCTACTGTTATCACTTTTTAAAGAGAGTGCTGTTTTCATACAAGTGTGTTTTTAGGATGTGAAAAGGGACCATAGTTCATAGGAGCACAAAATACCCAGATTCAATCCCCGACATCTCCAGGTAAGGCTGAGAAGACTTCATTCTCGAAAGCCTAAAGAACTGCTGCCAGTCAGCTCAATACTGAGCTAGATGGGCCAATAGTAAGAAACAACTTTGGCTATTGTTGGACTGTCCCACCACCCCACTTCCCAGCAGCTGCTTCAGTATTCCTGTTTAAAAGGGCATGAGTTTTTTTGCTGCATAACATCAGAAAGCCAAATCAGAGTGAGGGCATGAAGCAGTTTGCTCAGAGCAGCATTGTACCAATCCCACAAAGTCAATTAGTTGTTGCGACATAATGCCAAATAAGAAAACAATGCTTCCAGACCTTACTATTGATTGGCAATTGCTATTCATATTGCAGAAATCCCCCCCCCCAAAAAAATGGACAGTACATTTTTGCAAGGTGGCAAATGTTTTGTGAAATGCTGTTTCTGTTGTCACTTAACCATGACTGTTTCTCACCTCTCCCAGCATAGCTGTCGAGAGCCCTTTAAGACAGAAATTTTTTAAATAATCCTAAGCTTTAGTTACTCTACCAACAGCATAAGACCAGCTTGAAAACCCAAACATGTTGCTCTCTAATAACCAGTGAAGCTCAAGCCAAAATGGAAGAGCCTAATCAGCAAGTGATGTGCAAATTGGTTTTATTCCCATTCCTTGTTCACTTGAGAGTTAAGACCAGGAAGTGGTGAACCTAAGGAGTCCTTCTCTAGCTGGTATCACATGACCAATGCTTTGTGGCTTCCATATGACAAGATGGCTGCCACAGCTAAGAATTCCTACTGAAGCACACCAGCATCCTACCTTGCTTACTAGCAAGAAAATCCCACGAGGCAGTGTGTTTTGCTAAGTGGAGCAGGTGCAAGTTTAGCAGCCACAGTTCTCCCTCGGAACAATGGGAGGTGATGACCAACCTGAGCACATACTCTTCCTGAGCCAGCCACATGAGGGGACTTGGCTTGAAAGTACCTAATGGTAGCAAGGCCAGTTACCCTGCTGCTGTGCACCGGGGAGAAAGAGAGCAGCTGCCCAAGAGCCTCGGAGCTCAGCGGGCGAAGCATTCTCGCCAGTGTGGCTTGAGGATCCATCGAGAACCATAGAAGCATCTGGCCTGCAACTTGACAGCATGTTGGAAAAGGGACCCCCCCTCCCCATATCTGACAAGTGTGAATCTGAAGGCCCTCGCTTCTTATTAAAGAGGCTTGTTTCTTATGTGAAACGAGAGATCATTGGATCCCCAAGGGCTCCTTGCAGGTAGTATTCTCCTTTCTGGGGAGGCCCCCTTCCTCCTCCTCCTCCTCCTCCGTGATTCAGCAACCCTTCGGGAGCCACGTTCAGAAGCTGCCCGGCGACGCCCCCTGAACCGGCAGATCCAGCCAGGGCGGCCCTGCTTCCGCCGCAGCCCTGGAGGCGCCTGGCGGGGGGAGGCGGCGCTGGAGGCCCGAGGAAGGGAGCCCCACAGCCCCCCGGCCCGCCTCTCTCTCCCGGCCCAGGAGGCGGCGGGTGACTCGGCAGAACTGGCGGAGCAGGAAGTGGCCTCGCCGAGGAGGAAGCGCCGCCTCCCTCCGGCTCCGTCCCCCCCCCGGCGCCCGGGGGCATCACGCCCCCCCCGGACCCCCCACAGAAAGACCCCTCAATGAGAGGCCCTACGGGGGGGGGGAGGCCAGGAAGGAGCCGGCGCCCCCTCCCCTCGAGGAAATGATGGCGCCCCCTCCTCGAGGAAGGCTTTGGGGGGGAGAGGCCACGGCGGGGGGAGAGAGAAATGGCGGCGCCTGAGGGAGGGGGAAACGGGGGGGGCTTTTCTGTCTCCTCAATCCGCCGCCCCCCCCCCGTTCCAGGCCTCGTAGGACCGGGCGAGGGAGCGAAGGAGGCGGCGAGGCCTTCCTCAGGCGGCGGCCCGGAGGGAAGGAGGGACCGGGGGGGGTCCTCCTGTCAGGCGGGTCTCTCCCCCCCCCCGTGTGAGACTCACTCGGCTCCCGAGGCCATGGCGGCAAGGCTCGGCTGCAGCGGTCTGGAAGGGTGGCTCGGCCTGGGCGCCGCGCTCGCTCGCTCGCTCTCTCTGCTCGCTCTCTCCTCGCTCGCTCGCCTTCCCCTCACGGATCAACGCCGACTCATCGGGAGTGACGCTCCGCCCGGCGTGCTAGGCCGCGCTCTGCCTAGCAACAGGTGCCGCGGCGGCCAATGGGAAAAAGGGAAACCGGCCCCGCTCGGCCAATCCGGAGGAGGGGCGGGACAAAAAGCCGCAGAGCTGCCGGAGCCGGAGGTTTGAGGGAGGGGGGGTCATCCGGGTAGCGCATTCCGTCGGGGACGGGCGGACCAATCGGAAAAATCCCTCGGCGCGAAAGGGAGGGGGAATAAAGGGGGGGAGCGCCGCCCGGATTCCTTTTCTGCCTGGCAACCCAGCGCGGATTGGGTGGAGCCCCGAGAGCGACGGGAGCGCTGCAGCCAGTCGCAACGTGACAAGTAGATGATTGGCGTGGCGGGGCAGCCAATGGGAGAGCGCGAGCACCGCGGACTCTCTGCGCAGGCTCGGGGCTGCGTGGCCCCGGAAGGGGATTTCCCGCCCTCGGCTTGCTGGGGCGCGTGACGTCATAAAGGGGAAGGCGGGGCTGGGGAGAGAGTGCCTCTGAGAATGTGCAGAGCGCGCCGCAGGGAGAGGCGCTGCTGCTTTGGCGCAGGGAGGCCAGGAGGGGAGGCTCGGAGCTGCGGCAGAGAAGCCGGGAGCAGCTCTCCTGCTGCAGCCACAGCGACGCGGCGTCTCCCCCACGCCAAGGTTTCTGCTTCTGCGTGGGATCCTAGAACCACAGGGTCGCAGAGAGTTATCTGGCCCAGCCCCCTGCAATGCAGGAATCCCAGCTAAGGCATCTCTGACAGATGGCTGTCCAACCTTCTTTAAAAATGTCCACCGCCTCCAGAGGCAGCCCGTTCCACCGTTGTTGTTGTTCCCCCCATAAAATTTTATATAGAATATACTAAAAAACTAACCTAAATAAAAACAGAGAAAAGAAAATGCAGAGTCCTTTCTTAAATATAGTTCTTAATGCAGAAAGGGGTGGCCCCTTCCAGATCTCACCCTGGAACCTCCATTTCTTCCCCCAGTCTCCCACTCTGGGACTTATTCCCTTCCCGGCCGCTCAGGGTCCTTCACCAACCATCCATCACCTTCATCTGTGTATAATCCCAATAATGTCCCAGAGGAGAGGACACCATATAAAACAAAAGGGGGGAAAAGAGAAGAGGGAATATAAAAAGAAGGGGGGGTAAAGGGAAAGGGGATAAAAAGGAATTCTGATTTTCCGTCTATCAGTTACATAAAAAACATTCACCCTAAGATGACATCCAGTTGTTCTACCTTCTGCTAAGCAATTATTTTCCCAAACTTCAGACCCACATTCCTGCATTGCAGGACCCTTGAGGTCCCTTCCAACTCTACAGTTCTATGATTCTATGAAATGTCTCAAATTTTCATTTCCACACAAAAAGTCTAAAAGGGGTTGTCTGATTATTATTAACAATAAATGTCAACAATTTTTTTTCTAATGACACGTAACAGCTCTGCTTCCAAGCATTCCTCCATATTAAGGCTGCTACATCACTTCTGAAACTTAGCAGAGAGATGTGGGAAGAGTGAGGCCCTTTTCTGCAGTCCCAGGGCCAGGGCCAACTGCTCTTTGGTCCCTCCACTTAGCAGGTAAAAGATAAAGGGACCCCTGACCATTAGGTACAGTCACGGACGACTCTGCGGTTGCGGCACTCATCTCGCTTTATTGGCCGAGGGAGCCGGCATACAGCTTCCGGGTCATGTGGCCAGCAGGACTAAGCCGCTTCTGGAGAACCAGAGCAGCGCATGGAAACGCCGTTTATCTTCCTGCCGGAGCGGTACCTATTTATCTACTTGCCCTTTTGATGTGCTTTCGAACTGCTAGGTGGGCAGTAGCAGGGACTGAGCAATGGCAGCTCAACCTGTCACAGGGATTTGAACCGCCGACCTTCTGATCGGCAAGTCCTAGGCTCTGTGGTTTAGACCACAGCGTCCCCCATGTTAGCAGGTAGATAGTCACTATTCATGAGAGGGAGAGTTAGTACTTTCAGTTTGACTGACCCAACAGCTATCTTTCCAGGACTCCTAGGGCCACACTATTCCCTCATTAGATGAAAAACACAGGATAGTATTCAACTAAATTTTACTCAAAAATAGACTCATTGAGATTAACGAAAAAGACTTAAATTGGGTCCATTTACTCAGAGTACTACTTTGCTGAATACCACTCACAGCAGGCATTGCTTCAGACTTCATCCCCTCCACGGCTCTCTTCAAATAATTTAGAACTAAAGATTTCACAAGAGACATTTTGATAATAAAGAGATGAGTCATTAAAAAGAAATACAGGCTTTATAAATTCTTAAGTACCCTGTATGATGATCAGGCAAATGGAAGAAAATAGCTTATACAACACATCTTTCAAAAGGGGAGCTGGGGGGGGGGAGCAAACCTCTGTGTCACCCAACATCTTTTGGGCCGCCCCAGTACAGCTTGGAAAGAGAAGCTACCCAGAATCAGATGAACAGGAAAGCCGACAATTGTGCCCACAGACCAAAATGGAGACACCACAAACCCATCTGTGTGCTGTTACCACATGGTGCTATGTTTGCAATTCTCTCTCGTAAATGCCAAGCAACATGACTGATGGAGCCCTGGGCATAAAGGATAAGCACAAAGGAAGAGGCAGCAAGAGGACAGAGCTAGGTTTGCGTCTACCTCAGGAATGGATTGTTTTGTTGCCAGTTAAGAAAGCGCCCCCTCCCCACCCCTTCCTCCCAAATTTGCAGCAAAGAGCACCTGAAGATTTTCACAATACTGTGGGGCTTCGTTTTACAAATACCTGGACCAGAGTCACCCCTCTTTGCTTGCTTCCTCCTTCCACTAAGGACATAATCTCAAAAATAACTGAATCATACAGGAGCAAAGACATGTGGAGCTTCTGCAAAAACCCCACATCCTTTCCACTAGGACGAGGGTCACTGTCATCACTTGTCTTTGGTGACTGCAACTGAAACATTCCCCTTCCCAAAGGCAAAGCGGAGCCCTGGAAAATCCGCTGAGGAAGCTGTCTGGAAGAAGGGCCTGGCAAGGGCAGAGGAGAGGAGAGGCAGGAGCAGCAGCAGCAGCAGCAGCTCCTCTAGGGTCCCTGGCTGCTCCCCGCAAGGAAGCTTCCCACATTCTTGGCGAGGGATTCTGTGTGAGGAAACTTCGTCTGCCTCATGCATGGCCGCAAGTATATCGGGAAGGATCTGAAACATAAGGAGGGAGGGGAGAAATCGGTGTCAGTGGCTGCTAAAGCAGAGATGGGCAGGTTACGATGACCGAGGGTAGGAGGAGAGCATGGTCTATGGTGACCAGTGGCGAGGGCAAAAGGGAAGAGACGCCCAAAGTGTTGCAAGCAGCCAAGAGACCAAGGCCCTCCCTGCAGCCTGAGCATCATTGGTCAGGTGTATGTATGGGTGGAAAGTCGCAGCAGCAGAGTGGGAACTTGGATGGCCTCCTCCCACGTCCAATACTGCGCTTCCTCATCTTCTGTTCAGGGGGCAGGGACAGGATTCAGCAGCATGCACACACCTTTCCGCCTCTTCCTCCAAGCCTGCAGCGTTCACATGGGGCTTCTGCCAGTGGGCGGCTGCCTCCTGCCTTCGGTCCAGCTTCCAGAGGGTGTGCGCAAGGTACAAGTTAGCAGAGGGCCTGTCTGTAAAGCACAAAGGAAGCGGCATGACCAGAACTGGCCTCAGGGCTGCTGGGAACCCCAGGAGAAATCCCAACATGCCCTTGCCCTCCCCAAACTGGATCTTGCTGAGTGGACCCTTGTCGCCCACCACCTTGCTCCACGCCCTCCCCTCCACCAGGGGCAAAAAGGGCCTGCATTTAGTCTGCCCCAAAGAGCTCCAAATTCTGTCTCCTACTTTACAGAAGTTACCTAAGCATACATCTAAATACTTACTCTGCATAATTTATTTTGCATGCTATGAAAATTACTCGATCCTCCCCACCCACTCCTTTAACCACTGGACTGACTGGAGGCCAGGCCCCTCCCATAGGTAAAGGATTCCTGGCTGTAGGTACCTGGACAGACAAGCAAGCTGTGCTGGAAATCTGCCAAAGCTTCTTTATTCCGCCCCAGATGCAGGAATTGGATCCCTCGTCCAGTCAGGGCCAGCTGCCTGATTTGGGGAAGCACCTTTGCTTCCGACAGCCCCATCTGCTCTGCCTCCTTTCCAGTGCTGCTATTGCTGCCTGATAGAGAAAGAAGACTGTTGCCCTTGGGTTTTGCTCTCCCAGCCATGAGCCAGAGAGGTCAACAGAAACAAAGCCAATTCTTTGGCCCTGTTCTCTCCCTGCCCGCTGCCCTTTCTGCAGAGTCTACTCTTGCTCCCACATGCAGTGGGGGGTGGGGGGTCAAGAGAAAGAAAATGGAAGCAGAAACCTCTCGGGCCAAGTGGCTGGACTTCAACTTGTGATGTCACAAAAGGACCAGTCTGGACTCATGGCATGATTAAACGAGAGGTGAGGACTCTCCTAAACCATTCCCACCTTGGGCAGCAGTAGGTTAGCTCTAGCCCTACAAAAGGGCTTTCCCCAGCTCCAGAAATCCCTCCAGCCAAGAGGAAGGCAGACAGAAACTGGCGGTAAGCATCCCGATCCATACCTGTGGTCACAAAATGGACTCTCAGAAGATCATTAAGACACCTGTTGGGGAAGGAGCAAAGCACAATCATCTTAGGGTTCTCAGATGAAAGCCAGAGTCAAGAGAATTTGAGGGGCTATTCAGGTATCTACTCAGTTTTCCTGACAGAACGGGGAACAAGCACTTATGGGCATGCTGGCGGGTTTCGGCCTGCATGCAACCAGACCACACAAGCATAGAAACCGGACCCTGGGGCCAGCTTCTCATTTCAAGGCTGCAAAGAGAAGCTCAGGGGTGGAGGCAGGATTTTCAACACTCTCTGCAGCTCCTTAGCAGACTCCATGGCAAGCAGAACCAAACAAGGAGGCGTGCAGTTGTTCCTTTGAGCTGCGAGATCAGGGGTTCTGGGGCAGAACACGGATGTTTTAAGTACCAAGGTATACACAGCCTTCCTTAATGGGACACATCCATGAATATCCAGGGCAAGTACCTGGACAACAGGATGAGGGCTGCATCTAATACGCCATCCTGTCTCACAAGGCCAGTTCCCTTCGAATGGCTGCAAGAGAATGCTCTCCTAGCATCCAATAAAGGGACGGACAGGATGAGGCACTCAGAACCATCTTCCCTGGATCACAAATCAGGAGCCCGATTACCTGCTCAAGTGGCTTATGGCTTCCTTGGCTTCTTCTAGCCCAGCCCATGCCAAGCCCTGGATCAAATAGGCAGCTGCTCGCCAAAGGACACAGAGCAGGCTCTCCCGCTTCCGCTTCATGAGGTTGCCAGCAGAATTTGTCAGTGAGGACCCAGCAGGCCCCGGGAGGTCCTCTGCAGCCCACAAGTCCAGCTCAATTGGCAGCCTCTCGGGGATCAGTCCATTCATCCGGGTTGCCACCTCTTCGCACACTGCAATGGCATCTCGATGCCTGGCGAGCTCTTCCAGGGCAGAGGCGGCCTCTAAGAAGACCTCGGGGATCCTGGGCAAGGCCAGCTCACCACACAGAGACACCTGCAGAGGAGGAGGGCCCCACCCAAGGATCAGTAGGTGCTGGGTCCACAACAAGGAACACAGCACAGGCACTAGAGGAAACAATGCTTGAAGCCAAGAGTGCTAAAGAAATTGGGCAGGCTTGGGTGCAAATGTCTCAGGCCACCATCGGCTGCTGAAGCCAACATGGAAGCCAGGACAGCAACTGATACATGAGAAAGACTGGGGGGGGGGAATCCCTCACTTCTTTATCATTGCTGAACAGGGTCCTCCTTGGCTATGGCTGCCCCAGAAAGATGCTGGGGTCACTGGGTGTATTTGGGCAAGTCAGCACTGACATACCCAGAGGGTTACTGTGAAAGGACACAAGATTAAGTCTTCAAAGTCATTTGCACACAAGGAGAAGGCTTCAAGGCTGAATGGCCACCATGACCTCCGTGTGCCCTTGAAGACTGCAAAACACTGCACTCATCTCCCTGGGATGCCTCTGGCACTGGCTTCCTGTTATCTTCGAGAGACTGTTCAAGATGCTGCTGCTGACCTTCAGAAGGCGGAATACCCTCACCCCCACCCTCTGCCCCAGCAACTGAAATCTTCCTCTCGACGACTGCACACATGCAACACATTGGAAGAGCAAGGAGCATTACCAAGCCCTTGCAGATTAGGAAGCACAATTCAAAAAGCAAATGTAAAACAGTCTGTCAAGCTCCAGTTGGAGAACTATTTAAACTGGTAGCTGCATAAACCCCACACATTTATGCCAGAATTCGGGGGATGATTGCATTTATCGTGCTTCTTTATGGAGCTGTTTAAGTGGACTTCCATGCTACTTGCAACATTTGTTATTTGATTTATTGTTAGCCCATTCTCTGCTATTGTTGAGAGTGGGAGGCTTGCACATTCCTTCAAACAAAAACCAGCAGATGGCATGAAGATTAAATAGCTGCAAGGTGCCAACCTGGTGAAGAGGCCCTTCCTGGAACAGAGCCAAGAGGTCCAGGTAGTGCTCCACTGCCTCACTCACCCTGCAGGAGAAAAGAAAACAGTTTGCTTCTACGCCTAATCCAGGGTGCTCATATTAGTATTTAAAGCCTTAAATGACATAGCCCCCCCCAATATCTGAAATACCCTCTCCCCCTCTTTAGCTTGGCATCTGGCAGTTAAGGTGTTTTTCTTTTTCTTTGGGGTTGCTGTTTTTTTGCTGTATTTATACTGCTCTGGAATGGTTTTACTTGTTTTTATCATTGTGATTGTTTCATCTGTTTTTATAATTGAATACTGTATGGTTGTAACCTTCCCTGGGCCCTAATGGTGGATAAGGAATCTGATAAATAAATGAAAATAAACAACAGGAGCTGCAAGGACCTACAAGGACATCCCATGGGCCTCCTAAAGACAGCTCCCTGCCCTCATTCAAAGAGAGCTCATGAGCTGATGAGCAACTTCCTTCCAGCAGGAGTCTCCTGTTAGTAATTTGAGATGCCTAAGGAAAGTTCTCCCTAGAGAAAACTGAAGCCACCAATTCCCTCCCCACCTCAAGTGAGCAACCAGGGAGACTTATGTAACAGGAGGGGGGGGCACTCACCTCCCTGCCTGGAGGTTCCTTTGTGCCAGCAAATATTTCACATCTGACGGACAGTTCTTGACAAAGAAGCTGCTCAGTTGTGATGCGCAGGTGAGCAGCTCCATTTGGATGAGGAAACATGGACTGGCAAGCTCTGCCGTTACCTGTGCAGGACCATCCAGAGCCTGAGGCAGGGAGAGCGGAGGAAACGGGAACATTGGTGACGTCAGAGGCAGAGCTAGCTGCTCCAGCACCTGGAGCGGCACACATGCTGTGCACCCGGGGGCAGGGCCATGGGGATGGGCCAAGCGTCCCAGAGGGGCATCGCGGTGAGCATCTCGGGGCAAGACACCCATGGGGGGTGGAGCGAGCCGCCCATGACGACCTGCTTCCTGGGGGGGGGGAGCCTGGGAGTGGGGGGCAACAGTGCAACGCCGCCCACGACTCCCAAGCCTCCCCTGAGCTGTCAAAACGAAGGGGGAAGGCCGCTGGCAAGGCGGCGCAGCTCCGCCCCTTTGCACGATGGCTCGGGGTAGGCTTGGGAGTCACAGGCAGGCGGTGTGCCGAATGTCACCCCCTTCAGTGATGACACCCGGGGCGAAGCACCCCCACCGCTCCCCCTTCCTCCGCCCCTGGGTGATTCAACGCTGTTGGGCATCAGACAGAGTGGAATAGTGCATCCAAGGAGAGATCTGCATTGGCTAACTCCTCCTGCCCTTCTTCATGAGGGGATATTGGACCTTGAGAAGGAAGGAAGGAAGGAAGGAAGGAAGGAAGGAAGGAAGGAAGGAAGGAAGGAAGGGAGGGAGTCCAAGGAAAATGGCTGGTCTGCCTGGACCAAGGGCAGGCAGGTATCTATAGCCACCTCCTGGCCAGTTGGCTCCCTCAGCTGTCAAGTAGGGAGGGGACCAAGCCAGAAGCGCAGCCAGTTCTTCTCAGGCAGAGCAGCTGCAGCGTCAATGCACCCCCTTGGCATCATCAGGCAGGGATAGGAAAACCTTAGACACACCTGATACAGCAGCACCAGGACCTCCAGCTCAGCCTCCCGAAGCCCCAGTTGGTGGTACACCAGGGATGCTTGGGACAGGGCAGGGAGGAACGTGAAATCCACCTGCAGGGCTCGTTTCAGGTACTGAATTGCCACCTGTGGCTTGTCCTGGAACACAGAGGAGCAGATGCAATACAAAGTGCCGAGATCCAAAGGTTGAGGTTTAAGCCCGCCCCCGCAAATGTATAATCGTAGAAATACTTTTATCGCTTTTAGCGTTTGTACCTGCTGTATTTCATCATGGTTTATCTCATTGCACACCACTTCAAGAGTGGTATTAGTAACCCTAATTTACTAAATACAATGTTTAACATTTTTTATTAAAGGATATTTCACTAAAATATTTCTCAATATTTTAACATTGTTACTGCTTGGCAAGAAGACATTTGCAATGCATATGTATTATCTTAGAATACTGCAGTATGATAAATTCTACCCACCTGGTTCTTTTGAAGTATTGCCCTTTAGTTTAGAATTTTTAATTATTATTTTTAATGTGAAGAATTTTAAATGTTCTACCATGTATGCTTTTTATCACTATGAGTTGCTCTGAGATGTTTTTGTAGTTAGTGACAAATGCATGTAATAAATGCATAATTTTAGGCCTTTCCTGCTTAATAAGCCAAATTCCTGGCTCTCTGACATTAGCAGTACTTAAAAGAAGTCCCAATAGGGGAGTGGCAAGGCAGAGCAGCCCCTGGCAAGGGGGAAAGAGAACTTAGACCAACATGGCACTTTCTGCTGCAGCTCTCAGAACCGCTGGAGGCCCCACACTTCAGGGGCATATTGACACAGTTTTGCCCTAATAGCAACACTTTCCCAAGCTGTGCCACCCTGCCACCCTGTTACCCTCTCCCCCCTCGATGCACCCATACCATTTTCATGTTGCAGCATCCCATTAAGGTGAAGATCTGGGCAAGGCGTCGCCTAGAACAGAGTCCCGTAGCAGCTGTTTGGAGAAGGGCAACAGCGGCAGGGAGATCACCGGCTTCCAGTTCCTGAACTCCTGGAACAGAGAGGAAAACCTGTTCCCACCTACTGAGTAGAATTTGACACAGAACTCCAGGAGCTGCATGACCAAAGCAGAACAGAGCGTGGTCCCCCATCTTTTGTTTGGACTTGTATGTGATAACTAGGGTTACACAGAGAAGTATTTTGTGCTGAAGGGTTTTCAAAAATATGACTTAAAGTTGCTATTACAGTTACTGAACATTAGCAGAAGCTCAACAGGAAGAACATTTAAACAACAGAATCAATTATCTTGGAGGGTGCTGGGCTCTCCCTCACAGGAGGCTGAAAAGCCATCTGTTGGTGGGGAGGGGTGCTCTAGATCTCTGGTTTCCCCCCTCTGAGAAAGGGGTTGATCTAGACTGCCTAAAAGACCCACCCCCCATTATACAATTCTATTATCCAGACTTTGCTCCTGAGACAGAGTGGAAAGCAATTAAAACAAGTCTATCGAACTTCCGAGCCAGAAGAGCAACTGGGAGTGCTATAGCTTTGTTATAACCCAAAACCACATCCTCTTGCTCCTCCTCCTCTTTCTCAGAGGAAAGCATTTAATCTGCCTTGGCACACTCAATCCCTGACTTAAGTACCCTGCAGATGGACTGATTTTGCCTCCCTAGCAAGTGGCTTCCTGGCAGAAACAACGGTAGCTGCCAAGGTGCGGGTCAAAAGGGAGGTGTACAGAAGCAGCAGGCATGCGGAGAGTGGGAAATCACAGCGCCACCTTGCAGAAAGGCAGCCGAAGTCCACAGGATGCCTTTCAACTCTTGGACACTCTGCACAAGGAGGGGGTCAGACTCTGCCATGTCAGGTGGCTGCCACATCTGGAGCAGGGAAAGGAACTTGTTCTGATGGCCATGGCAAGGAGAAGGCCTCAGGCTCTGAAAAAGGAATAACGGTTCACGGTCAAGAGTCCTGCAGCACTTCAAACACATGCGAATTTCTTGGAAGAACGGAAGAGCAAGTCTGCTGGATCAGACCCAAAGGGGGCACACATGGTCCAGCATCCTGTGACTGCCATGGCCAACCGGATGACTCTTCTGGAAAGCCCAAAAGCAGGACTCTCCCCATCTGTGCTCCCCTCTAACTGGTCCGCAGAGGCATCCTGCCTCCAGGACTGGACGTGGTGCCATTCTCTACATGCCAGCCAGGCTGGCAGCAGGGAGAGTCAGAGGAGAGGCTGGAGGCAGAGGGGAATGCCTGCTTCAACTGGGCTTACCAGGAAACTGGGCTTACCAGGCAGAACTGCAGAAGCCCACATGTTCTTTTGCTGTTCCTTTTCCTAGCCCATGGCCCCTCAGGCTGGTTACTGGTGTGTGATTCAACCAGGGCCAATGAACAGTCAGAGCATGCCAGGTCTTTTATCAGAGCTCCTTGCAGAAATTGCAGTCCCACAATTTAAGCTGAATGGTCATGTAGAGGCAGCACCGCAAGCTGCCATCCCATTTGCAAAGGGTGGGGAAAGCGTTCACTTAGGAGGGAAGGGCAAGCAATGCCTCAATACAGATGCTATGCAGCTCCAGGCTGCTATTAGCTTACCTTGGCGCCCTTCAGAAGCTGAAAGAGGCCTTCCACGGTTGTGAGGCGATTTGCTGCAAGCCACAGCACCCCCTGCAGGGCAGCCAGTCGATGCAGAGGGGCCTGCAGTTCTTGAAGGGTATCCTCCTGGAGCACCCTCTGCCAGCGGCCCTCTGAGCCAAGTCCTCGGCCAGACACTGCACACACCTCTAGAACTAGCAGAGACAGACAGAGGAAAACCTGCGTGGATATAACTTTCAGTCAAAGGTGGGGTTGGGGAGAGAAGTGCTGCATCGCAGGAGTCTTTGCACATAGAGAAAGACCAGGCTCCCTCTAGAGTTACAGGGGGATTTGGAACCTGGGGGGAGAGGAAGAATCCCCTCCAACTCCGGCATCCCACTGCCTCAAAAAAACAGCGCCAGCAGCAAAAACACCCAGGTATGTATTTATTCATGACTTTGATTCTACCACCCATCATTTGGAGAGCACGTGGAGACATTTCTCTTACCCCTGCTCAGCCCATGATCTATCGCTCCCAATAGTTTCTCGCCAGAGTTGCTGGAGAGGCAGATATCAAACACCAGGGAATTGTAGAGGATAGCCAGCTCCAGTGGCAGAGCTGGGAGTGCAGCTGGAAGCCCTGCAAAACAAGAGGGAGAGAGAATTCAAAGGTGAACCCTTCCATCCACCTGAAGAACTCACCAGGTGGCGCCATGTCAACGGTCATTGGGGGTCAGCACCCAAGGGGTTTGCAGGATCTGAGCACCCAAAGTCAGGAAGGGCAGGCAGGCGCTTTCAGGTTCCAGACTTGGCAACAGTGAGGTTAAGGAAGGATGGCCAGCCAGAGTTCGGGAGTGAGAGTCTAGCTGTTCACACAAGACAAGAAGCCCATTCCACTCTGGAGCAAATGATGCAGCTCTTTTTGCTGAAGCTAAGCAGGCCTGGGCCTGGCCAGTGTCTGGACGGGAGACCACCTGGGAACTGCCTTGATTCTCAAGGTGGAAGAAAAGCAAGAGATAAAGGACTAAATAAGCAAATTGTACTTTTCCTGTTGCCGTCACCTGGACGGTCCTCTCTTGAAAACTGAGACTGTGGGGAACCAATCCAGCCGGACTGAAACAAAAGCTATCCTAGCCATTTTTCAGCTTAACTTGTGGAGGGGTAGATTGTTCACCACCCTCTCCAAGGCAAAAAAACCAGCCAGAAACGTGTGAAGAGAGCAAAGCAGCAAGGAAATCCAGATTCCTTACAATCAGCTGGGGTGGCCCTGTTGGTGGTGCTGCCACTGGGGTTTCCTGAGACAGGGCCTTCTGGGTGGTGGTCCTCTATTTATGGGATGCCCTCACTCATGAGGGTCATCAGACTCCTTCACAATTAACTTCTAGGAGAAAGGGAGAATTTCTAAAAAAAAAAAAATCACTGTTTACCCTGGCATTTGATGGCTTAAAGTTCTATGCCTGGCTACTCTGAAATCATTGGTTTGGGAGTAGGTGGTTGCTTTTTAAATGGTTTTATAGAACACTGCTTTTCATCGGGTTGTATTTTTTAGAAGTTTTAATTGTATTGTTTTAGAATTGCCTGGGGGTCCTTTAGAGGAAGGTGCAGGATATAAATTGAATATTCACCCAGTGCTTTACCAGCTGCACTGGCTCCTGGTGGAGTATCGGGTCAGGTTTAAGGTGCTGGTTTTGACCTTTAAAGCCCTTTGTGGCTTAGGACCCTCGTATCTACAGGACCGCCTCTCCTGGTCTGCCCCGCAGAGGACCTTAAGGTCCATGAATAATCCTAGTTTAGAGGTCCCGGGCCCTAAGGAAGTCAGACTATCCTCCACCAGGGCCAGGGCCTTCTCAGTGATGGCTCTGACCTGGTGGAATGCTCTGTCCCATGAGACCAGGGCCCTGCAGGATTTAACTTCCTTCCGCAGGGCCTGTAAGACACAACTATTCCGCCTGGCTTTCAATTTGAACCTGGCCTGATCTTTTGTTCCCCTTCCTTCCCTCCCACTCCCCTTTTTGTGAAGATTGCACGCTCTGGGATCCCAGAGCTGGTTCTCCCCTGGTCTCCTCGCTGGCCCAAGTGGGATCTTGATTTTTTATTTTATTTACGTTTTATACCGTATTTTATGCTTCTTCTTTTTTTTTTGTATCATCAATTAAGTGTTTTAAATTTGTTGTTAGCCGCCCTGAGCCTGGTTTCCTAAACCGGGAAGGGCGGGGTATAAAATAATTTATTATTATTATTATTATTATTATTATTAAATAAAACATGCAGAAGGAAACCAGGCTTAACCCCATATGGCCCCAAAGCCCTGCTGGCTTCAGTTTCATCAGGGAGATGTCAGCCCAGAACTTCACCATGAGCTGCCCCACACTTGTGCCACAGAAAGGGCCTGGCTACTGCCCAATTTCCAGCCTACCAATAAAGGTTTTTTTCCCCTGAACTGCTACCTTGGATCTTCTGCAGCAGCTTAGTGAAGGCGAGCTGGCACTCGTGAGCCGTTTGCGTCACTGAACTGTCAGGACCTGGAGAACTTGTCACCTGCCGAGAAAAGAGGAGGAGGGAGCTTGAAGGTCCAGAGGAGGTCAGAAATAACGGCCATGAACAGATTCTAGGACAGGAGCAAAGACACTTTACAAGAAGATGGGGCTCTCACAACAATCAAAAGTACGGTAGTACAGTCGTACCTCGGAAGTCTAACAGAATCCGTTCCGGAAGTCCATTCGACTTCCGAAACTTTTGGAAAGCAAGGCACGGCTTCTGATTGGTTTCCGATTGCGCAGGCACGCCATAATCAATAGCAGTAGCCACGCCGGACATTCGGCTTCCAAAAAAACGTTCAAAAACCGGAACACTCACTTAGGTTTTCGATTGTTTGGGAGCCAGAACATTTGACTCCCAAGGCGTTCGAGAGCCGAGGTAGGACGTAAGATCTCACACAGAACTAGCTGGACCACTAGAGAGACACTGTGACAGGCACCTTTCCTTCTGTAAGCCCAAGGGCTGTCTTACTATTATTACCGATACTACTCCACCCTGAGAGTCTTTTTGGCACAACCGTGGGGTAAAAATGCTTTAATTAATAAGTGTATCTCCATCAGGTTAAAGCCAGAGCTTGTATCCGAGGGCCTAATTTGCAGGCAGGGAAGCCTAACATCACCGCCACAAACCTCATTATCCACCGTATGTTCTCACGCCTGCGACAGACTTCCATAGGAATGTCATTGCTAATGGAATGCTGCAACTGGGTAACATAAAATAATGTAGTTTAAAATGGGGGTGGGAGTAATAGGGTGGACTTTGCATGCAGGTTGGCATCAATCTACAAAAATGGCCATTGGGCTGCTCCTCATACATTTTAACTGTATGATTACAAACCACTTTGAGGCTTATTCTCATTCTCATTTAGTTATATATACACCACCCTTTTTCCTGACGGGGACTCGAAGCACCTTACAGATAAAATATTCAATTTTATCAGCTAATGCTATATTTCTCAATTTCTCTTCCATGGTGTTTGTTTCACTGTTTCCTAAACCATATGCAAAATTAATAGAATCGTAGAGTTGGGAGGGGCCCGAGGGTCATCTAGTCCAACCCCCTGCAATGCAGGAATTTAATAAGAGTATTAAAAATGAAAATAATAATACAATAAATTAAATGTAAACATTTCTTTTAAAAAAAGGATTTCAGTAATAACAACAATCAACTGTGGTGTTTCAGTAACAGCCAATATTATGATCAAAACACGGAGAAGGGATTGAAGCGCCCTGGGGGAAATCCAGGTGTTCTTGGACTACAACTCCCATCAGCCCCGGCTAGGAGGTCTAGGGTGCGGGGCTGAGGCTGCGCTCGCGGGGCCTGATGGGAATTGTAGTCCCAGGCCCTGACAGGCCCCCGCCTGCCGTAGCTGAGCAGCCGCTTTTCCTCGGTCGGGCGTCGCTCAAGGGAGGCCGCCGGGAAGAGGTACCGTCCGCCAGCGCCGCGCCAGCCCGTCGTTCTCGCCCCGCCAGAGGTCCAAGCAGCTCCCGCCGCCAGCCATGGAGGCCTCCCGGCCAAGCCCGGAGCAAGGCCTCGCCGCCGTCGCCGCCATGGAAACCGGCCCCACCCCGCTGTTTCCATTGGCCGCGCTCAGCGCGCTGGAGGCTCCCATTGGGCGAGCGGACGGGTTGCCGTGACGCTCAATCGCGGGCGGCAAAATTGAGCAGGGACGGCTACGGCGCCCGAGACGGCCCACAAAGCTCTCGAAGAGCGGGACGATCCGAAGTCTCGAAGGCCGCCGGCTGTCTCGTTGCGCGGCTGCCCAGTCGCCGCCGGTTCGATCCCCGGCAGCTCCAGTTCCGGGGGCCTCGTGTCATCTTCCTTATATTCCCCCCTTTTCTCCCAAAGGGCTCAAAGTGGTGCGCATGATTCTCCCACCTCCCCCTTTAACCCGCAAAACTGCCCTGTGGGGTATGTGAGGCTGAGAGGCAGTGGCTGGCCCAAGTTCACCCAGTGAGCTCCATGGCCAAGTGGCAGGATTTGAACCCTGGCCTCCCGGGTCCCAGCAGTCGGACACTCACACCTCAGCTTGCAGGAATGGGAGAAATGTCCCCCAAAAGCTGCCGCCAGTCCAGCTGCTGAAGGAATAGCAGGGAAATGCAGATTTCTAGGTAGAGGTTCTAAGCCAGAAACTCAGACGCAGGATGATGAGAGATCAGCATTAAGCAAAACTCCCTCACCTTTCTAAGAAATATCCTGTTGACGAGTCCCAGCTCAAATTAAACAGCACAGAAAGATCCTCACACAGAAGCTGGAACACTCTGAGAACAGGATTCTGGGCTAAGCGGGCTCCCTTTGGCCTGATGCAGCTTCAGGGCTTTTCTGATGTTCTCAGTTCTACACCTGCTGTGAGAACACTGGAAGAACCCTGAAGCAGAATCGGGCCTAAGGGAGCCTGCTTAGCCCAGAATCCTCTTCTCCCAGCAGCCAACCAGATGCCCATTATGGGAATCCCACAAACAGGATCTACAAGCAGCAGTGGAGCTCTCCCCACGTGTTGCTTTGTTCTGAGGCAGCAGGGATTTCCCTATTATTATTATCATCATCATCTTTTATAATAATAAGTTATTACTTATACCCCACACATCCAGTTCCCCCAGCCCCTACAGTTTTAAACACCTACCAAGAACCTAATTTCTTACCCACCTTCACCATGAAGACCCAAGGCTGGTTACAGCAATATAGAAACAAATTAAATCAGATCAAACCAATTACAGTCAAGAGAATAAGGTGAGATATCTCAGTATGTACAGGTGTCAAGGCCAGACTAAAGTGGTACATCTTCCACAGGCGACAGAAACCATACAATGAAGGTGCAAGATGAACCTCTGTGGGGATCCTGCAGTTTAGAAGCTGCCACTCCCTGAACTCCTGAGGACGGTGGAACTGCCAAGGTTGCCCTCTTGGCTTATCTCAACGCCCAAGAGGGTGTCTGCAGAGAAGGTGATCTTTCAGATATTTCAGGCCTACGTTTGGTAGGGATCCACCCCACTCGATGTGGTCAGCACCTGCAGCACCACCCACCACCCACAGCAGGAGTGGGAAGCGTGGCCTTCCCATTTTGGGGCTCCCAGCATCCAGCATTGGCAACAATTAGAAGATGGTAGGAGCTGGAGTGCAGCTACTGACTGGTCAGGCAACCCACCCTAAAGTAAGGACTGCAGGAGCAACGAGGTTGCAAAAAGGGTTGCAAAAGGGAACACTGGCAGAAGATGGCACTGCCCACTTTGAGAGGTGCCTTGACTTACAAGTGATAAGACAGTAGCTGCAGACTCCGGGGGGCAAATAAAACTTACTACTTTTTCCACCCCAGCATGTTCCTTCCTTTGGCCCCTGCACACCCCATCCTCCAACATGGTTTAGTCTCAGGCTCACTTGCAGCCCCCCCCCCCAATTCATCGGCCCCTCTTTCATCACTAGAATGCGCACAAAACCTTCCTTCCTTCCTTCCTCCCCACCCAGGAACAGATCTTTGTTTACTTCAACAAAGAGGCAATTTTCCATCGTTTGGGATCAGACATTTTATTTACAGCAGTTTTAGAGCCAGCTCTGGCACACGTCTCCCCTTTCAACCTTGTGCACCGAAAACCCTTTTCTTAAAAAAAACACACTTCCAACACCTACTGTTGACCCTCCCCAAAGGAAGTTAACAGGATGACTATTCAGCATAAAAGGACCAACTCAGAACTACTTGCTCGTGGGTTTTGGTTTCATATTGCAGAAACAAAAAAGAAGCTGCAGAGTTATTCTATGCAAAGCCACTCCTTTTCTTGGTCTTCCCATAAAACATACCCTAAGAGGTAGGCCAGGGTATACCCAGTTTTGCACGTCAGGATAGAGAGGCACATAAGGTGAAAACACTTGCCCAAGGCAATAATGGTTCCAGCGGAGAGAGACTACAGACCATGGTCTGGTCTCCCTCAGAGGCAGGAGCAGGCCAAATAAAGGCACTGGAGGGTTTATCACTACTCTCAGTCTTCTGCTACCCTTCCAGATCTGAGAACTCTATTATGGATGGCACCTGCTAGGAATCTATAAGTAAAGTGACCATGTGCAGGATGGGCAGGAATAAGCCCACCTCCAGCTCAGAACTAGCGATGCCCCTGGTCTGAGCCACAGAAGCTCCTGGCAACCTGCTAAGTGTGATTTGTACATAACTGTGGGGAGGGCAAAACCCACAGGGCTGGCTATTTGTGGGTGCTTCTTTAACACTAGAATACACCAGAGCATTTTACAGAGAAGGATTCTGTGGCATGTAGCAGCAGAATTGCAGGTAGAAAGCCCCCAGGTCCTCTAAGGGAGAATTATCTATATACTATGAAACAAACATCAGAAAATGCAGGATATAAAAACACAGAAGTATTTCTCTTTTGCTTTTATAGCCCAAGAAAGAACACAGGCCCTGACGGATGGTTTCAAATGTTTGAACGTAATTCCTTCCCATTTGAAAAGCGGCACTTCTGATTTTGAAGCCCAGATTTTCTGACATAATACTTCATAGTAAAAGCAACTGTCCCTTAGGAGACTGGGTGTCAAGATCTCATCAGCTGGTTCCTCCAACTTGCAGCTCACAGTTCCCTCTAACAGTAGGTGAAGAGGGCTGTCACCTGTAGAAATTCTGGCTCTTTCAGTGTGATGTAAGGAAAACCTGGCTGCCAGATCAGGCCAAAGGGAGCCCATCTAGAGCCTTTGCCTATTGTGATGCCCCAGCAAGTGGTATTCAGAGGCATTTACTGCCCCAATCCTGGAGGTAGTGTGTCGTAACGAGTAACCACTGAAACTCTTTGTACGACTTCTGTTCTTTTTAAGCAAAAGCCAACAGTGCTAACTTTGAGTAATTTCAAACCAAACAGCTGTGAAATCATGGATGAAGAAGGATGCTGACGAGAGCAACAAATCATGTTTAATGAGCCTGGATCTACCCCTGCATGGAAATGGTGGGTACTAAACTTCAGAGCAAGTGCTCAGAACTGACAAACTGGGGCTATTTAGGGGACACTTAAGAATACTGACTGATCAGGGATTGCAAGGAAGCAGTCGTGTGAAATTTGAAGCTAGGCCCCAAACATCTGCGAAACGGCAAGAGATGCCAGGAAGAAACCTCTTGGCTTGTGCCGCGTTTGGGACAGAAAAATGTACTGGCTTGGCCCTCTCAGGTTCTCAGGACCAGATCCCAGGGTCTCGGGGAAGCTTCAGCTAATGAAGATGTTTAAGGCACCAATTCTGTGTGGAGGGGGAGAAGCAGCAAACGCACCTGGACTGGCAGGCAAGGCTGAAAGTCTCACTAGCACTGCTTTACTGGGCAAGAAAAGCCAGAGAGAATGCATAGAGTGTGAGGGGGCTGGAGAAGGTCAGGCCCCCCACCAGCCCCACCTGTTTGCCTGCAGCAGCCCCAACATAAAGAATGTCAACCACAAGCCTTTGCAACCACCTCATGGAAGTCGTTCCCTGTGCACTGTGTAAGCTTGCCATAAAAACGAATGTATCTTCCATGACACAAGAACACAGAAGCATAGCAGCATTAGGGTCACTCCTGTGGCTCAAATACCCTGCAGCAGCAGCCAAGAAAACTGACAGTGAAAACAGACATCAGAGGAAGGTGTTGACATTGGGAGTTGCGTCCTCCGTTTTCCAAGGTACGGTAAGGCAGAGCAAAACAAAGATCAGGGATGTCTTAGCACGGCCAAATCTTGCAGCGTTCAGTGGTACAACTGCTCAGCTGCTTCCAGGCGCCTGTCCATTCCACATGACGAGTTCCCTGGGCTGAGGCTGCTGCTACACCATTCATCCATCACAAAGAAGCAGCGTCCAGCAGGCCAAGTGGTCCCCGCTTGAGCAGCCTCACATGCTCAATGCAAAGCTGACTCCTTGAAGGCATTGCAGAAAACTCAAAATGGGACTCTGGACACAACTCCCCTCTTCCCGTGCAGATCCTCTGAAAGCAGCCCCACCAACCTACATCTTTGAAAGGCAACCGATCTCTGTTTTAGCCAAAGCAAGACCCAACAACCTTCTCAAGGGAGACCAAGCAGCAAAGCAGGAATCCAGCCTGCCAAGTCCTTGACAGAACATGGATTCTGAAGCAACAAACAGAAAGTCAGAGCATATTCATCTGATGACTCCTTTGCTAACAAGCCCAAAGGGAGGAAGAGATGTAGCCAAGGATAAAGAGGACCTCTCTTGCGTCCTCCTCCTGAGCACACAGCAGGTTCAGGCTAATCATGGCTGGAAATGGCTCTTCCCAGGCCTTTCCCTTCAAGGAAGGGACCTTTGGGCTCGATGCTCCAGGGCAGCCAATGAGGCCCAGAACAAGGGGTCTGTCCCCAAAGGAGGAGGAGAAGCAGGAAGGTGGGCTTCTGGCACCATGCGGAAGTGGTGCGGAGTTACACAGAACACTACTGCAGGCATAAAAGCAGGGGCAGGGAGGCAGGCCGTGGCTCAGTGGGACAGGCACATGCTTCGCATGCAGTAGGTGTGGGATCTTCAGGTAGCAGACTCGGGCAGAAGTGATGAGGAAGGATGATCTACCTGAGGCCGTGGAAAGCGTGTCTGTCTGAGCAGATGACACTGCCTGGGATGGACTGAGCAGCTTCCTTGTTGCAAAGCCAGCGCAGGAAACTATCAGAACACGCAGCCAGAGGCTGCCTAGCGGCCGTGCCAAATTTCACCTTGTGGAGAACTGGAACTCCAATTTTTTCTTCTTCAAAAGGCCAGATTCAGAAATCTGGAACTCAAAACACAACCAAGTCTCAGCGAGGAAATGAGACTTAGGCTTCAGCACCAAGAAGTTGAGGTTCTTCAAAAACGTTGGGCCCCCAAAGAACTTCTGACCACTGCTGGGGGCCACCCAGGTGCCTGCAACCAAGCAGGAGGGTGTTCTGGTCCTGCTGGAGCCTTGGTTCTTGAAGGAGAAGAAACGTTTCTGCACCGACAGGGCTTTGAGCAAAAACCACAGACCGATCAAGCCTTTCTGAAGGTGCCACCAGCCACCAGTTAGAAACAGCAGCGGCATTTAGTCCTCAAATAGCAGTCCAAGCAAGACCTTCCTCTGGTTGGCAAAGAACCCGTTGGCAGTCAGCTCAGAGGGTGCTTTTTCCTGGTCCAGAATCTGGCCTCTCCAGCTCTGGGCATGGATTTCCCTTTCTGCCATTCCCAAGAGGTGCCCACAGCCTCGTCCCCCCCCCCCCACGTGCAGCTGCTCAGACTCCAGACTCTCGAAGGAACCAAGGAGAAGCAAGGAAGTCACCCGCAAGAGAGATGCCCACGGATCTGGATCTCAGCTGCACACGGCCGTAAGTGTTCTCTTTGGAAACAAAAGCAGCTCCCTCTGCCTTTCTTCCCCCCACTCAGAGAACAAAAGGGCCACTCCCCAGTGATTCACTGGCGACCCACAAGCTGTGAGTGGCAAGTGAGATCAGGGCGTCTCTTTGGAGCGTGGGAAGGCTCTTTCTGCAAAACAAAAGACCCGGCAACCGCCACCAAGCTGAAGACTCATCTCCCCCCCCCCCCCCGGCCCCGCTCCGTCACTGACAAATGGAGCTCCAAGCCCTACAGGAAAACCCAGGTGGGGGAGGCCAGAGAGAACGATGGCTCAGCCCACTGAGTTGTGGGCAGCGCGAGAATCTCCCCAAGGCTCTCTCTGCGGTTGCGCGGGGGGGGGCACTGCCAGAAGGTCCCTCTTCCTCCTCTCGTGCTACCTGGACTGAGCAAGGATGAGCTGCTTGAACCACAGGCTGACGGCGCAGTCCACCCGCATCACCAGGCCGATGCCCAGCAGGAGGAAGAGGCTGCTCACCATGAAGCCCAGCGCTTCAAAGAGGAACCTGGAAGCGGAACAGAAGCCCCAGGTGAGGAAAGTACCGCAAAGGCTCCACGGGAGGCCCCAATTTTAAGCCCTGAGGGAAGAGGGGAACACTGGGAGGGGGGGCAGCTAGTGAAGACACTACAGGGGCAACTCAGGGGCAAGTCAACTACTCATTTCTGTGCTGGGTGGTAGGGCTAGGCGATATATCGTCCAAAACCGCTTTGAAGTCCTTATCATGATACCGGTTTCATAATTTTTGACCTGGCAATATATTGCGAATCATGATGTGTGCATGTGCTATGCAAAAATCACAGTGTGGGAAAAACCCTGAAGTCGGCCAATGCGTCTCTCGATTCCTGCAGCCCCCGTTAACTGCCAGGTCAGCGCTTTCTCTTTCTGAATAGTATTGAATGGAAGAATCTTATGTTGTTTCTGCCACTGTCTTTGTCTTTTTCCTTTCCTTCTGTTTGTTTCATTATATATATATATATATGTAGAGATGTAAGGTTATTAAGTCTGATATTATTTGATTTCTGTAGTGGTTATTAATGCATGTGTCTGTTATCTATGTATTTATTTGTATATTTGAAATAAAAAAATAATACAAAAGACAGAGAGAGAGAGCAGCCTACAGCTGACAGAACTCTAACTCAGACCACCCATTTCCCACCCAGCCTTGCAACTCTGCCTGGCAGCCCTGGGCTCTGAAACACCCAACCCTTTCCCTGCCAGGACACAGGGGGGGGGGGGGGACAGAGCCACAGGACACTTGCACAACTTACTTGGGGGCAAACACCTTCCAGACCATAAGGTGCCTTCTGAGGATGATCGCTGCCAAGACACAAGCCAGAATCTATGGGGGAAAGAAAAGGAGTTCAGGCTGCAGGTAAAACTCCTGGCATTCATTCACTGTATCCTCACATGCACAGCCCACCAGTCCCCATCGCCGCCTCTCCCTCCCTCTCTCTGGCTTGCAGAAAAAGGCCTCCCCCGGTGTTTGCTTCCAGGCACGTACCTGAACCCCCAGAACAAGCAGGTACTTGAGCCCCAGCTGCAGAAGCGCTGCTGAAAACTTCTCTGGGGCTTCCCGGAGCCTCATCTCCATCATCTGCTCCTCCCTGTCTGGAGGCTCTGCCTTCGGCTTCTTGCCCTTGGAGGCGGTGGGCATTTCACAGACAAACGGCCAAAGCAGAAGCAAAGGGCAGCCAGCTACCTCGAGGAAAGGAGGAAGAGAGAGGGGTCACTGGAGAGAATGCCAGGGACCATCAGCTGATGGAACCCAGAGGAAAAAAGAAAGGGGCGAGAAGATAAATCCCTCTAAATCAGTGCTTCCCAAACTCTTTCGGGGCCCCACTCACTTGGTTCCATCAACGCAGCCCCAGCCCCAGCACCTGTTACCCTGCCTATAAAAAGCATTATTCAGAATAGTGTTTTGCACAGTCCACTTAGGAAGAAAATAACACAATACAACTCAAAACAGTAACAATTAATTGCAAATTTATTCAGATGCTTTAAGTTACGGATTTGTGTAATGAAAATGTAATGAAATATGGAAAACTCAATAAAAATTACCGTAGATTCCGGCATATTAGGCGACTGGGCCTATTAGACGACCCCCGAAATTGGCAGCTGCAATTTGGGGGTTCGTCTTATAAGCCCAGTCGCTTAATATGCTGGGCAGCTCCACGCCGGGAGAAAGCCACCCGGTGCAGAGCAGAGCCCGCCGTCCGCTGCTGCTGCTACTTCCAGAGCAGCAGCTGGGCAGGCTCCGTGCTGGGCAGCTTTCTCCTGGTGCGGAGCTCGCAGCAGGAGCAGCAGCGGGCTATGCTTCGCCCCGGGAGAAAGCTCTCTCCCGCGCAGAGCCCGCCGCCTGCCGCCCATATCCCGCGTATAAGACGACCCCCGACTTCTTAACCTCTTTTCCAGGGTTAAAAAGTCGGCTAATACATGGGAATCTACGGTATGCAAAAAAATAAAAATTGCAAATTTATTCAGAATCCAAGTAAAACTATTCAGTTTAATTAATTCAATGAAACTGATGAGCTTGATTCAAGGATATCAGCTTTTTGAAGTCAGCTAGCCATTTACACCTCTTTGCCTCCCCCCTTAGGAAACCCCAGCACCCCCGCCAGTTCCGCCCACTTTGGAAAACACTGTGCTAAGCAATGCCTGGGGGGATTATGCCCCCTCCCCTTCAGCCAAATAGGCAATCAAGAACCAGGTCCCACCAGACTCCACTCTCTGACGCCCTCAGGTCAGAAAGAAAAAAACAGACCACTTAATCAGAAAATTCTCCATGTGCTGTATTGAGGACTGCAAAGTCATCAATAAAATGCAGATGAAATCAGCAAACATGCAAAACAAGCAAAATTCTAGGTAGGTTTTCTGAAATAAAGAAGCTTTAAGCAGGTGCCTAAAACCATGTGTGGGTGCTTGCCTCATAGCAGTTCCCATGCCTGGCAAAGCTAGGGAGAAAAGCAAAAGCCAAGCTATGTTAACAGATGCCGGGTGGGGGGCACCCCAGTCTTCTCTTCCCAGGTAAGGCCCCATAAACAGACCCCCCCACACACACACACTCCTATTGCCGATGCCAAGATGCTGGTGATATTTCGGGAGCTGCTGTGGGCCTGTAGATCAGGAGTGGGGAGGCCGTGTCTCTCCAGGTGCAGCTGTACCTCGACTCCCAGCACCCCCGACAAGTGGCCACGCTGAATGCTGGGAATCGGAGTCCAGCAATGCCGGGGAGTCCACAGGCTCCCTGCCTCTGCTGTGGATGCCAAGAGTCTTCATTTGCTACCCAAACCCAACTCTTAGTGCTGAGCAGGCAGCCTTTGTCAAGCCACCCTCCGCAGTCACTTACCTGGGGCCAAAGCAAGCACCATTCACGCTCTGCCTGTTGCAAGCTCAGAGAAAGAGTCTTGGGGCCTTTCCCGGAGGCAGCGGACTCACCTGCAAAGAGGATGTGGGAGGCGAAGGTGTTGGCCCCGACCAGGAGCGCCGGCAGCAGGTTGGTTTCATGCCCCTGCTGGAAGCCGACAAAGGCTGCGTTCCAGTGGATGGCTGGGAAGACTGGCTGGTGGCCTGTGGCATAGAAGAACTGGGCGGCAGCGAGAGCCCAGGCGATGAGGGCGTACCAGGGCACCACGAAGGGATCTGGGGGTAGGAGGACGAGAACCGTCAGGGCCAGCAAGGAACCCCTGGAGACACAACGCGGCAGAGCTTCCACGGCGGGAACCAGAATTACGTTCAACTAACCCACCCCATCAGTGCAAGGATTTCCACTCGCCTGGCGAGACTCCCCTCTCCCCTGCCAGAGGTTCCCAAGTATTTTGGGGCAACCGCCCTCCCCTCAGTTCCATAAACTCATCCCCACCTTTTAAAAAGGGTTATTCAGAATAGCTGTTTGCATGCCCCACTGAAGAAGATAACAACACAACAAAATTCAAAACTCTAATAGTAAATTGCACATTTATGCAAAATCCAATGGAGAGGTGGGGAACATCCCATTGAGCAAGCAGAGATCCCTGGTCTCCCAGATCCTAGTCTGCCACTCAAACCCCTGCACCACACTGCTTGCTTTGCAGTTACTGTGGCCTCCTCCCGCTCCCCTCTTCCCGGGGACCTCCCCTGCAGATTCCTAGGGCACCATTATGCCTTAACAGTTAACAGCTGGGCCATTTTGAGCTTCTGCCATTTCTCTGAGAGCAAAGCCCTTCCTGGAAGAGGACGCTGTCCACAGCCCTGACTCAGGAGGAGCGGAGATCCAGGGCCGTGCCCTTACTCACCAGCCTGCGAGGAGGAGGAGGAGGAGGAGGAGGAGAGAGCCACGGCGCAGGCGTGCATCCAGAGCAGCGCGAAGGCCTCGAGGAAGAGCAGCAGGAAGGCCAGGCTGAGCCGCTCGCTGTGCAGCGTCATGAAGAGGAAGCCCAGCAGGGCCAGGCAGATGAGGAGCGCGGCCGAGTAGACGCTGCCCAGCCCGTAGGCAGCCACCGTGGCCCTGCCGCCCGACCTGGCCTCGTCCAGGCGGCTCTTCAGGGACTGCTGCATGCGCCGGTAGAGCTGGGGGATGACGTGCTGGAGCTCCGCCTGGGAGCTGGGCGAGACGATGGGGGCCTCGGCCGGCTCCCGGCTGTCGCGCACAAAGACGGTCACGGGGTCCCAGAGGACCAGCAGGAGCCCCACCAGCACCAGGCCGAAGATCCCCTGGGGGAAGGCCACCAGGGCCAGCTGCACCCAGGCGTGCAGCTTGACCAGGGCCTCCTCGGCCCCGGAGGTGATGGCCCAGTAGCCCCCCACGCAGACGGCCAGCAGCGGGAAGCCCCAGCGCACAAAGAGCACCGGGGCACTGGGGCTGTTGAGGTTGCCGTAGTGGCGCAGCCAGCGGCGCACGCCCCAGGCCAGGAGGGCCAGCACGGCCAGGCAGAGGAGGTAGCAGGAGTTCTTGGCCCCCGGGTCCTGCAGGCTGGAGAGCGGGGCCAGGAGCGTCGAGGAGCGGCAGCAGGGGGTCTCCTCGCGGCACTGCCGGAAGAGCGCCGAGAGGCGGGCGCAGGTGAGGACCACGCCCAGCAGCCCCAGCAGCCGCAGGGCCGGGGGGGAGCCGCCCTCCAGCCGCCCCTCCCAGTGCAGGCGCAGCACCAGCAGCAGAACCAGCGAGGCCAGCAGGAAGGGCGCCACCTGCGCCTCGGCCACCACGAAGCTGTCTGAGAGCATGGCGCCGCAGCGAGCCAGCAGGATGCCTCCGGGCAGGCCCAGCCCCGATGCTCGCAGCCTCTGCCTCAGGCTGGTGCCCACAGAGGGAGAACAAGCGCTGGCCGCGTGGCTCCTCCATGGCCGCTTGGCCCAGCAGTGCCAGAAGAAGCCGCACTGGGAGGCCGCCGCTCCCCAGGAGGAGAGCAGGACAAGGTCCGCAGCGGCCCAGCCGAGGAGGTGAGCCAGGCTGGGCAGAGCCACCCCCACCACACCCCAGAGGACGGGGTAGAGGAGGAGGCGTCGGTAGGAGAAGCTGAGGCCCGAGGCCACTCTGGAGGCAACGTAACACAGCACACAGGAAGACGTCAGCAGGGCGCAGCCAGCCAGCATGCGGGCCGGGTGGAAGCGGGCCCAGGACTCAGCGCAGACGGCCCTCGCCTCCTGCAGATAGCGCCGGAAGCGGCCCCGGAGGTGCTCCAGGTGAGGCAGAGCAGGAGGCCCCAGCTGGGCGGAGAGCTGCTCATGCTCTTCCACGGCAGCAGAGAAGAGGTCCTGGAGCCGCCGCATCTTCTCTACCGATATGTCCTGGGCTGCCCGTGAGTAGGAGCGCAGGAAGCGGTCGACCTGCAACGCCAAGTGTCTCCGTCACTGAGCGCAGGAACACTCAAGGGGGAGGAACTCTAAGGAGCCTTTTGCCTCAAGATCCGGCCGCCGAGCTCCTCTTACCTGCCGGGCGTTGACGCTGTATGCCTCCAGCTGGGCGAGGAGCGAAGAGGCAGCGCCGCCCTCTGCGGCAAACAGCTCAGCCATCACTTCCCCGATGTTGCTGTAGGGCACCGGCACCCCCAGCAGCAGGGCCAGCGTGGGGACCAGGTTCACCTGCGGGACGGTCTCTGGCTCCTGGAGAGAGGGAGGAAGCGAGGGGTCCGGCTGCTGAAGGGCAGGGAGAACAGCACCCCGTGGGGACCCCAGGACCCCACCCACCCACAGCAGGCAAGCAGCACCAGGAGCACAGGAAGCCGCCTGGTACAGACTCAGACCATTGGGTCCCTCTGGCTCAGTTACGTCTACCCAGACTGACAGCAGTGGCTCTCCAGGGTTGCAGGCAGGAGCCTCTCCCATCCTGGCCTGGAGGTGCCATCGGGGATTGATCCTGGGGCTCCTGCATCCAAGACGGAAGCCATGCCACAGGGGCACAAGCCTTTTGCCTTCTCAAAAGCCTCCCGCCTTCTCCTCACCCAGCCAGCCAGCAAGAACCTGGCAGGCAGCCATGACCGCACTCTTCAGCTCTAAAAGGTAAGAAGCCTGAAAAAGAGCATCCATCTCCTTTCCCAAGCGCAGCTGGCCAAGGGGTTATTTGCACCAGTTGCAACAAGCTCTCCGCCACCTAAGAAGGTAACTTAGAGCCTGCTGGGTCCGGCTGATGGCCCATCTAGTCCAGCCTCCTTTCTCACAGTGGCTGACCAGATGCAAAAGGTGGGAAGGGAAAGATCCCTTTGGAAGTGCAACAGAGAGAGAGAGAGAGAGAGAGAGAGAGAGAGAGAGAGAGAGCCTTCCTCCACCTGGCTTACCTGAGGCGGGTGGCTCTGGAACAGCTGGGCTTTGCTGTACACAAAGAGGGCTGCGTTGACCTCCTCCTCGCTGTCCCCTCCGTGGTCTCCGGTCCCCGTCATGCCGTGGTCCCCTGCTACCAGGAGCAGCGTGTCATTCGCCAGGTGGTCAACCAGTGACCTGTCCATCAACAACACGGGACTTCAGCCGCCTCCCTGTGCCAGCGGGTGCCCCCCACGGCAAAGTGGGTGGGCACCAGCCATGTTGTTTAGGCAGGACCTTCAGGGGCGCCTGAGCCCAAATGCAGGTTTGACAGGGGACTTTCTGACTCACAGCCTGAGATGCTCTCCTGCAGCAAACCAACTCTGGGGCTTAACTTCCAGGGTGCAGGTCCTGGGGCTCCAGGCCAGCTGTTTCCCTTCCAGGGAGGGCCAGGGCTCAAATCCTGGTTGGGGCAACGCTGGCCAAGTGGCTCCAGTTCAAACTGCCTCCAGGGGGTCCTTCAGAGTCTGAATCAGAGGCTCATCCAAGAGCACTCTCTACAAGGAGCTCAAAAGCTAATGTTTAAAGGGACATTGACACAGCTGTCGCCCACCTGGTGCCCTCCAGGTGCTCTGAACTACAACTCCCAGCAGAGTCATGCTGGCAGGGCCTGATGCACTCCAAAATGTCTAGTGGGCACCAGGTTGGCAAAGGGGCCCCTAACATAATGCAAACGTCCAAAGACCTTTGAGGTCCCCAAGCAGCTGGAGCCCAAAGCAGAGGAAGGAGAATAAAACAAGCAGGAGAACTCCCACTTCTGCCCCTCCCAGCGCTGGCCAGCACAATCCACATTCCTCTGGAAGGCCCAGCTGCTGCTCATCCTGCTTCAGTCCTTGGCACACAATGGGCTGGTGCTGAGAAGCCAGGGGCACCCACATGACCTGAGAAACCAGCTCACCTGAGCATGTCATTCATCTGCGAGAGCTTCTTGGCCATTTCCGGATGGTCTGGTCCATGCTTATGGCCACAGTGATCCACGCCCAAGAAGTGGGCAATCAGCAACTCCCACTCGCCACCATCGACTGCGCCACCACAGAGAGAGGGAGAGGGGGGGGGGAGAAGCATGAAGACTTGCCCCTTCCGCTCTGAGAGGCAGCCAATGCTGAGAGGAAGAGCAGGAGCAGATTTCTCCCCCTCCCCCTTCAGATGTGCTCAGGGCCAGGCCTTGAAGACACAGGGAGGAGACAATGAGAGGCAGGCAAAAAGCCAGCAGACGTTTTAAGACTTTGCTGCCAGCAGAGGGCAGGGGGTGACAAGGGCTGGTGGAGGATGAGTGGCTTCTCATTGGAAAAACCACCCGGAAAGGATGTTATTGTGGGTGAAGAAATTCCATTCATGCGATTTGCAGAGCCGTGCTTAGTGCAAAACAAGTCGTTTCAAAAACAAAATTTGATGAGGCAGCCTACTTCCCTTTTTAAAGCTGACATAAATTCAAGGCAAGGCAATCCATTTTGAAAACAAGGTTTTCCCATTAAAAACAAAACATTACAATTTTTTCAATATTCCCCCTTTTGCAAAAAACAATTTTCAATAACTCTTTAACAATTTAGAATGTCTCTTCCTCAAGGATTCTGGCTGGCACAAGGGGGCTAGAGCCACACCAGAGCTGAAGCCTTCAAGGCCACATCACCCTTCAAGGTTATGGACAGAGAACACGTAGGGCAGACAGAGGGCAAGCCACTCCCAGCAGGCCTCTCACCCGGCTGCAAAGTGCCTCTGCCTGCTCCGCCTGTTTCCTCCAGCAACCTGGCATGAAAAGGGAGCCAAGAACTCCAGCCTGGAACAGCGGCTCACCTGTCTCATATAAATGCTGCAGGATTCCATCATCTACAGTGTGAAGATCCTTCACGTTGAAAGAAGGGAAGAAGTACGAGCGGTGGAAGGCCTGGGGGAAAAGCCCGTCCCAGGTGTCGTCCCCCATGAACACCACTCTTTTCCCTGCAAAGGGGGGGAATGAGAGAGGGGTGTTTAGAGCACAGCAATGAGCAGGTCACCAAGTTAGGGAGCCAAAACCTAGTCAGTGGAGTCCAGGAGCTCCAGGTTCCGTCTCTCTTGGCACCTTTCTAGAGAGCTCAGGAAATCCATCTTCAGAGCCACCCAACCAGAGCCTTCAAGGCCAAGGAGGGATATGCACACAGCTCTCCTCCAGCTCAGGGAAACAGCATCACAGTCACTACAGATCAGCTCCTTTGAGCCAATAACACAGTGGTGCAGTTTCCACCTGACAAAAGTTTGGGTTTTCTAAAAAAAAAAATACATATGGGAAGAACTGAAAGCCACAGTCTGCTTTCCTTGAGGTGCTGAGGCAGCTTCAGCAAGCATATTGTTTATAGTTTCTACATTGTACATCACTTTAAAAATTTCTTTTCAAAATATGAAACCATTTATAAATGTGCTAAACAAACAATCAACAATGACCCACACCATTCCACACATTTCATGCCCACATTCTGCCTTGGTAGCAAACACAGCACAGACAGACCCCCGCAACCTCTTGAGTTCTCCCTGCTGATTTGAGCTGGTGCTCAGTGTATGTAGCCACAAAAGAGGTCCCTGTCTGAACGTTTCCTCCAACCTGCATCATCAAACCACAAAGGCTAAAGTCCCCAGAATATATAAGACCACATCAAGAATTAGTTTACGGCCAGTTTTGTACTAATTTATTTCCCCACGTACTTCTGCAGTAGTCTTTTCAGAGTAACCTGTCAGTCTGAAGCATAACAGGGAACAAGCTTTTGTACAACATCCCCGCCTAGTCGCTTTGGAGGCCATTTCCCCTCACCACAAGCAGCCAGGCAAGTGGCAATTGAAAAGCCTGGATGACATGCCATGAAGTCATATGCCCAGCGTAGAAGGATGGCTGGCCTACGCCCAGATCCAGCTACTGCCTCCAAACCACAATATACACCACAGAGACCAGGGCCCTGGCTCTCATGTTCCGCAGGTCAAAGCAACCCCATCCCAAGTGGAGCAAAACTGAACTTGCCAGACGCTTCTTCCCAACCTCAAACATAAATCTGCCTGCTCTCAACTCCCGAGTCATAACCTACAAGGAAGTAGCACATGATGCAAGTCTACACCAGAAACATAAAAGGAACCATTTTGTCACTAGCACTTGCAGGCTAAGTCCCGGGAGAAAAATGAAAGAGTAGGGAGAAGAGTGCATCTGAGGAAAAGGAAGGAAGAAATGAAGATGAAGAAAGCACCTCCCTTAGTCCACAACAGCTAGAATAAGAGAGGCAAGACATTCTGCAAAGAGCCTGCCCTCAGCGCCCCCTTCTGGAGGCACCCACCGTTCTGCGCCAGCTGCCAGACCAAGTTGTCCTCCTGGATGGCGTAGGAGGCGAAGTTGCTGCCTGCGTCAATGAAGGTGGGCAGGGAGCCGGTGGTGATGCCCTTGATGCGCTGCATGGTGGTGGTGGGAGGGTCGGCCCGGAAGCGGAAGAGGCGGGCATGCAGGGGCTGCAAACTGGCCAGCTGGTGCAGGAACCCCAGCTTGTTCTCGTAAGGCCGCGGCTCCCGCCTGGAGGGGTCGTACTGGGCAAACTCAAACTTGAGGGCGTCGATGATGACGAGCACGGCTTTGGGGAAGCGCCTTGGCAGCCAGCAGGAGCCGAGGGGGGCCCTGGCCCCTGGCAGGGAGGCGGCCAGGGGATCCGAGCAGCTGCTGCGGTTGGCCAGCTCCACACGCATGAGCAGGAAGCCGCTGGTGAAGAGTCCGATGGCCGAGAAGAAGAGGAAGCAGGTCCAGGCGAGGAAGAGCAGCACTGGTACTCTCTGCATCCTGCAGGGGGGGGGGAAGGACCGGTGAGCAGTGGGTGCCTACCAGTCTCACCGGTGTGTTCGTAGGAACAAGCAGTATGACCTGTGTAAGGCGTAATATAACACAAATCATCGCTTGGGTGAAACATGAGATAAACGATGCATTGCTCTACGCCAGCAATGTCCAACTGGTCAACTGTGATTGAGATGTAGATCCCTGGGAAGCTCGAGGTCAGTGATTGGCCGGTTGCTCACGCAGCGCCCTGCACCCGGTGCTGTGTCCCATCCCCTCTGCTGGTGCTGCTATGAAAGCTTATTTTCCCTGCATTGGTGCCATAGTGGTGGTAGCCGTTAGGGCTGCAAACTGTAGGGTGATCGTTTTCATGCAATCCTTTGCCGAAAAAGCTCAACTACTCCGTTCAATCCTTCCCCCCAAAAGCTGAAGAACTGAGGTCACTCCCCCCTAAAAGAAGCTCAACACCTCTTGGCAATTGTTCCTAAAAAAAAAACTCAACAACTGCGGCCTCTCCCCTTAAGGAAAGTTCAACAACTCTGGTCTCCCCCCCCCCCAAAAGAAAAGCTCAGCAAAGATGGGCAATGCCAATGGGTAGATCACTGCCAGTTTTATCATTCTTGGAGTAGATCGCCGTCTCTAGAGAGTTGGATGTGCCTGCTCTACGTCAACGGCCAAGGCAGGCCCCCCCAAACTCGGCCCTCCAGCTCTTTTGGGACCACAATTCCCATCATCCCTAGCTAACAGGACCAGTGGTCAGGGATGCTGGGAATTGTAGTCCCAAAACATCTGGCGGGCCGAGTTTGGGGGGGGGGGCCTGGTTTAAGGGATTTCGTGGCAGCTGAGGACGCCGGGCGGGCGAGGAACCGGGGCTCCCTCCCTCCCTGGGCCGGCGGGGTGACCTTGGGCTGCCCCTCCCAGCTGCCTCCGCCGGGCTGCGGGTGTCGCTGCCAGGCCAAAACCCTCCCCGGCGAGACGACGCCCCCCCCCCCGAATGCTGAGGGCCAGGGGCCTTTGGCCAAGGGACCCGGCAGGCAGCCCTGGGCCCGAGGGGGGAGAGGCTGGGCCTGGGGGGTCACCCCTCTCCCCTCCCCCAGAACCGGGACCCACGGGGGGGGGAGAGAGGGGACCCCCACCTGCCTGCTGGGGGGGGCAGACTCCGCCGCCGCCGCCGCGACCTTCCTCGGCCTGGGCCCTCCTCTTCCTCTTCCTCGTCCACCCGGCCCCCCGGAGGCCCGTTCGGGGCTGCGCCGGCCCCACCTGGCGGCCAGGTGCGCGTGGGAGGGGGAGGGAGATCCAGGGCGGCCCTTCCGCCTCCCTTCCGGGAAAGGGCGGAAGCGGAAGCGGAGGCCGGCGAGAGGCGGGCCAGAGCGGCCGGGAAGAGCCAGGCTGGTCCGCCAGCAGGGTAGACTGCTCCTGCGCCTGGAGGGGCCGCCCAGGCTCGCCTCGCTTTAGGCTTCCCTTCAGTGATTTCATTCCTGAGTTTTCTTTCTCGTTTCTTAGCTCTTCCTCTTTCTACCGTGTTACGGAAATCACGTGGGGGGGGCACATCTTTAAAGTTAAATGCTACAAATATTATGCCTGAATGTATCCTTTCAACTTGACATCTCAGGGAAGTTACCTAGCTTCAAAAATAATATAAAGCCAACTCCTTTGCCAGTTTCCTCCATGTATACACACCTCCTACCCCAGGAAGTTCCCAGAAGCGACAATTGCTGAGCTGATTGTTGGCCAAGGAAAGCCTAATCCCATCCCCAAACACGCCAAGGAAGTTCTATTGTACTTTGGGTGGTGGGACTTCAGAGGTGTTTGCCTCTGCTAATCTTATCCCTGGGTCTTGCCCTGACATGTCTGCCAAGGTTAAACTAGTGTAACCCCTGTCTACCCCTCCCCTTCGGTGACATGCCAGTGATGTATCCATGATGCTGTCCGAACTGTATTCTGGGATATGGTGGGAAAGTTTTAAAAGTCCTTGTCACCCCATCCTCAGGGCTCAAATTTGCTCTTTGAACCTGTTGCGCAATAAACTTTGGTCTACAGCTATTTGCTCCAGTTGGTGGCTGGACTCCTTCCTTTATTCCACAGGGACCCGCAGGCTCTGCCCAACCAGCTGGGGGACTGAGCAGCCTCACACCTAGATTTTTCCATAACAACCTGTGTAAGCCCCCTTGAATCCCTGTCAGGGGGAAAAGGCAGGTTTAAATAAATACTGTAATAATAAGTAAACCACTTTGAGGTTAGTTAGTTTGTGCAACCAAGCAAAGTATAAATTTGATGAAATAAATGAATGGCAGCACTCCATCAATTGGGTCCACCTTATAGTGTGCTTGACTTAACCCCAAAGTCTCTGTATAAGAGCATTAGCAAGAGTCTGGCTGCTGGATGAGGCCAAAGGGGCCCCCCAAGCCCAGCCTCCTGTTCTCAGAGCAGCCAACGTGACGCCTCTTCTGGGAGAACCACAAACGGGACTCACGCACAAGAGCCATCTTCTCTCCTGCCATTTCTAGCAAATGGCATTCAGAAGCATCGCTGCCTCCCACCATCCTGGCTGGTGGCCATCCATGGCCCTCTCCTCCTCCGCGAATTTTTCCAATCCTCTTTAAAGCCATCCAAGTTGATGGCCATCACAGCCTCCCTCCTGCGGCGGGGAGTTCCACAGGTAAATTCTGCGCTGCATGGAGGACTTTCTTTCATGCATCTTCCAACATCCTGAGTGACTCTTCCCCGGGCTCCACGAGAGGAAGGGGAAGACTTCTCCCTGCCCAAGTTCTCCATCCCTTGCCTAATTTCACATCCTTCTGCCATGTGGCCCCTGACTCACCCTGTGTGAGAGTTAAAAAACAGGCACACCTTTTTAAGCTCTCCCACACAAGAGGGCACTCCAGCCTCTGCAGCATTTCCCTCGCCCTTTTCTGCACCTTTTGCAACTCTGCAGTATCTTCCCCCAGGTTGTTGCTGTGAGGATAAAAGGAGGAGAAGTCTGTGGGCCACCTTGAGCAACCTGGGGGGAAGGTGGGATACAGATGCAGTAAACAAATAACCAAACAGCAGCCTTTTTCATATCCCGGAAGCTGCTCTTTACCCAGGACCTGGGATCCCTCTGAGTGACCAGAGATCTTCTTCCTGCCACTTCTGCTTCTGCGTTGGGCAGTTTCGGACAAGCACAAATGCAGCAGGGATGATTTGCTCATCAAAAAAGGTAAAGGGACCCCTGACCATTAGGTCCAGTCGTGGCTGACTCTGGGGTTGCGGCGCTCATTTCGCTTTATTAGCCGAGGGAGCCGGCGTACAGCTTCCGGGTCATGTGGTCAGCATGACTAAGCTGCTTCTGGCGAATCAGAGCAGCACACGGAAACGCCGTTTACCTTCCCACCAGAGTGGTACCTATTTATCTACTTGCACTTTGACGTGCTTTTGAACTGCTAGGTTGGCAGGAGCTGGGACTGAGCAACGGGAGCTCACCCCGTCATAACAGGGATTCGAACCACCAACCTTCTGATCGGCAAGTCCTAGGCTCTGTGGTTTAACCCACAGCGCCACCTGTGTCCCTTTTGCTCATCAAAGGTCCCACTTATTCTACCCATGTACTGAAACTGGGTTCAATGATAGAGCTTGCATTTAACTTTGTGGCCCAACTGATTTAGTGGCTGTTTGTGGTGTGGCGTTTTTAAACTTCCTAGTAGGATGGAAAGGTAGTGCAGGAGAGGGGCTCAGAGATACCAAAGTCAAGAAGACGTCCTAAGAACAGCAACAACCGGCAGCTCAGCACTGTGAAGTTATTGTGTCCAAGCCTCTCCCTTCACCTCCGGCTGAGCCAACAGGGACTGAAGCCCGTTTCCCTTTCGTGATGGTGCATCGAGAGCCCCCAACACAAGCAGACTGCGCTTGGCCAGGACCTGGTCATGGTGCGATGAGGAGCTCCAGCTGCCCTGCAGAGCTCGCCCTCGATGCTGCGCAGGAGAGGGCAGAACGAGGGCAAGAGGTGGGGGGGTAGTAGGACTGATTGCTGGGTTGTGTAGCACATTCCCCTCACAGATAAGGCCACAGCTGTCTGAACATCTTGCCCTCTGCCTAACCTTTTGCGGTCTCAGTAGTCTGCAGTGTCCTGTCTGTGACCTTTGTCTCTGAGACCTTTGTCTCCTTCGTCATACACTGTGCAAGGGGAAAATGACGCAGTGGAAACAGGTGCCAAAATAACTTTGTACCACCCCACGAGCTCGGGACTGGAAGATGTGTAAAGGTCACAGCCCCAAATGTATCTGCCTGGGTTTGCATATTGTGTCAATAAAAGGAGCCTCCACAGAGCTGGCCGGCAGCTTGCTTGCAGCTCACCTGGGCGCAGCTCACCTGCATTATCAACTCCTGCCTCACGTCCTTCACTTCAGGGGCACACATTCTGCTCCAGACCAAAGGGGCAGGCTGGTGAACAGTAACCAAGACCCTTTGTCCCGAAACCGCTAGGGTGGAGAGTGGACCTGCCCTCAGCCTCACGGCACCACCAACCCTTCCTGGGCGCCAATGGGGCACGGACAGTTTCCTGCCAAATTCCTCGGCAGGTTATTTGCGCCCTCCACAGGATTTGGGACTGATGAGCCGAGGGCCTTCATCCTCGTGTGGTTGAAAATCCCAGTCCGAGACATGAGAGGTTCCCCCCAGAACAAGGGGAGACGGCTGTTTCCTGGCCATCTCCTTTTATTACATGATTAAATCCAAATTAGAAAATAATCCAAAGAGGGGAAGGACAAGAGTCCAAGGCGGGGGGCAGGGGGGGCTTCTCTGTTAGCTGGCGCTCGGCTGCTGCTCCTGCTCAGTGTACTCTATGCTTGGGGGCAGAGGCGGAGGAGGGGCCTGGAGGGTGGAAGGAGTTGTGACTTCCGCAGAGGCCGCCTTGGTGGGCTGGGGTTTGCTCAGGGAGCCATAGATTCCCATTGCCTGGAGAGAGAGAAGAGGGAGGGTGGGAGGGAGAGGTCAGAGCCCCTCAACACAGAACATGGCATGGATCACACAACACAGAAGTAGCTGGAAGGATCTGCCCTCACTCTACCCAGCAACCCAGAGTGTGGGCTGTTTTGCATTCTGCAAGAGGACCTCACCATACCAGCCCACCCCCCAAGGGGAAATGGAGCCTAGGAGTGGATGACCACACACTGGTTATGCCGGGGGTCAGATCAGAAGCAGACTCAACTTGCAGGTCCAAAGTCAATCGTTGCTTTCCAGCACTGCAAGGCCCCTGTTCCACTAAACAGCTGGATCATAGGCAGAGTTTGGGCTCCTGAAGGGCACCAGCTTCAATAATAATAATAATAATAATAATAATAATAATGTATTATGTATACCCCACCCATCTGGCTGGGTTTCCCCAGCCACTCGGGGCGGCTTCCAACAGAATATTAAAATACAATAACCTATTAAACATTAAAAACTTCCCTAAACAGGGCTGCTTTCAGATGTATTCTAAAAGTCTGATAGTTGTTCTTCCCTTTGACATCTAGTGGGAGGGCATTCCACAGGGAGGGTGCCACCACCGAGAAGGCCCTCTGCCTGGTTCCCTGTCACTTGGCTTCTCGCAGGGAGGGAACTGCCAGAAGACCCTCAGCACTGGACCTCAGTGTCTGGGCTGAACGATGGGGGTGGAGACGCTCCTTCAGGTATACTGGGCCGAGGCCGTTTAGGCTTTCAAGGTCAGCACCAACACATTGAATTGTGCTCGGAAATGTACTGGGAGCCAGTGTAGGTCTTTCAAGACAGGTGCTATATGGTGTGAGAAGCGCCCATCTCTGATGGCATCAGGCTGCAAGATGCCTAATGGAGGCTCCTGACCCGAGGTGAGGCAGTCCTTCCACCAGATACTTCCTCTCTTCCTCCCTCCCCAACCCCTGACCAACAAGGAAACTGCTGAATTCTTGCAACCTTAGAAGCCTTAAGCGGCTGTTGTTTCAACTGCACGCAAAGATCTTTTGCTCTTGCGATGTTTGACCCAAATCTCCTTCCTTACTGGACCTGCACCCCTGCAAGCTCCTGCCCTCCACTGGTGCCAGCAGATCCCAATCCGCCCACCTGCCTCCTGGCACACCAAACTCACCTGGGCAACCATGCTGGACATGTCTCCCGTGCTGGATGGCAGAAGAATGGTGTTGGACTCTTTTGCCAGCTTGGAGAAAGCAGCCACATACTGCTCAGCCACAGACAGAGAAGCTGCACTGTTTCCGTTCTGGGAGGGAGAGAGGAGAGGAAGTGAGATGGTACAAAGACGCAGGAAAGAAAGACAGGGAGGAGGAGGAAGAGAGGGAGAGAAATGTCCCAGAATGGGGCTCTCCACCTCCAGCTTGCTTGGTGTAGAATAGAATAGAATTTATACCCCACCCATCTGGCGGCTTCCAACAAAGTATTAAAATACAACAGTCTATTAAACATTAAAAACTTCCCTAAACAGGGCTGCCTTCAGATGTCTTATAAAAGTCTGGTAGTTGTTTTTCTCTTTGACATCTGGTGGGAGGGTGTTCCACAGGGCGGGCGCCACTACCGAGAAGGCCCTCTGCCTGGTTCCCTGTAGCTTTGCTTTTTGCAGGGAGGGAACCACCAGAAGGCCCTCGGAGCTGGACCTCAGTGTCCAGGCTGAACGATGGGGGTGGAGACGCTCCTTCAGGTATACAGGACCGAGGCCATTTAGGGCTTTCAAGGTCAGCACCAACACTTCGAATTGTGCTCAGAAACGTACTGGGAGCCAATGTAGGTTTTTCAAGCCCAGCCTTATATGGTCTCGGCGGCCGCTCCCAGCCACCAGTCTAGCTACCGCATTCTGGATTAATTGCAGTTTCCAGGTCACCTTCAAAGGGAGCCCCACGTAGAGCGCATTGCAGTAGTCCAAGCAAGAGATAACCAGAGCATGCACCACTCTGGCCAGACAGTCCGCGGACACGGAGAGTCTCATCCTGCGTTCCACATGGAGCTGATAAACAGCTCCCCAGGATACAGAATTGACCTGCGCCTCCATGGACAGCTGTGAGTCCAAAATGACTCCCAGGCTGCACACCTGCTCCTTTAGGGGCACAGTTACTCCATTCAGGACCAGGGAGTCCTCCACACCAGCCCGCCCCCTGTCCCCCAAGAACAGTACTTCTGGTGTGACAGAGGACACCATTTCTGAGGGATGAGGAAGGATCAAATCAAGTCCCTATCCGTTTGCTTTGCAATCCAAGCACTTCCATCTCCTCTTGCCCAGACGAAAGACAACAAGGCAGGCTATTCTTAGGCTCCGGAGGGGCTTGGAACATCTCCTTCCTCCAAAGGAGCCCAGGGTGACAACTTAGCCAGAAGTTGGCTGCAAGGCCTTAGGAGAGCCGCTCCAACCTGACACCAAGCGCATGCTGGGAAACTCCCTCCCAAGGGGTCTCCCCAGGCAGGTGCTTCCCTTGAGACGCCCCCCCCCCATCACCTGCTGTGCCAGAGCAGCTGCCACGACTCGGATTGCTTCTGCTTTGGCCTGAGCCTTCACCAGAATGGCACTGGCTTCCCCTGGGAAAGGAAGAAAAGGGCTGTCGGGCAGGTTCAGGGGAGCCCCAAAGAACATGAACCCATCCCCGTCCCTGGTAAAAAATGGGCTCAGCTAACAGCACAAGCAGGACCCCTTCCCCAATTACGCCAGACACCCTTGGCCCCAGGTGCTTCCCTGGGTGTAGGAGCTAGGAAGGAAATGAGGCAACCTCCCCTACACACCTGGAAAGAAGCCCAAATTCCCAAGGAGTGGATGATATCAAAGCAGAAATAGGAGAAAGGGGCACCTCCTATGGGTCAGGGTTCTGCTGGACCATGGGGAACAATGTCATGTTTGGTGGGTCGGGATCTGGCATCCTCTGCACAAGCAGCATCCCCCAAAATCCCAGCTCTGTATTTCACAGCAGGTTTCTAGATCTCAAGGCAGATATCCTCCTTCAGGGATGAACTGTCATGCCCGCCCCACATGACAGCCCTCTACTCTTTGGCTGAGACTCCCGGCTGTTTCCCACTGCACATTTATCCTTTGCTCACGTTTCACCTCCTGCCCCTCATCCATTCCTCCCACAAACACCAGCACTAGAGGCTCCAAGTTATGGGGCAGAGGAGGAGGGAGGCAGCCTCAGAGGTCTCCCTGCCCTTCTCTGCCTTTAACCAGGAGAGGCCTCCTGAGGTTACCGGAAGCCTGGTTGATCTGCTCCGCCTTCTCCGCCTCCGAGGCCAGGATCTGAGCTTGCTTCTTCCCCTCCGCCACGTTGATGGCTGACTCCCGGGTCCCTTCTGACTCCAGCACGGTTGCCCGCTTGCGTCTCTCGGCCTCCACCTGAAGGGAAAGCGCTGCTTGGTGAGAGACCTGCCAACCTCCTGGCAGAAAAGCCGTGCGACCCTAAAGGGGTGAGCAGCCCCAAGACACACAGAGATCATCGCTCCCAGGATCGTTGGCTCCCACACCACAGGCAAAAAAGTCCTGCGTTCCAGAGCCTGCGAGGACAGTACCCACGCCAGGGAGAGGGAAAAGCAGCTGAGAGGCATCACCAGGACAGACTGCGGTGTCCCGTTTTCAGTCCTCAGCCAGATCAGAGAAAGCAAGCTGGACCACGGACGGAGGAGGCAGAGGGAATGGCAGTCTGCCCCCAGCCCCAGGCCACCCAGAGAGTCTTCCAATGGCCCGGCTGACCTGCATCTGCATGGACTCCTTGACGCGAGGGGGCACGTGGATGTCCTTGATCTCATAGCGCAGGCACCGGATGCCCCAGTAGTCTGAAGCCTGGTTGATGGCGTCCACAATGCTGGCGTTGAGGTTTTCACGCTCCTGAGTGGGGAAATGTGGGGTCAGCGAAGGAGACACAGCTTTGGGAACGGCAAAGGAAGCTGCCTGCTTTGCCCCAGGCCAGCCACCGCCTGCTCTGACCGGCAGCAACGCCTCTCCGGAGTCCTGGGCAGGGAAGGACCTTCCTCTCCACTCCGACCCTTTTCAACTGGAGGCGCTGGTGGCTGAACCCAGGACCTCCTGCAGGCAAAGTCTGAGCTTAACCATGGATTCTTTCCCAGGCCTGGCTGTTCTCCAGCCCTCGCTGCCTGGGTGCTCTCACCAGCCAGAGGACCTGGCGAAGCAAAGCCTGTGCCCCATATTCCTCAAAGCAGGCGAGCACCCCCACTTCACCCAAGCCGTGCCACACAGGGCACCTGCAGCACACCTGAATTTCCTTGTATCATGCAGTATCCACACCCTGCAAGCTTTCTCTGCAGCTCCCCCAGAAACCCAGTCTGCCGCCCCTCCTGTTATACAGCCCTGGTCTGCCGCAGAGCTCTGGCCCGCCCACTTCTACCCCCCAGTGCCAGATACACACCCCAGACCTCATTAGCCACCACACCTCCCTTCCCGTGGCTCACCCGAAAGACTTTATCGAGGGTGAGCTTGCCCAGCTCAGACCTCATGGTGGTCTGGGCAAGCTGGGTGACGGCGTATTCAGGGTCCTCCACTCCGTAACTGGCCTAGAGGGAAAAAGGAGGAGGCAGAGACGTGGAAGAGGAAGGCACCACTGGCTGCCTGACACTCCCAGGGCCAAGGACAAAGGGAAAGGCCTCGCCCCCTCCTGGCCCCAGAAGACTACAGAAAGCTCAGCAGACACCACCCCCCTTCTTGCCCTCTCAGCTGTGCACCCCCAAACATGCACAAGGGTTACAAGAGCTGCTGAGATGGGGGTGGAATCCTCTGCTGTGTCCCAGAGGGGCTCCTGGCTTGATTAGGCCACGGTCAGTTTCCAGGAAGGTAGTACCTTGTAGGGGTCCATGACTCGCAAGTAGAGGACGCCGTCGATCTGGAGAGTGACATTATCTGGAGGGAAACAAAGAACAATTTCATGAGAACAAGGCAGAGGGCCCACCGCCCACGATGAAGATACAGAGAAGGCCCAACAGCAGGGGAAGGAGGCAGCAAAAGACCTACGCCCAAGCAAGTGCAGGTACAAGCAAGAGTTTCCCCAACCAAATAGCGAAGGTCCTTCCAACACAGAGAACAGAAAGTCTAGGCCTCCCTTTGTTTGGAGAAGGATTAAGAACCAGGCAATTGCTCTACAGACATCTGGTCAATACTTTCTGAGGTAGACCGATTCAATTTGCAAAGGCCTTGGATGAACGCAGACAGACAAAGCTCTGTCTTCACACATGTAACTATGCAAAGGAAAACTAAAGAACCCGGGTTATCCAGCACTGGCAAGGAGGTTTTGCTGGCCTAGACAGAGATGGACCACGCCACAAATTACCCACTCCAGGGCCGGCCCCCAACTCAGCCCTGCCCGGCCCTTCCACTCCTTGCCTCCCCAGCCAAATCTTCTCACCAAGGGTAACAGCCGACTGTTCTGGCACATTGATGACGATTTCCTTGAGGCTTTGCACGTAGCGGATGCGGTCGAGAAGCGGGATGAGAAAGTTCAGCCCCTGGCAAAAAGGGTTAGCAAAGGGGAAAGTATTTCTCCAGAACAGTCACCTCTTTCTCCATGCAACTAGTTGTTCCAGATTGCTGAATTACCTGAAAGCTGAGCTTACGTTTTACACTGCTGTAAACCAGGAGAGTGCAGACCCTGCGGCCCTCCAGTTCTTGCATGACTCAAGCTCCCCCCAGTCCCTGGGGCCAGGCTCCTATGCCTCCTGTCTTAAAACAGCCTCACTGTTTGCCAGTTTGGTTCCCAGGATTAATTTAAGGTGCTCACGCTAGAGTTTAAAGCTAGAGTAGTGCATCTAGAATCTGTCGTACAGCTTTTTCCATATGCCAAAGAAACCTCTTTATGCTACCTTTTGACATATATAATTTTTTTGTGGGACTCGCCTCTTCAGTTTTGTTTAGTTGATACTGTGCTGCTTTTGCTTGGAATTGTTTTAATTGCTTACTATCCCAAAAAATATCCAGTTATTCACATGGTTGCAACTGATCAATCCCACGCAAGTTTCCTGTTAAAAACCGCCCCTTTGGAGATGCTATTTCCAGGCTGAACTTCAGGGGGGTATTTTTGACAGGAAAATAACACTGAAGAGTGAACTTCTGTGCAAGACACTGTCCCTGGGACCTGCACTTGCTGCTATTTCTTTCTTTTTTTTAATGTCTGGGTAAAGGTAAAGGTAAAGGGACCCCTGACCACTAGGTCCAGTCGTGGCTGACTCTGGGGTTGTGGCGCTCATCTCACTTTACTGGCCGAGGGAGCCAGCGTACAGCTTCCGGGTCATGTGGCCAGCATGACTAAGCCACTTCTGGTGAACCAGAGCAGCGCACGGAAACGCCGTTTATCTTCCTGCTGGAGCGGTACCTATTTATCTACTTGCACTTTGAGGTGCTTTCGAATTGCTAGGTTGGCAGGAGCAGGGACTGAGCAATGGGAGCTCACCCCGTCGCGGGGATTCAAACCGACGACCTTCTGATCGGCAAGTCCTAGGCTCAGGGGTTTAACCCACAGCGCCACCCGCGTCCCTTTAATGTCTGGGAGAAACCATCAAATGGTAAATATGTTAACTGTGTCGTCTAATCTAATTTCAGCATTTGTTTGTCTTTAAAGGTGCTACAGGACCCTTTACTTTAGTTAACAATGACCTCAGTCTCCACTACCAGCCCAACCTGCACTTTCTACTTTCATCCAATGCCAGGCAACACACTCTGCTTCCCTCTTTTCCTTCCTTTCCCTCCTTCAGAAGAGGGGCCTCCATTTTGGCAGTCTTGTGAGGTTTTTTGTCCATTTCTCTACATAGGAAAGCCAAGGACACCCTAACTCTTCAAACTTGTAAGCCGGACTGCTGTTAAAACCCAGCTGGCACCCCACTGGTTCCTTAAAAGTCTCCCTTTGCAGATCCACCCCACACCCCGATTGCTGAAAGCAGGACTGTTCCTTACTGGCTCCAGGATGCGATGAAACTTGCCCATCCGCTCCACCACCCAGGCTTCCTGCTGAGGCACAAAGAGGACCACCGTGTTCATAGGGAGGCTGGAGGACCATCTCTGAGGCACTCTGGCCAGCCACACTGTGGGCACCGGCCGCCTGCTGCTCTGCAAAGACATTTGGGGGGAAAGTCTGAGAGTGTGCAGAGAGAAGACTCCACCAGCTGTTGGGAGAAAACACCAGGGAGCACACAGAGGTATGTGAATGTGCCACCCCAAAGCTTCAGGCAAGTTTTGGCACGAGTTGCCCCATTTTAGGACCCACCTTATATTTTTAGGGTTGCTTCAAACTGCTTTTAATACTGTGCTTTAATGCTGCAACCCACCCTGGGACCTTAGGGTGAAGGGTGGATAATATTCCTGCCTTTCTAGCCCACCTTTTTCTCCAAGGGACTCAAGATGGCATATACTTCGCTTCCTGTTTAATAACCACTTCAACCCTGTGTGGTAGGCTAGGCTGGGAGGAAGCGGCCGAGCCCCAAGGTCACCCCCAGAGGTCTTAATGGCCGAGTGAGGGCGATGTGAACCTTTGCCAGGCCACAGTCCAACACTACCCGCTACATCCCCAAATAAACAATAAAAAGCGGGTTTAGAAAAGCAACATCGGCCGGGACCCTTCCCCTAAGACCTACCACCTTCTCAGTCCCCGTGGCCACTGCTCTATGCCTCCCTCAAGGAGAGCAAGGAGGCACCGAGTGGTGGGAAGGATAAGGAATCTCCACCTTTGCCCCCTCTGGCTGCCCCACTCCCACCGGCTCCAGAGAAGGAGTCCCACAGCTCCGCCTCCCCCAGCCCACACCCCCCCACCTGCAGCCTTTCCTAACCCTCTCCTCCAATGCCTCTCCTGTGTGCTTTTATTGGAGACCCTGAGGATCCTCCAGCCCAACTCCAGCGAATAGATCAGGCTTCCTCAACCTCGGCCCTCCAGATGTTTTGGGACTACAACTCCCATCATCCCTAGCTAACAGGCTCAGTGGTCAGGGATGATGGGAGTTGTAGTCCCAAAACATCTGGAGGGCCGAGTTTGCCTACGCCTCTTTGGAAAGCACCCAGGATTAATTCAGTAAGCAATTTGCACAGAAGCAAGACAGTGTTAGTTACGCCATATACAAAACAGAAGAAAGAAACAGATTTGAGACCCCACCATCCAGCCACCGCCTGCCAACTCCCATCATCCCTAGCTAACAGGACCAGTGGTCAGGGATGATGGGAATTGTAGTCTCAAAACATCTGGAGGGCCGAAGGTGGAGGAAGCCTGGAAGAGATCCACGGGGATCTCAGAGGCGAAGAATATGTTTTCGAAAGAGAGGCATCAAATGAAGGGAATGGAGCTCCGCCCCAACCCCCCAGCCCCGGCCAGGGTCTCTGCCCCGAGGAAGCAGCAGAAACAGCAGCAGCGAGGCCCCCCTTTCCCCGGGGGTCCCCACCCCCTTCCTCCCCCTCGCCCACCTCCCGGAGGAGCAGCCCCCGCGCGACCCCCCGCGCCGCCCGCAGCGCCAGCATCTCGCTCGCCCTCGCCGCGCCGCCTCGCTCGCTCTGCGCACGCGCCAACGCCGCCGCCGCCGGAAGCCGGAAGCCGGTCCGGCCCCGAAAGCCTTCCGCCCGGCCCGGGAAAGAGGGGGGGGCGGCCCACGCGCAGCGCCGGCTCCCGTGCGACTCCGGCGGCACCTGGCGCGGAGGGGGGGGGCCTCGGCGCGGCCTCCTCTGGCTCGGCCCGCCGGGAGAGGCGTCTCTTCGGGGAAGGGAGAAACGGGGCGAGGACCTGCGCCGCCTCCGCCCCCAGTTCCTCGCTCTCGCCCCGCACATGGCGCCGAGCCTGCTGCGAACGGGAACCGGACGTTGAGGAGAAAGGGCCGGCCGCGCGGGAGCGAAGCAGTTCACCTGCGGAACTCCCTGCCACGGGAGGCCGGGCACCTTCACGGAGGAGGCGGGCGGGGGGGGCTGGGTGGTGGGGTCTCAGATCTGTTTCTTTCTTCTGTTTTGTATATGGCATAACTAACGCCGCCTTGCTTCTGTACAAATCGCTTGCTGAATTAATCCTGTGTTCTTTTCAAACAGGCACAGGCAAACTCGGCCCGCCAGATGTATTGGGACTACAACTCCCATCATCCCTGACCACTGGCCCTGTTAGCTAGGGATGGTGGGAGTCGTAGTCCCAAAACATCTGGAGGGCTGAGTTTGCCTTGCCTGTTTGAAAAGAAGGCTGGTTTCTGTCTTGGCTCTTGCAAATGAATCTGTCAAGAGCTTATGGTCCCAAACACTGCTATCTGCTCTTTGAAGTAGCTTAGATCAGGGGTAGGCAACCTAAGGCCCAGGGGCCAGATCCAGCCCAATCACCTTCTAAATCCAGCCCGTGGACGGTCTGGGAATCAGCGTGTTTTTACATGAGTAGAATGTGTCCTTTTATTTAAAATGCATCTCTGGGTTATTTGTGGGGCAGAGGAATTTGTTCATTATTTTTTCCCAATAGTCCGGCCCCCACAAGGTCTGAGGGACAGGGGACCGGCCCCCTGCTGAAAAAGTTTGCTGACCCCTGGCCTAGACTATTCTTTGTTTCCTGTGAAAGCCCATTAATCAGCCCAACTGTCCTTATCAGCTTTGTTCTAGCCAAGGAATGTAAAAGAGAAAGGGCCTCTGTTAGAATAGGCGTGAAGGAGTTTGTCTCCTGTGTCTCAAGTCAGGCTGGTCTAATTACAGTCATATCTTGGGTTGCGGATGCTGCGGGTTGCGGGTTTTCGGGTTACGGACCGTGCCAAACCCAGAAGTGCCAGAACGGGTTACTGCCGGCTTCCATGCTTTGCGCATGCGCAGAAGCACTGAATTGCATCACGCACATGCGCAGACGCAGGGCTGCGGGTTGTGAACGTGCCTCCCACACGGATCACGTTCGCAACCGGAGGTTCCACTATACAGCCAGGGAGGGAGGAGGAAGGGGGGGGGAGGCTTATAAAGAAAGGAAAACTTTTTCTCAGTGGGAAATTTCCAATCCTTTGTTTGGATGTGTTTGTCCTCTCTTTGCTCAGCTGAATAAAGGTGTGTTCATTGGATCTCCCTGTCTCTGTCTATTATTGATTCTCTGTCCAAGACAGCTCAGGTCCAAATAGGGGACCCAACAAGATCCCCAGGCCCCTCTTGACCACCTCCCTCCTGCCTCGGCCCCCCTGCAGTGGGAGAAGACGACCTCTGGCCGACAAGCCCGACCCACTTGGCTCGACAGGCTCTGGAGGAACCGGCCCTTTCCATTCGGGTTCTGCAGATCCCTTTTTAAGTGCCCCCCCTTGATGTTGTCCCCTGGTGTTTTACAAGGGGACATTATGCAATTATTTTTATCTACTTATAAACGAACCTACTGCTGCATCCTGTCACGGCTTAAAATTGGCTGCTGTTTCTTCAGTGCTGAAAAAGCTGGGTCAGCATGAGTCAGCGGCCTGCACCGGTTGTATATATAGAGTGAGAAATGTTAGTTTGGTGTTTGGTTGGGTTGGTTGGTTGGTGAAAGCTGGTAGTGTTGAGGTGTGTATAGTTGGACTTTTAAGAATAAAAGCAGAAAGTACTCTGCAGATACTCTTCTCGTGGACTCTTTTATGCCGACAAGGGTCCGAGGACCAGGCTGAGGCAATGAAGGGAGGTCAGAACCCTCTCTTTTTTTTGCAAACACTGACACATCCCTCTGCTGTTCCATGAAGCTCGTTGCACGCAAGACCCACTGAAATTCATGGACCGAACAAAAGTCACATCCGGCGATTAAATGAGGTCTGCTCTGGAGCAAAACTTAAGCGGAACATCACCTGTTGTGTAACATAGTGTGGGTGATGATTTTGAAACATGCTGCTTTGGTAGGATTTTGTCCCGAGGAGTGTTTGCTGGAAATAAAATTACAGAATAGTATAGTTGGAAGGGGTCCCGAGGATCATCTAGTCCAACCCCCTGCAGTGCAGGAATCACAACTAAGGCATCCCTGACAGATGACCATCCGACCTCTCCTTAGAAACTTCCAAGGAAAGAGAGTCCACCTTCCCATAATGGTACGTCAAGGCCATTTGTAAACCGAATCTCCTTGTTCGTTTTTCTTAATTAGAAGACATCTGAAGGCAGCCCTGTATCGGGAAGTTTTTAATGTATGATGTTTTATCATGTTTTTCTATGTGTTGGAAGCTGCCCAGAGTGGCTGGGGCAACCCAGCTAGATGAGCAGGGTATAAATAATAATAATAATAATATTATTTAAAATGTTGAACAACACGGAACCTCGGTGTCTCCCTTGTTAAGAGTTCCCCATTAATTGTGGCAGCAAGGCCATCTTCTAACCTGTTTTTAAAAAAGGTAAAGGACCCCTGACAGTTGGAGTTCTTTGTGAGGAGGCATCATACACCATGCACAGAAAGCCAGGCTGAAGTCAAAGGAAGTTACTACTGCTCCCTCAGGCCTGAAAACAAGGAATTTCTGCCAAAGGAGGGAAAAGGTGAGCTGTTTTTAGTTCTCTGTTGGGAGCCACTTAGAGTGGCTGGGGATACCCAGCCAGATGGGCGGTGTATAAATAATAAAATTATTATTATTACCTCTGATGGAAACTGTAACCCAGCGACATTTGAAGGGCACCAAACTGGCTCTCCTTGCTCTCAGCTGATTATTATTACACACAAAAGCAGCTGCGTAAAGAAACGCCTGAGCAGTTGAGGACTGTGATGCCCGTTTCCCCACTAGTCAGGGTCCTTTGGCTACTCTACTGGTGTGACAGAGCCACAAAGGGCCTTGGCAACATCTAGTCACATTCCTGCCAAAAAAGGAAGGTTTTGGTGCAATGGCAAAAGGTCCCCAAAGAGGAGTCCTTAGGTAGTTTGAAAGCCAGGCCAAAGTGACAAAGAAGACCTTCTCCTGCATTGATGCATTTCAAAGGCGATTATACTCACTCTAATGTGTGGGATGCCATTGAAAAGTATTTGGAGATTGCAACTGGCCCAGAATGCAGTAGTCAGGCAAGAGTTCTAAAATGCAATAGGCTGAAGTTCTGTTTTTTACATTTAAAGCTCTAATGGTCTGGCACCAGGATATTTGAAGGACCGCCATCTCCTGTTCAACACCGTATATGCACTGAAGCTATCTTTGCAGACCCTGCTCTGGGTCTTCCATGCAGTAGGCTGCTGTGTGGGACACAGCCTTCTCAGCAGTGGCACCTACATTGGACAGGACCAGCGAGGGCAGAGCCGAGCTTGTGGCGAGTGTAAAAGCCCTTCTTGCAAAGCTGTTCCTTTCTACATGATTTTGTGGCTTCGTGATCTTTTGAAGACGAGGAGGGCAAATGAGGCGAGAGCTAGCCATGGCTAATAGCTAGGCTAGCTAGATAGGCCTCCTTGGACAGAGGCAGTCTACCTCTGAATACCAGTTACAAACAAGCGGGGGGGGGGGGGGTCCTTGGCTGCTTGTGGGGCTTCTCAGAAGCAGCAGTTGGTGGTTGATGACGAAGATTGACCAGTGCAGGAAACGGGAAGCTGAGATCCAGCAGGGCTGCGCTAAGGCTCCAACAGAAAACGAGTGAAAGAGACGCTTTCTCCTGGCGCAGATGGGAAGAACTGCCCTACAAGATTCATCTTGGGCAAGTTCCATTCAGGGGCAACTGCTGGGATTACTCTGAAGACAACAGGCCAGTGCCTGACTGACGCCCAGGCTCCGGGCCGCTCTTTGGGGTCTTGTGAGGAGGGTCCTCTTGACGTTAAACGGAGGCCGGAGAGTATTGCAAGCACAAAATGAAGACACACTCCCATTTCCAAACACACATTTATAGAATTTTCTTTTTAAAAAAAAAAAAAAAAGAGAGAGAGAAAGTATCTGGTACAGTCCTTTCTATCTTTTTTCTTCTTCAATATAAATATTTTCAAGTGTCTACAATGGTTGCCCCTCTCCTCTCCTCCTTTCTGCTTCGTCTCGGGAGCAGGACGTGGGAGGAGATGCAACGCAGGGGCGGAGGACGAGGCGAAGTTGCCCTCTCCTCCTCCTGCTCCTCAAAGACCAAAATCCTTCACAGAAGCAAGGCTTCCTTTCTCCTTTGTGAAATGGTGCAAATCGCCCCTGCGCCACCCCCCTCCCACCCCACTGGCAGGGGCCTCAAGGTGATTGCAAAGGCAGCATTTTTGACCCCCAGCCCACTCCCAAGAACCCCCTAACAAAAAAACCCCAATACAGGGAAACCGCCATGCAGGAGTCCCAAAACAACTTCAACTCGGCTCCTCTACACCCCACCCACCCATGGCAACATCGTTAAGTTTGGCACCGTGTACGTCTTCAACCTGAGGTGGGCATGGAATGGGCAGGGAGGTGGTCTCAGCTCAAGACACGGAGACACAGCAGCGAGCGACACTCACTGTCTCCCCACCCTCAAAACACAGCTTCTCCCAAGACGCCCCTCCTGCGTTCTGCCTCTTGGAAACCCCCCAGGCGGACCAGGCGTCGTGATGCCAGGAGCCAGGCCCTTTCGGTGTCTCCTGCCTGCGCCAAGCCCTCGGCCAGCTGGGCAAGATCCGGGGGCTGCCGAGTCTCGTGCATTGGGCAAAAGGCAGGGGAGAGCAGGGGTGGGCTGATGCCCTAGAGAAAGGGCAGGGAACCTGGCCCCCAGGAGGAAGGAATCCCGGAACGCGAAGGAAGCCCCGTGGGGTGCAAAGGACGGCTTGCTCTCTCCCCCCACCACGCACAGCTGCTCTTCGCAGGTTCAAATGCAAAGCTGGGAGCTCCCACCGTCCCCAGCGACTCCATCCTCTGCTTGCCAACGTGAGCCATTTCTGCTCAGGTGGCGGCCCGTGAAGCAGATGGAGGCCTCTGCCTGGATGGTCAAGGCTGCATCTTCCGTCTTCCTTCCCTCCCGCCTCCTCATGACCCTTTCAGTGCTTCGTACTTCCAACACACACACACACACACATATATATGTCTCACCCTGCCCTCCACTCCGATGGCCCCAAATCTTAATGTCAGAGCCCTAGCCCCTCTTTGTCTCTCCCCACCCCACCCCTGTTTCAACGCCACCCTGCCCCTCCTTCGGCCGGGCCCCTTCCTTCGGTTCCTCCTGCCCCCCACCCCCTGCCAAACCGCACAGGGCACCGGAACTAGAGCTTGAGAAGCACTGCATTTGAGATCCAGGCTGGGCACAGGCCTCTCTCTTGAGGCAGACAAAAAACTATGAGCCCAGTTCATCTTTCGCACTCAGGACCCTTCCTCTTCCTTCCTCATCTGCCAAAGCCCCGTTGGCTCTGGGTGGGGTTCTCCCCACGTCCATCCGTCCTCCCTCAGGCTCGGGGGGAGTAGCAGGGGTTGCGCGGGAGTTCGGTGAAGGACTTCAGTTCGTAGGGGATCCCCGAATCAATCTCAATTGACTTACGGGAAAAGAGCAGGCGGATGTTGTCGTGCAGGTAAATCTTCCCCGACTTGGAGCTGTGGAACCTGGGAAGCGGAGGAGGCACGTTTCAGAGGTTAGGAATCTGCAGCACCATAAGGAGAGCCTGCAGCTGGATCAGGCCAGGGGCCCATCTGGTCCAGCATCACCAGATTCCTCAAGGAGAAACCCATAAGCAGGATCTGAGCACAAGAGCAACTCTCTCCGCCTGAGATTTCCAGCAACTGGGATTCAGAAGCACGGCTGCCTCCAGCTGTGAAGGCAGAGCAGAGCCATCCTGGCTTGTAGGCATCCAAAGCCCTCTCCCCTATGAATCTGAAGGGGGGGGCAGACTGCTTAGCTTGAGGAACAAAGGCACTATAGCTCCAAGTGGGGTAAGACGTTGGCAGGGAGGGGAGGAGAACCCACAGAGCTGATTTAGCAAGATGGCATTCGATCCACTTGAGTGGACCGGCTTTGAAGGGGCGGCGGGGGAAGGCGGTCTGCAGGAGAAGGGCCAGATCCAGCACTTAAAGGTGCTTGGGCCCAGCCTGGATGGTGTGCTAAGCTTCAACCTGCTGGGGCAAACCATCTTCTCCTGAAATGGGAGGCAGAGGAGAGGTCACTTGGCTCCCACATTAAGTATCCCTACACAAAAGACATGACAGAATGAGGATCTCCAATGAGGCAACATGTGGGAAGATTCAGGCCAGATTCAAGAAAGAATTTCTTCGTGCAGAGTTAAGCTGTGGAACTCCCTCCCACAGGAAGCAGCGATGGCCACCAACTTGGATAGCCTTAAAAGAGGATTGGAATGGCTACTTCGTCTCGATGGCTGCAGGCAGTGATGCTTCCGAATTCCAGTTTCTGGAAATCTCTTGTGCTCGAATCCTGCTTGCCGTTTCCCCATTAGGGCCACTGTGAGAACAGGAGCCTGGGCTAGAGGAGCCTTGTCACTCTTCTTAAAGCGGCCATACCTATTTGAAATACATTTCCTTGTGATCTTTTAAGGAAAACGGGGAACAAAAATGTCACTGCCCAAGACAGCTTTTCCCCTAGAGCAGGGGTCAGCAAACTAAGGCCCGCAGGCCGGATCAGGCCCACCTGGGTCGTAAATCCAGCCCGCGCCCCAAAGCCGGAACCTGCCGCGAAGCTGAGATTCCCAGCGATGGTGAGGGGAGGAAGAGGCCAGGCGGTGGCGGCTTTGCCACTCAATTGCCGCACCTGATTTACCTCGGCATAGCACAGGGACGTCTCTGCCAATCAAACACAGTGCCTGGTTTACTTCAGCGGCATTTGATTGGCAGAGATTGGCTCCTCCCGCCTTGCCACCTCTGGAAGTCCGCTTTCCCTTCCCTGCCAGCTTCCACCTGCACTGCCAGGAGCGTAGCTGCACCCTGCCCTGCCGCTGGATGCACGGACACTAAGAGCCCTAAAGATGTGCTTACTCACAAGTAAGCCACAATCGTTTCAAGGCCGCTTGTTCAGCGCCTGAAGAACCGCTCAAGCCCACTGAGATGAAATGCGCTACGGATCGCGCCCCTGGGAAGGTAAGCACAGCAGCTGCCCCCCCTCACCTCTTCTTCCAGCTCCCCCCATGCTGGTTCTCCAGCCCACCACAAGGTCTGAGGGACAGTGGACCAGCCCGTGGCTAAAAAAAAATGCTGACCCCTGCCCTAGAGAATGCCAGGATCAGGCACCATTTGACTGCCATGCCTGGGGTGGCGGGAGTGGGGTGAGGAGCAGCCTCCCCACCTCCAAGGCAACTGGGGGAAACAGCCCCATGGAAATATGGAGGTGGCAGCAGCCCCAGATAAAGCCAGGACTCCAAAAACACTCACACTGCATTTGTATTATATTTTGCGTAGGACTTTCAGAAATCACCTTAAACCTTCCAGTTGGGATTCCTGCATTGCTGGGGGTTGGTCTGGATGACCCTCGGGGTCCCCCTCAACGCTACGCTTCTGGGATTCTATGCTTGGGCCCTAAGCGGGTCTCGTGTTGGGCGTGTAAATAGATAGTCCTGCCAGGACAGGACTAGGGTGGCCCAGGAAGGGCCCAGGGACCCCAGGCGGCCAGCCCCACGGCCAGCTCTTCCTCACCTCAGGTGCATCAGGTAGCAGAGGACCCTTCTGGGCACCTCGCTCTGGGCTGGGCTGGGGCCTTGCTCCACCTCCTCGCCAACGGGAACCAGGAAGATGCGGTGGCGCAGGAAGGTGACGTGGTTGGCAGGCATGTCGTGGAAGTCGTAGGTCACCAGGAACATCTTCACCACCGTCTTGTTGGGGTTGAATAAGGTCTGCAAGAGGGGAGGCCGTCACGGAGGCGGGGGAGAGCGGCTGCCCCACGGAGGGGGGCGAGGGGTCTCTGGGCTCCCCACCCCCAAACCTTAGGCCAGCGCGGCCCCCACACCTCCCTGCTCCCCTCTCTCTTCACATGCACGGCTCAGGAGCCAGGCTGCCCACCTGCCCGCCTCTTCAACTCACCACTTGGATGGTGCCCGTTTTGGGGATGCTGTAGCCCTTCTTCCCCAAGGATTCCAAATCAATGACTCCCTGGAGCAGAGAGAGAAGGTTAGGGGCTCAGGGGGGTTCAGAGGACGGTGGGAGGGGCAGGGAAGGGGCACCCGGGTTAGGGCAGTGGAATAACGCTCACTTTGCAGACTGGGAAGCCACAAGCCCTGGGAGGGGTGCTGTGGGCGATGGAAAGGGCAGTTCCCCTGGGCAGCGGCCAGGGCAGAGCATTTCGTGGCCACTTGAGCCACAGGAGAAACGCTGGACTAGCTAAGACCTTTCCAGAGACAGATGAAAGATTTCTTAGTTTGCAAAAACACGTGCGTTGTCTCTTTATTCAAGTTGTGTTTTCTACAGATCAGTTTCATTTGTTGCAAGACATTACTGCTGCATATAGTATTAGGTTAGGAAGAAGAGGAGAGAGGGGAATAGTATTTGGGGTGGGGTCAGGTGGCAATGGTTCTATTCTACTTAGTGTATGTGTGAGGTTTTGTGTCAGCATCACTTGTGTGGGTCTCCTTACTATTCGCTTGTTGTATTTCCTTGGTGGTGAGAGAGGTTGGGGGTGGCCAGGGGGTGGGTGGTTGTCTTTGGTTGGCTGAGATGGTCTTGGTTTTCATGTGTGAGTGAGGTGGGTGGGTGTGTTTAGATCAGGTTAGCCATATTGATTTGTATGCTGTTGGTGGATTTTTGTCATTGTCTTGTTGGGCTGTGTGTGTGATAAAGGGGAGCCATACCGGGGTGAAGGCCTCTTCTTCTGTTTGTTCCCGTGTCAGTTTCAGTTTATTTGTTAATTTTTCTAATAAGGCTGTTTCCCATACTATTTGGTACCATTGGTCCATGCTTTCTCCTGACAGGTCTCTCCAGTGGCTGGTTATGATGCTTCTGGCTGCTGAGAGTAGGTAGGTTATAAGTTCTTTGTGATGTGAGTGGCCATTATTGTCTTGGAAGATGTTTAGTAGGGCCAATTCTGGGGTGGTGTCTAATATTTGCTTAGTTATTTTACATATTTCTTGTATGGCTGTTGTCCAGAATAGTTGGATTTTGGGACACTCCCACCAAATGTGGAGGTATGTGCCTGTGGAAGTGCACCCTTTCCAGCACTTTGGTGAGGTTCCTGGGCGTATTAGCGCTAGTTTTCTTGGTGTTAGGTACCACCTGTAGGTGATTTTCAGAGTGAGTTCTTTCCTTTTTGTTGATATGAATTTGAAGGCGGGGGTTAGACCACATTCTGGTCCATTGAGTGGGGTTAATCTCATAGCCTATGTCATCCTCCCATTGTTTTTTGATTGTGTCTAGGGAATTTGTGGGATTTTGGAGTAGTATTTTGAATAGTGCGGATACGATCCCTTTGCCGTGTCCCTTAGTTGTTAGGAGGAGGTTTTCGAAGGTTGTCAGGGCCCTAGTTGCTGCTGATTTTACTACTGGATTGTTTAAGAGGGCATGTAATCGGTGGTGTGTTAGCCCCTAGTTTGTCTTGTATTTCTTATGTCAAAGTGGGTTTGTTATTTTTGTAGAAGTCTGCTAGACGGTATAAGCCTTTGCCTTGCCAGGTTTTTATCTGGAGGTTTTGTGCCGCATGAAGGAATAATGGGTGGTACGCCAGGGGGATTAGTGGGGACGGGGACAGTTTGCCTGCTTCTTCCTTCCATGCTTTAAGCGTGGTCTGTGTGAACCTGTTTAGTGTTGTGGGGATTTTCCTTAGATTGTTTTGGGAAATGTGTTTTGTTTTTTCTATTTTGACGATTTGAAATGTTAACATGATAAAAAAAAAAAAATCTAATAACAATTTAAATTAACAAAAAAATAGAATGTATGGGGTTTATCCCAGCCAAGTTCACTCATGACCAACCTGGGGCGGCCAATGCCACCCCATTGCCCCAGTGGGTCTGTCCACTGAAGTCAGCCCCTGCCATGCCACCAGCCCCCCCTTCCCAAAGCCCGCTCCCCCCCACCCCAGGTCGCCTACCAGGAAGGGCGAGGGGGCGCTGTGCTCCGCTATGTCGAAATAGGTGACTTCCACAGGGAGGGTGGCATGCTGCGGGCAGTAGGAGCCGCTGGCCCCGATCTCCGCCGTGAAGCCCTCAATCCGGCCGGCCGGCGGGAAGCGCCCCTTCAGGATGGACTCCTGCGCAGGGAGGAAAGAGGGTGGGTGGATGGGCCAGGGGAAGGGAATGGGCTCCCTCCCCACACACAAAGGGGCCTCCCAACTCATCTCCAACCCCCCTTTTATCCTGCAACTCAGCCATGCGGGCAAAGGGCTCTTTAACCCTTCCCTCCCCAGTGCAAACAGCAAGAGCAGCTCAGGCATTTGCATAATAATAATAATAATAATAATAATAATAATAATAATAACGGTACCCCAACCACCTGGCTGGATTGCACAGCCGCTCTTGACAGCATCCACACTGGAGGCCAGAAAAGGGTGCCTAGGAGCCCTTTGCCATCACAGTGGGCAAAAGGAGCCATGTCATGCTCAAACCTCTTTACACGGGGGGGGGGCGGACATGTCCTGGATGGCCCTCTGTCCTGGATGCTTCAGTTGAGATTCATGGATTGAAGGGGGTTGGACTACATGACCCTTGGGTCCTTCCCAACTCTATGAGTCTCTGTTTCCATGTCCAGAGTGCCCTTTACCCAGGACTCAGCTCTCCCAGGGCCACATAAAGGGCGGAGGCAACATCCGCTGCCCCTCCAGCCCCACCCCCCGGGGCAGACGGAGCCGGTCTCCCCATGGAAGAGGAGCCTCCCCGCCCTCCTCAGTCCCGGGTGCCCGAGAGGAAGCGCTCCCTCGCACCCAGAGCCTCCCAGCCGCCGTTACCTCAAAGTTCCCCAGCAGGGCGCGGCTGGTGGAGGTGGTGGCCCAGGGGGTGGCGCTGGGGGGCCGGCAGCCCGCTGGGCTCCTGGGCAGGCTGCTGCGGAGATGTCTCCTGTTGGGGCAGAAGGTCAGGGGGTCAGTTTGAGCAGAGGCCCCCCACGCCCTGCCCACCCCGGAGACCTGCCAGAGCAAAGCTCCCAGGCAGCATCTCCAGAGAGCTGGGGGGGGGACCCCTCCCTCTGCCAGGGAGACAGCCAAGGGCACGAGGGCAAGGCTGCCAGCCAGGGCACCCAAGCAGGGAAGGCCCAAGAGCCACCCCCCACCAGTCCAGCAACTCTGGGCGGTCACCTGGGGGGTCACTGACTGTGGGAGGGGCCGAAAGGGAATGCAGGGGGGGCACTTACTGTTTGAGGCGCAGCCCAGCCTTCAGCTGGCAGCCGGCAGAACCACTGGTGGCCGAGCCCTGGGGGGTTGGGGTGGGGGGTGAGGAGAGACAAAGGGGGAAGCGGGAGGTTAGAGGCGGGACCCCCAAACGCAGCGAAGGAGACTCGCGGTCCGAACTGCAAAGCAATGGCGTCTTAAGCACATTGGACTCGTGGTGCAACACTGTCTCCAGAAGGCTAGAGATGCTCACGCTGCGGCAACTGGAGAAGACGCGTCTTTGCGTCTCCCCAGGAGCCTTGGGGCTGAACCCCCATGGAAGATGCGGTCGCACCGAACTCTCGAAAAGCGGTTCCCACAAAGCGACCGTCATCTGGGCTCCACAAGACCCGCCGTGCAGGCAGCCAGCCCAGGAACTGCATGCGCACGCGCATTCCCCCACAGGGACAGGCCCCAGAGGCGAGGGGTCCGAGCCACCTGCACCCTCTATTCCAGATGCCTGCCTGGGACCCCCACACCTGCCCACCAAGCCCCAAAGGACCCCCATCAGTAGGGTCCCAATCCCCCAACCTTGCAGCAACAGCTCAGCCTTCCTGTCTGGTCTTCTCTCAGGGGGAGAAGCCCCCGCAGTGACTTACTAGAAGTGTCCCACAAGAGGGTCCTCTGGAGCCAGTGTGCCTGGAGGAGGTGGGCACCTGTGGGCAGGAGAGGGGAGCCAAGCCTGGGGGTGGGCAGATGCCAGGGAGAGCACCCAGGTGGGAGGCAGGATGCCCACCTCGTCCTGCAGAGCCGGCCGGCGGCTGGGCTCTTCCAGAGAGAGGCCGGCGGGTCACATGCTCAGTGACCAGGCAGTGACCTCCCTGGCACAGAGAGGGGAAAAGGGACAGGGCAGGGGCCAGCAGCTCTCCTCCGGGGGCCGAGGCATCACAAGGCATCCCTCGTGCCAAAGGGCTTCACGCCCCCTGGCACAACCCCTTGGCTCAGAGCTCAGCCTTGATGTGGAGGGAGATGGAGGAGAGCCTTCGTCTGAGACGGCCCTTTCCTCCCTCCGCACATCTGGGTGTGGGGGTCTCCTCTCTTGCAGAGCTTGGCCACCGCATCCCCCACCCCCATCACCCTGCCCTCCTTGGCGTGGGCCCCACAACCACAACAATGGCCTCCCCAAGCCCTCGAGAACGGAAGGAGCCCCCAAGACAGGCTGGCAGGTTAAAGGAAGCTGTCTTAGTCCAGGCCAGCCTTTCTCCACCTGTGGGTCCCCAGATGTTGTTGAACTACAACTCCCATCACCCCTAGCTAGCAAGGCCAGAGCTCAGGGATGATGGGAGTTGTAGTCCAACAACATCTGGGGACCCACAGGTTGAGAGCCGCTGGTCTAGGCTTTTGGGGTGAAACAAGGTTCTCTCTCCCTTCCCTCTGGCCTCACCTGGGCAAACACTGAATTGACTTGGCCGGCAAGGCCAAACTCACTTTTACCAAAGGCTGCAAATACAAGACGCCTCAGGACCAGCATTCATATTTCTAGGTACCCACCGACGGCTCCAGTCTTCTCAACTCAGGAATAGCAGGCAAGGGCCAGAGAAAATCCTTTGCAGAGACTGAGAGGCGACCAAACAAGGCTCTCCTCCTCACTGGGAGACAAACTATTGTCTGCAACATTTCCTTGGTGACATTTTGTATGTTTCAATCTTTTTACTCTATTCTATCCTGGATTTAACTTTCCGCATGCTTCAAATCATGGTTGCGAATCTCCCAAGCGATCCTTTCATTGTTCTACCTTTTCCGTAAACTGCTTTGAGGTTTCTTCCTACGACCGAGTGGCGTATAAAATAAATACAGTCATATCTTGGTTCACGAAGGCCTTGCGACTCAAACGTTTTGGGTCCCGAATGCCGCAAACCCAGAAGTGAGTGTTCCAGTTTGCGAACGTTCTTTGGAACCCGAACGTCTGACGCGAATTCCACGGCTTCCAATTGGCTGCAGGAAGCTCCTGCAGCCAATCAGAAGCCGTGCCTTGGTTTTCAAACGTTTTCGGAAGTCGGACGGACTTCCGGAACGGATACCGTCCGAGAACCAAGGTACGACTGTATATAAAATATATGAAATAAAGAATAAATAATATCACAGAAGACCGGTCCTTTTCCAAAATGCTGCAACCTTCCTCCCCCGACCCCCACAAAGGGGGGAGCTCACACACCCCCAGCCCCCCCCCAGCAAAGCAAAGCAAAATCTCACCTTGGCCACCGGCAACAGGTGGTTCCAGAAAGGGGCGCCCTTGGCGTCGGTGCTTCGACAGGAGGCTGGCACGGGGGGGCAGGGCGGGGCCCTCTTCTTCTTCTTCCGGGCAGGGGGGCGCCCCTCGTCCTCGGAGGCCCCCGCCTCAGCCGCCCCCTCCGCCGAGGAGGGCAGCAACTTCCGCTTCGCCGGGCAGCAGCCGGTCCCCCCGCCAAGGAGCCCGCAGCCGGGGTGTGGAGTCTTTTCGGCAGAGCCCAGCCCGTTGGCATCCGAGCCTCGAGCCGCCGGCGGAGTGCCAGGCTCTAGGTGCCCTCCGGGTGCCCCCAGGGGCGCGTCCCCCAGCTGGGGCTGATGTGCAAGGTTGTGCAAGCCAGGGCCCAGGAGGCGGTTGGGGCCAGGGGCCCCCTGGTCCCTGGGGCCCCCGTTCTTCTCCTGCCCCCCGGCAGGGCCAGGGTCCGGCGAGGCGGGGGCGCAGCCTCTCTTCGCCGTGTGCAAAGTGTCGCAAGGGGTGTGCGGGGCCTGCACTGGGGTGGCCCCTCGTGCCCTGGGGGGGCTGCTCTCGGGGCGGTGCTCCACCACCCGCAGGCCGCTGTGGGAGAAGTGCTGGGCGGCGCCCCCCAGGGAGAGCTCGTCCACCAGCAGCCCATCCTCAATGTCGTCGTCCCCCTCCTCCCAGCGGCCCCTCTTGGCGTCCCACTCGGCCCCCTCCGGCCCCCGCTGGGGCTCCGGGCAGGGGCGCTTGACGGGCTGCCTCCCGGGGGCCCTCTGTTCCGGAGGGGGGGAGCAGCCAGCCGGTGGGGAGAAGATGGAGACTTGGTAGACCTTCTGGCAGGCGAGCTCCGGGGGTCCGCAGCCCATCAGGACCCCACGGTGGCGGCGCCAGGGGAGGGGCCCTTCCTCCTCCGCCTCCTCCTCTTCCTCCTGCTCCTCCTCCCGGCTGGTGCCTGCACTGCGCTCCTGGGGGAGGGCCGACTCTGCATTGATGTGCCGCATGGGGTGCGATGGGGCAGGGAAGGGTGCTAAAGTGCCGCGGGGCGTTCGGGAGCCTGGAGAAAGCCCCTGCTATGAAGTGTGCTTCATGGCTGCATCTGGAACGAGAAGAGAAGGCGAGTTGAGAGGCAGGGGGAAAAGGCTCATGAACTCATGCGCAGCCTCAAGAAAGCGGAGAGATGCTGCCAGGATGCTTAGGAAAAGGCAACTTCCGCAGGACATGTGATGCAGTCTCCTCCTCCAGCCCTTGCCATACCTGACCAGGTAGAAACAAACTCTTCAGCTCTCCAGGGCAGAAGCGGTTTGGCGAAGGGGCACGGCAGCAAAGTCCTGAACCCCCTGCTGCAGCCCCTAGCCCAAGTGCCCCATGGGGGGGCAAGCCTTCCTCAAAGGAGCCGGGCACTCACCCCTCTGCAAAGGGTCCCTCGTCCTCGTCCTCCACCTGGGCGCCCCCTCCAGCAGCAGGCGGTGGCTGGCGTAGCCGGCAGGCGAGATCTTCCACCCTGGCACTCCCCAGAAGCGGCGTGGCTGCCTGGGAATGGCTCCCACCATCACGGGCTGCGGCGCGAGTTCTGCCTCCCGGCCTCCTCAAAGTCCTCGCGGGTGAACAGGGCAACTCGGCAGCAGCAGCAGCAGTGGGGCTGCAGAGAAACAAACACAGAATCATCATCATCATTAATCATTTCATTTCTATGAAGCCAGTGTGGTGTAGTGGTTAAGAGCAGTGGACTCGTAATCTGGGGAACCGGGTTCGCGTCTCCGCTCCTCCACCTGCAGCTGCTGGGTGACCTTGGGCCAGTCACACTTCTCTGAAGTCTCTCAGCCCCACTCACCTCACAGAGTGTTTGTTGTGGGGGAGGAAGGGAAAGGAGAATGTGAGCCGCTTTGAGACTCCTTAAAGGGAGAGAAAGGCGGGATATCAAATCCAAACTCTTCTTCTTCTTCTTCTATACTGCTTTATATTTTGAAGGGGGGTGGGAATCAAGCGGTTTACAACACATTAAAACATCCAGTAAAACAGAAAAAGAAGGAACTTTTTATCACATGTGGTGGGAATGTAAGAAAGTGAAAAACTTCTGGGAAATGATATATAATGAAATGAAAAAGATGTTGAAATATACATTTATTAAAAAAACAGAAGCATTTTTTACTTGGCATTGTAGGGGAGGATGTTAACAGACAGGTCTGTAAGTTGTTCTTATATGCAGTAACGGCAGCAAGAATACTATTGGCACAAAAATGGAAGCAAGAAGAATTACCAATGAAAGAAGAATGGCAAATGAAATTAATGGACTATGCAGAATTAGATAACTTAACAGGAAGGATTCGAAACCTGCGGGACCAGAGATTCTTAGAAGATTGGAGTAAATAGTTGAACTATTTGGAAAGCAATTGTAATAAAACAGATTACGGTAGTAGGACTGCAAGAAGTTCTGTAAGCAGGATTATATGAAATATTGCAAGGAAGACTATGAAGAGAATTATTAATGATAATTAAAAGAAATAGAGAAATTAAGGAATGCAGAATAAGTGATAAAGAATGGAAAATCTCCAGAGGTTGTTGACGGAAGTCTAAAATATTGTATAAGACAAGAAGTTATATTAAATGACTGTTGGACGCGATATGTTAAAAAATTAATAAAAATGTGTGTGTGTGTGTGTGTATATATATATATATATATCTATATATATATATATCTATATATATCTATATATATATATATAGCACCCACTAAAACGATCCAGAAGAAAACAAATTCAAACTTCAAGGAAATTATTTCAGATGCTTCTCTAAGGGACATTTTGCTTCCCCCCTATTTATTTACCTACTTAATTGACAGAGCTGCCCCACAGCAGAAGGACTCCAGGAAGCCAGAGGGTCAGACTAAGACCGCTCCTTCGTGAAGTTCACGGGGTGACCTTGGAGTCGGTCGCAGCATCTTCACCTACCTTGCAGGGACGTTGTAGAGATTAGCTGAGGAGGGGGTGAACCATGGACCCTTTGTAGAAAAAGGTGGGTCATATGTGCAACAGATAAGCTCTTTTGCTGACCTGCCTAAGGAAGCTGGAGAGGTCAGCCAGGTGGAGATGTCAGTCGCAAGCCGGGCATCCAGGGATCTCCACATGGTTGCAATTGGACCTGCACCAGGTGCAAAACACGCCTGCTACCTGGGGAATTTCTAGCACTGTTTAGGACCGTAACCTTGTCTCTTCTAGGGGGGCAGAATGGCTGCCCCTGTTGCCCCCCAGGCGCTGTTGAATGACACCTCCCACCCCCTGCCACTGGCTGGTTGCTGCGGTACGTGGAAGGGCCACAGGTCCCCAGTCCCTGCTCAGTGGGAAGCTCAGCAGAGACTCGCCCTGCAAGGAGGCATCATGCTGCAACCGCAGGCTGTTCTCTCGCTCACTCACTAAACTCTAGCTCACATGGCCCTTAACTGTAAAACATATGATGATCTCCGCCAACAATTTCTAGACCATCTATGTATTCCAACATGGAAACCAGAGACGGAGGTCATGCGCTTCTTATTACAGGGGAGAGACCAGGAGCTCACCAAGACAGTAGCTAAGGTCCTCTATTTGATTTTTGGTTGCCGAAGTATGCTGCAGGATCCTGCCCTTGCTGGAAACCCACAGAGATGAGGCGGATTGCTCGCCTCTTTTGCCCTTTGGCGGGTCACTGTGCCGTTGGGGTGGTGACGAGATTGCACTGGCCTATCTATTTTAAATGTATTCTGAATGTTCTTATGTGATGCCAAGAAAGGTTACTTGACTTGCTAACTCACCAGTTCCACAGGACCTTTCAAACGAAGAGCGGCAGTGGCAGCAGGGGCCTTCTCCCATGGCACTCCGCCAGCGGCAGAGACCCCAGAAGCCCTCAATTCTGACAGAGCACCTTCTTCAAGACCTGGGAAAAGCACACAGAGGACCAGGTGAGATGTGGCCCCTCAAAGGGCACAAAAATAATGCTTAATTATGTAATCATCAAATTCTCTCAAGTACCAAATAATATTTATTAGTTAAGGTGGGAGACACATGGCTTGCCAGTACATTGGTCCCTTGATTCTCAAACTTAATCTGTTCCAGAAGTCTGTTCCAAAACCAACACATTCCAAAACCAAGGCGCTCTTTTCCATAGAAAGTAATGCAAAATGGATTAATCCGTTCCAGAGTTTTAAAAACAACCCCCAAAACAGCAATTTACCATGAATTTTATTTTCTAACAAGACCACTAATCCATAAAATGAAAGCAATAAACCATGTACAGTCATACCTCAGGTTACAGATGCTTCAGGTTGCGTTTTTTCAGGTTACGGACGCTCCGAAACCCGGAAGTACCAGAACAGGTTACTTCCGGGTTTCGGAGGTCGCGCATGCGCAGAAGCGCTGAATCGCAACCCGCACGTGCGCAGACGCACCGCTGTGGGTTGCGAACGCTGCGGGTTGTGAATGTGCATCCCGCATGGATCATGTTCGCAACCCGAGCGTCCACTGCACTGCAGTCACACAATCAATCAATCAATCAGTAGCTGAACTGGGTTCCACACAGTCACAAAAACAAAACGAAGAGTCACAAAAACGTAAAATAGTAAAAACAGACAGACCTAAGCGTAACACTCAAAATGGAAGTGTGGAACTCAAATTGGAAGTGTAACATTCAAAACGGAGCATGTTCGGCTTCCGAAAAAAGTTTGCAAACTTACTTCCGGGTTTGCAGTGTTTGGGTTCCAAGTTGTTTGAGTACCAAGGTGTTTGAGAACCAAGGTACCACTGTAGTACATGTGAGAAGGATATTGGGGTCTTAGTGGAACATGAGTCCACAGTGTGATGCAGCAGCAAAAAGAGCTAATACTATTCTAGGGAAGTTATAGGGCCGTTCTATTCTGCCTTGGTCAGACCACACCTGGAATACTGTGTCCGGTTCTGGGCAACACAATCTAGGAAGGATATAGAGAAGCTGGGAGGTGTGCAGGGGAGGGGGGGCAACCAAGATGATCAAGGGGTCTAGAAGCCAAGCCTGATGAGGAACAGTTGAAAGGGCCGGGTATGTTTATCCTGGAAAAGAGGAGGCTGAGAGGAGCCAGCCAGCAGGCCAGGCGCATCCCACAAGCCAGGCCACTGGCTGAGCCAAACCTGCTCTCCCTGCAGCAAGGGCCAAGCAGGAGATAGGGGGAGAAAGAGGGGGCAGAGGGAAAGCAGGAGGCCTAACGCCCCAAGGAGGAGCAAGTGGGAAAAGAATCTGTGCAATTCCGGGGGCTTGTGCAACACTTGGCAATAAGAGGGTGAGAGATGCTGAGGCCACTTTCCCTGGCTCTGCTTTCCTTGCACGGCAGGTTCAGGTGCTGCCCTGTCCGTCCTGTGGCATCTGTCCTCCCAGCAGCCCTTTCTCCACCCCATCATCCAGCCTGGACACTGAGGTCCAGCTCCGAGGGCCTTCAGGCAGTTCCCTCCCTGCGAGAAGTGAGGTTACAGGGAACTAGGCAGAGGGCCTTCTCGGTGGTGGCACCTGCCCTGTGGAACGCCCTCCCACCAAATGTCAAGGCAATAAACAACTATTCTACTTTTAAAAGACACCTGAAGGCAGCTCTGTTTAGGGAAGGTTTTAATGTCTGACGCTGCATTGTTTTTAATTTTCGGTTGGAAGCTGCCCAGAGTGGCTGGGGAAACCCAGCCAGATGGGCAGGGTAGAAATAATAAACGATTATTATTATTCTGGGCAAAATGAAGCAGCAGGCTGGGGCGGCATCCCTTGAAGTATCTGAACTGGAAGAGCCGTGCCGGCCTCATGAGAGAAAGGAAGGAGGAACTGGTGGGACTCCTTGCCTCAAGATGAAGCAGGCAGACCTGAAGAGGAGAGAACCAGGACTACAGACGCCCCCAGGTTCCTCTGGCTGAGCAAGGTTGGGTCAAAGTCCTGTGGGCAAGAGGCAGCGGTGGGGCCCTGCCACCCACAATTCCCATCCCCCCCACTGCATTTGGCATGGGGGGAGAGGGGGCAGAAGAGGCCCAGGGCCTCTGGGCTTGGCAGACCTCTCCTGGAGCCTCCTGCAAGCTCCAAATAGGGGCAGTGAGGCAGCAGAGAGGCTGCTGCCGCCGGCTCAGCGAGAACTGAATCCTTTCACAGGAGCCGAGGAGGATGCTGGAATCCGAAGGAAGAATGCAAGGCAGGGAGCAGAAAGAAGCCTAGGGCCCCAAACCAAGCAAGGGGACAGCGCTTTGGTTTCCGAACGTTTTGGAAGTCGAATGGACTTCTAGAATGGATTCTCTTCTATTTCCAAGGTACAACTGTATTTAACGGGGGTTGGAATTAAAGCACGAAACCAGAGATAGGGAGGGAGCAGCTGTATGGGCAGGAAATGCCCCCAAAGGCCAGCGCTGGAGCCACGCGGGGCAAAACCAAAGCAAAAGGAAGCGTCACAGGTGCAGAGCCCACGAGGGTGGTCCAGAAGCGCCCCCCCTTCCTCATGCCTCTCTGGGCTGTAAACCCCCAGGCAGAATCCGGGAGACCCCAGCCCTGCTCCGCTACGTGTGGGAGAGGCCATGCCATTCATCTCAAGGGACCGCAGGCCAGGCGGTCCAATTCAGCCTTTGCCAACCAGTTGCTCGCCAGACGGGTTGGACTAGATGATCCTCAGGGTCCCTTCCAACTCTAGAAAAATCTTGATTCTATGTTTTGGATCATGGGAGTGGTAGACCAGACCATCGGCAGGGCGCCAAGTTGGCAAAGGCTGAATCCGACAGACCCCTGCCTCCGGGGTGGGGCTGCCCCCCGTCCTGATCATCCCACAGATCCCCCCACAGATCCACCCGCACATCTAGTCAGTGCTAGAGGGCTCAAGCAAGCGAGCCAAGCTGCATCCCGAGGGGTAGGCAGTCCTCAGCCACTTTGAGGCAGGAAGTTCCTTCCGAAGCAAGTCTTTACCTTTCTCTTCCTGCAGAGACACCCAGAGACTCCCCAAGAGCCGGAGAGGGAGGCCTCTGCCCACGTTGGCACAAGTGCCAGGCGGGTAAAGACCCAAACTTGTGGGTTATGCAAAGGGAGTTCCCAGGGTCCTGGGTCTGGCTCTGCTTGCTGCTCCCCCCAATTCACCTCCCCTGGACAGACACCCCCTCCCCATTCAGTCAGCTGTCACCATGGTGGTGGCTGAGCCAGCCAATGGGAGCACAGTATGTAAATCAGCCAAGAAAGCCAAACAACAAAAGGGGGGGCAGGGGGCATTGGAGGGGGGCAGGGGAGGGTCTCCTGCCAGTGCCTTCCTCCAGCCCCGCTGCCCCGGAGACGCCACCGGGACAAGCCCAAACAGCCAATGCCAGGGTGCCAACAGGGAACAATTGACTGCTCTACCCCACCTTCCTCTTTGAGGAGCTCAAGGCATTCCTGGTCATCATTTAATCCCCACAACAACCCTGTGAGGGACGCCAGGCTGAGAGGCAGGGCGACTGGCGCCCAAGCTCACCCAGGGAGCTACAGGGCCGGGTGGGGATTCAAGGCCTGGACTCTGCGGCCAACGCTCTAACCACTAGACTGCAGGGTTTCTTCAAGCAGCCAGGGGGACTCACAGCCAGGCCTGGAAGCCCTCTCCCCTCTCCCTACTTCTTGGATCAACAAGACAGGTCTTTCCCGTTCCCCAGCTACGGCTGGGGGGCAGGGGGAATACAGAATGGTGGAGTTGGAAGGGACCCCTAAGGGCCATCCAGTCCAACCCCCCGAAAAGCAGGAGCCACAGTTAAAGAGTCCCTGGCAGATACCGTTCCGTTCCCCCGAGCGGCATCACCCATTTCAGTCACACCTAAGCCAAGCTTGCTCTCTGTCCCTTTCTCTCTCTGTCACACACAGGGCAGAGACGCAGTTCCCCTGGCTGCTTCTGACAGATAAGACCCAAGGGGCAGCCCCAGGAATAGCTGTGGGTCGCTTCCCCGCCCCACAGCCATGCCCTTCTCTGCCACCCATGTTGGCACACAGAGAGATGCCCATACAGCCTCCCTCCACTGCCCAGTCTCCTATAATATGGAAGGTGTCTTGTTACTTGCCAGTCGCTGCTGCATTTTATGGGCAAAGGGCTTGACAGACTTAGCCCTGTGAGCTTCCACAACAGCTCTGCAAGGTTGACTGCTGCTGCTGCTGCTGCTATTCCCACGTTGCAGGTGAGGAAGAGAAATGGAGAGAGGAGAATCTGAACTTGCTCCAAGTCCATCCCTCCAGCCCTTGATCCAGTACACCCACACACCTCAGTGAGCTCCAGGAAAGGACAGCGCCAGGCTAAGAACCGGCTGGTGTCAAGCCTGGGCAAACTTACCCCAGGAAATGGAGGCGAGGGAGTTGGTGAGGGGGGAGCAGGTGCCAGCGAGGCAGCAGGGAGGGGCCCAGGATGGCTCTGCAAGGCCTGGAGGAGGCTCACTGACACAAGGAAGCCAAAGTTTCCCTAACAGCTCAAACAACACAAAATGTGTAATGCACAACTCGGTTTGCAATTGGCATGTAAAGAAACCGAGTGCTGCTCGGGGCGTTTCTACGAAATGAAAGGAAAGTTGCGGATATTTTTCTTGGTTTTTGCTCAATCTATACTGACAAAGGGACCAGCCAGGGTGAGAGGCGAAGGCAGCCACAGGCCCCAGCCCACAGGACACTCTGCATTTTCATTTTTATCCTTTGGCAGCGGCCAAATTGGGGTGGGGGACCACAAACACCGAGAATAATACTTTGGCAAACAAAGAATAAGTTTATATTATTTTAAATTCCCACTTCGAAATTCCCACTCAGCCGCAAAACTCGCTTGGCAGCTACTGTATTGTCTCTTGGATGGATTTAGTTCACAGTAAATTTACTTCTGCTGCAAAGATAGGATGGGTGGGGACAATATAGATCGCCCTGGAATCGATTTTAAAAATAACAGAGTATTTTGCCTGGGCTTAGGAAGTTTGGAGTTCTCAACCTTATCATGCAGAAGCAGACAAAATATGTTTGTAGAGCGGGGGGGGGGGGCCTCTGGAAGGAGCAGCCTCTGGAGTGACTCCATTACACAGCAATTAACCATTTCACCAGTGATTATTCTGCTGAAAGAGCAAATCTGTTCCAGAGTTTTATTTTCTGCCCACTCCAAATCTTTGCATATTGGGCATAAGGACATAAGAGGCTTCTGGATGAGGCCCATCTAGCCCAGCATCCTGTTCTCATAGAGGCCAAGAAAATGCCTCTTCTGGGATGTGAAGACGCTGTCAGCATCTCCTGCTCAGGATTTGCAGCAACTTGCATTGAGAGCCCGTGGGCAGGAAGGGAGCAGAGGCTCTTGGGTACCAGAGAGCCCACCTTGCTTCATCCTGGGCCAGACTGAGAAGGGAAGGTGGCCGGGCCATCAGCCGCAGAAGACAAAGGGCACCCAAATCTTCAAGCTGCTTCCCAACACATGAGGGGAGCAGCCAAGAACAAACTTCTCAAAGCAGCCAACAGCCCATAACTGCATGTGCTTTTGTTGCAAACCACTTCGATTTTTTAAAAAATGAAAAAGCGGCATATAAATATTTTTATAAATAAAATAAATATATCAACTGAGCGAAGGGGAGGAGCTTGAGCACCCTGGATTCAGAAAGGAACTCTGTGCTCCATAACAAAATCCAGAAAAGCACAGCGGCTGCAGAAACCTTTGGACCCCATTGACACGCTGTGCTGATCGCTAAGAAGGCATCTGTCCCGACAAAGCAGCCGAGGCCTTTCCTGGGAAAGTGGACAGAGAAAAGCTTCTCTCCCCCTCTAGGGAGCTCATGGGCAGCCTTGGAAGATCATAGAATCATAGAGTTGGAAGAGACCACAAGGGCCATCGAGTCCAACCCCCTGCCAAGCAGGAAACACCATCAGAGCACTCCTGACATACGGTTGTCAAGCCTCTGCTTAAAGACCTCCAAAGAAGGAGACTCCACCACACTCCTTGGCAGCAAATTCCACTGTCAAACAGCTCTTACTGTCAGGAAGTTCTTCCTAATGTTTAGGTGGAATCTTCTTTCTTGTAGTTTGGATCCATTGCTCCGTGTCCGCTTCTCTGGAGCAGCAGAAAACAACCTTTCTCCCTCCTCTATGTGACATCCTTTTATATATTTGAACATGGCCATCATATCACCCCTTAACCTCCTCTTCTCCAGGCTAAACATGCCCAGCTCCCTTAGCCGTTCCTCATAAGGCATCGTTTCCAGGCCTTTGACCATTTTGGTTGCCCTCCTCTGGACACGTTCCAGTTTGTCAGTGTCAGATGCCGTTCCAGTCAGTGTCGTTCCAGTTTGCCAGTTTGTCAGATGCAGGACAGAGAACAGAAAGTTCTTCTTCTTCTTCATGTAGAGCATAGCTAAACTGTGGGACTCAGCGCAGAGTTAAAGTGTGGCCTTTGAAAAGGACCAGACAAAGGCATGGAGGAAGAGGGCTATTGGAAGACGATTTGCTCTGCTCTGCCTTCATGCCTCTGAATCCCAGTTTCTGGAAAACGCAGTAGCAGAGAGTTGCTGTTGCAACAGGGGCTTCCCATGGGTTGGTCATTGTGGGAACAGGAGGCTGGACTAGGTGAGCCCCCTTTGGCCTGGTCCAGGGCGGGGCCTGACTGACTCCAGCTGCAGAAGCTGAGGCTGCAGAAGAGGCCAGAGACCGGCTCAGCTGTGAGCCCTGCAACACCTGCTCCCTAGCCTGGAAGCAGCTTTCAAAATGTGCCAGGCGCCATGTGCATTTTGCATCTGGCTGTCGGCCACTTGTGGTGAAAACACCCGGGGGCCAGGATGGCACCTGACATCTCCCCCATCTGGAGGTGCATCCCTGGGGATCCTTGAATCTTGACTGTTCTCACCCACTAGCAACACATCCTGTGAAATTCCATCTGCTATATTTTATCTGCAGAACCAGAATAAATGTCAGGAACCCAAAAGCCACATTGAAAAACACAACTTTCGAGCCGTCTGTCCCCAAAATAGAAAACTAGGCATTCCGTTTTGGTGACTGTAACCCTGGTTTAAGAAGTCATTTGGCGCCTGGCTTATAGATCTGAGCTTCTAACGCTGCCGGGAAGTGCAGGGCCTGGACTGACTCCAACTACAAAAGCGGCTGAGCAGACTCTTAGGCTGGGGAGTTATTTGGGGTTTGTTGTTGGGGGCGGGTTGTTGTTTCTGCTGTTGCTGGGTGGTGTGTTGTTGTTTTTTTTGTATATTTATTTTAGCTCTTCTTGTGATTTATGTGGAAACTGCTCACTTGGTTGTGCATTTTTTAAAAGGTTTTTTCATTGTTCATGACTACTTTAGCAGTTCTGCATTTTTCTCATGCTGGAAGCCGCCTTTAGCAGTTCTGCATTTTTCTCATGCTGGAAGCCGCCTTGAACAATGCTTGAAATGTGGAAAGGCGGCGTGCAAATAAAATTACACCTGTTTGTAGTACACCCCCCCCCCCGCATGATCACTGCCAGAGGGGAGTGCAGTCATGAGATCCCACCGCCTGCAGGCCGAGTGAGAAGTCGGGGCGAGGGGAACGACAGCAGTGAAGCAGCTTCCTGTCTCCACTTCTCAGCTGGGCCTCCTTGCTGACTCAAGAGCTGCCTGCGTCCTCTCTCCCGGCTGACTCACCTACTGCTGGGCTGCCACCAGAAATGCCACAGCTTCTTGTGGCATCCAGCCAGCAAGGGCCCTGCCACAGCTTCCAGAACCAGCTCCAGGGGTGGAAGGGAGGCTGGCGCTGCTGAAGCAGCTGGCCCTGAGGCCTGGAGCCCCGCCAGAAGCGAGGGCAAGGCTGGGAGATAAGGACACCTTCCAGCTGGTGCAAAGGAAGCCTGCCTGCTTGCCCTACCAGCTCAGCTGCTTCAGATGCCCCCTGGCAGCCTCACCTGCCACGCAGGCCCCACGCCCTCCTCTGGGCAGCCCAGCTGGGGAGCAGGGAGGAGGAGGAGGGCAACGAGGTCCCTGCCAGCTGAGCCTGGGGGTTGAAAGGGGGCAAGAGGAGAGGCAGTGCCAGGCAAGCCAGAGGCATTCCCAGCTGAGAGCTCCGGCCCAGACCTTTGCCAGGGTTGCACGGAGGCCCGAGAGTCCAGGAAGCCACTCTAGGGCTTGGCAGAGGAAAAATCTCCCTGCCCCTGCCTCACCACAAGCTTCCTTAGCAAACACCCACCCACCCCGCTGCATCCTAAATTTATGCTGCTGTCATAGAATGCTAAACATCCAAGGGCCCAGTTATAGAGAAGCGTTTTCGCCTGGCTCCTAAAGATATGCCAGGTGCCAGGCATATCTTTATACGAAGGTGCCAGGCAAGGCTCCCTGGGCAGAGCATTCCACAAACGGGGAGCCACCACAGAAAAGACCCCTTCTCGTTTCCCTGCCCTCTGGACCTCTTGCAGGACAGCACTATAGAAAAACAACACGGAAAAGGTCCCAGCCCCAAAGAGCCTGCAAAATGGGATCAAAAAGGGGAGGGGAAAGAAAAGGAAGGAAGCAGCTCAGCTAACACAGGATGGTGCTGAGCAATCCTTAAAACCCAGAAAGCCTATGACTTCCTGAATTGCAGGGGCTTGGATTCGATGACTCTTTGGGTCCCTTGATTCTATGACCCTCACAGTCCCCTCTGAAGCCCTCCCTTGCTCCCATTCAGCCCTCCCCATTTCCTGATATTTCAGAATGTAAGTTCTTTGGGGGCGGAGACCTTCCTGCTTCTGCCACTGGGTAAAGGCCCTGCACCAACATATGCTGCCACTGCCGGCCCAGACAGACCCTGGGACCAAAAAACCCAACACCAGAACACAAGCACAGCTGCCCCCCCAACCCCACCCACCCTGGCAACAAAGGGGGCTGAGAAAGCTCAGGAACCTGGAGCAATGAGTCACACCTGGGTGGCTGCTTTGGGGAAGCTGGCACTGGCACCTGGCTTGTGAGCAAACACTTGTCTCATCCCAGCCAGGAGGGAATGGGCAGGACTGGGTCACACCTGGGCAGAGGCTGTGCCAACCCGAAACCTGCGCAGGATCTGAGCAGCAGAGCCGCCCCCTGCCAGACCCGGTTCTGCAACCTTGGCAGGAGGGGGGGCAGAGAGCAGGAGATTGGAGACAAAAGGGGTGCCTGCCCCCCCCAAATCAGGACTCTCAACGGGGGAGCACTGCCCAGAGATCTAAGGGTATAGGGCAGTATACAAATTTAATACATTATTATTATTATTATTATTAACCCAGCTTGAGTGACTGAACAGCACCCACAGCTGCGGCACAGCCTCCTTCCAGAGCCCCCTCTGCACCAACCCTTATGGGGGGGGGGGAATACTGTCCTTTTACAGCCCCCCTCAGCCTTCCCCCTAAAACGACCGAGGCGCGATTGCAGCCCTTCCCATCGGTGGTGGTGGAGAAGCAACAGCCTGCAAGTCCAGCTCAAAGCCCCCAATCTCGCGTGCGCCCCCTCCCCAAAAACCCTGCCAGATCTGTGGCAGCCCCGGGGCCTTTTCCCCCCATCTAGGGAGGCGGCTCCGCTAGCCCCCCCCCCCCCAAGACACAGAGCCATGCAAGTGGGGGGGATGCAGTGACACGGAACCATACAAAGGACAGCGCTCCCCCCCGTGCCATGTCGACGCTCGTCCGGGGAGGAGAGGAAGCCCCCCCCAAGGCAGCCCTGGGAAGCCCCCTCCCCGCCCGCCCTCCGCGGATACAAAGGCTGCGTCCCTGCTGAGGGGCGTCTTCCCAGGATCCCCCTTTGGGGGCTGGGACGGGGCGGGGGGAGAAGCCCCTGGGGGCGGGCGGCCCGCGCTCACCTGGCAGCCCCCTCCGGGCGAGCCTGCTCCTGGTCCCGGCCTGGGGCAGCAGCAGCAGCAGCCCCCCTGCAAGGGGCGACGACGACCCGGGAGCCCCCGGCCGCCGGCCTCCCGCCTGACTCACCGCCGGGCTCCATTTCCTACCAGCTGCTCCGCCGCGCCCCGCCCCCGCCGCGCCATTGGGCGACCCGCCTGCCCCTCAGCCCCGCCCTCCCCGGGACCAAAGCCCCGCCCCTCTGACACCCCCCACCCCAAACCGCCCCCCACCCCCACCCCGCGCAGCCCCGACGCGCGCAATCCCTGGCGATGCACCGCCCGCAGATGCGCAACAGCCGGGCGCACCAGCCACTCCGCGCCGCCCTGGCTCGCCCGCCCTCCGCCGGGCGCAGCTTCTGGGCGCAGGGGCGCCGCCCGACGGGGAGATCCCGGCGGAGGAAGGAGACGTGGCGGCGGCCGAGGGATCCCCGCGCGGAGGCGGCAGGGATCCCTCGGCGGCGGGGAAAGAGCGCGGCGCTGCTCCGCCGCAGGAGACGCGCTCCCTGGGGGCGCAGCGCGGAGAAGATCCACCAGGGAGAGGATCCATTGGGGGGGGGGGACGCCCCATGTTAGCCAAGATTTCCAAAGGGCCGCCCTGCCAGGTTGGCCGCTTTCCAGGACGTGGGGGTGGGAGGTGCGTTTTGGGGAAGGTTTTGTATGCGCCCTTCCGCGCCCTCCGAAGGCCGGCTCTTCTCGCGCTTCTGGGGCAACCTCAGAAACGTGGGTGGCAGTCGATGGAGTTTTACGCAGAGGAGACCCATTGAAATCAATGGATGGCTCAGTTGGTAGAGCGTGGGGCTCTTAACGTCACGGGTTGGAGCTCCACGTTGGGCAAAACATTCCTGCACTGCAGCGGGTTGGGCTAGATGACCCTTAGGGTCCCTTCGAACTCTCCAATTCTAAGATTTGATTTCAATTGGTTCTACTCTGAGTAAAGCTTCATGGGAATACCACCCCTGTGCCTTTTAACTTGGCAGGAGAGAGTGTGTCTGGGGAACCTGGATCCAAGTGGAGAGCTGCAGTGCAGGTGCAAGTTCAGTTCCTAGGGGCATCACCTGGCCTACCCAAGGGAGGCTCATCCTCCTACCTGGAGCCCCGGAGAGCTGCTGCCAGTCTGTGCAGGCAACACCCAGCTACATGAACCTCCAGGCTGACTTCAGTGCAAGAGGCGTCATTCCACAAGGGGCAACATGTGTTTTAACGCCAGATACGCCTGCCTGGCCATTGCCTGCAGAGATTGTCCTTTATAGGTTGCCTTGCTGTCTTCTTGTTACGGATACAATTTTTATTTCCAGTTCAATGTAATCATTAGCAGAGCACAGGCAGAACTACCACTCAGAAGAGAGCAGTGCTAAGCCAGCGCAGGCTCCCTTCCAAAGGAGGTTCCATGACCATTTGGCAGCCTTTGCCAAGCTGGCACCCTCCGGGTGTTCAGGACTACAACTCCCATCAGGAGCGTAGTGACTAGAGCGGTGGACTAGGATGTGGGGAACCAGGGTTCAAATCCCCACTGGGCCATGAGACTTACTTGGGCCAGGAGCCACTGGCTCTCTCTGCCTAACCTACCTCGCAAGGGTGTTGTTGGGGGTTAAATGAGGAGGGGGAGAGCAGAATGAGATGGTGGGAGATTAATGGAACAAATAAATAAAATGTGAACAGAAGGTCCCAGCTTCAACTCTCCCCTCCCCGCCCCCATGACATTTCCAGGTAGGGAAGGGACAAACCCCCTGCCGGAGCCCCTAGAGAGGGGCTGCCAGTCAGAGTGAGCAGCACTTAACTAGGTGAACCAGTATCCTGACTCAACGCAAGACAGCTTTGTGTTGTTCTGAACCTCCAGCCAGGACCCCATTTCTGTGCCTGCCTCCCTCACTAGGCAAGGTGCCAGGACCCAGCAGCAGAGGAGAAAGGCTGGAAGAGGGGCACCCGGATCAGGGCCGTTTGGAGGAGATGGCCGTGGGTCCCGGGGAGCTCAGTTCAGGTGTGCTTGCTGGGTCTGGGGAGACTGATCCCCTCCACGGAAACCTTGAACGAGGCCTGGGCAGGGAAGAGGGGGGTGGATGAAGAGCCCTTGCCCCCTCCAGGAACATCCTAGGAGGGGGGCAGGTGACTGCTCTGGGGGTCCTGCTGGGAGTGGGCGAGACCTTGCATGGAGGAGACAGGCTGCCCTGCCACAATCACCCCACTTCTGCCACTCTGGCAGCTCCTTCCACAGCCCAGCTCTCCTCCAGCAGCGCCAGCAGCAGCCCCTGCAAGGGTTGCCATGGTGACTCTCCCCTCCATCACGTGCCTCAGTGGCCTGGGCGGGCTCCGCTCCCCCTCCCTCTGCTTTGTCCCCCAGTGCAGAGGGGCTGAGACCAGGGCCAGATCCAACCAGGGACAGAGGGCTGCCTGAAAGAATTGCCAGGAGAGGCTGAGCAGTGGCCAAGGAAAGGAACTCGCCACATGCTCAGGGGCCAAGGCCTGGGGCTCAGAAGGCGTTCCAGAGCTAACTGCTTGGTGTCGCCTCCTCCCTTTTTAGGGCTCTGCTGCCATTTAGCCAACTGCACCAAATGCCCGGCTTGCGCAAGGTTTCTTGACAGCATCTTCTGACTGTTAAAAGGAACAGGCAGCAGGTGAGGAGCAGGGCCTTCTCTGCTGGAGCACCTGGAGAGGCTCTGCCACCTAGTGTGGGCAGGCCTGGGCGAGGGGCACCGAGTCATGCCCTGGACACTCTGCCTACCGCTGAGAGAGTCTCTGTGCCCCAACGGGAGGTGGACGGAACCCTCTTAATCCCTGGCCTCCTTTGGGAGGAAAGGCCAATTTATCAATCAATCAGTCAATCAATCATTTAATTAAGAAGCAAAACGAAACCTAGGAAGACTGGCTGCTGCATCAGGCCAAAGGGGGCCCATTGAGTGCAGCCCCCTGTTCGCACAGGGGCCAAGCAGATCAGCATTATTCAGAGGCATGTACTACCCCCCCATCCCGATCCTGGAGGTGGTACACAGCGCCTGCCCTCTTCTGACCCCACTGTGCCACAACGGAGGCACCAAGGCACAAGGTTACCCAACTCTAAGGATGCAACCCTTGTGTCCGGCCCCCCAGGGCTCCTCTCTGCTGGGAGGAGGAGCAGAGAGAAGCCCCAAAGGCCAAAGAGTTGCCAGCCAATGCAGGCTGGGTCCTTGGTACAAGACCACCACTGTCATGGCCTCCTTGGGACCACCTTGGAGAGACACCGCTCCTTCCCCCGGACATCATAGTAAAGGTAAAGTTCAAGGGACCCCTGACCATTAGGTCCAGTCGTGGCCAACTCTGGGGTTGCGGCGCTCATCTCACTTTACTGGCCGAGGGAGCCGGCGTGCAGCTTCTGGTTCAAGTGTCCAGCATGACTAAGCCGCTTCTGGCGAACCAGAGCAGCGCACGGAAATGCCATTTACCTTCCTGCCGGAGTGGTACCTATTTATCTACTTGCACTTGGACGTGCTTTCGAACTGCTAGGTTGGCAGGAGCAGGGACCGAGCAACGGGAGCTCACCCCGTTGTGGGAATTCGAACCGCTGACCTCCCGATTGGCAAGTCCTAGGCTCTGCAGTTTAACCCGCAGTGCTACCCACATCCCCCCTGGACACGATACTGGCTCCAAAAGGCCTGCTCCCCATCAGTGCGTAAGAACACAAGAGGAACCTGCTGGGTCAGGCCAAAGGGGGCCCATCTAGTCCAGCCTCTTGTTCTCAGGTGGGGGGGGGCAACCAGATGCCTCTTCTGGGAAACCAGCGAGCACGATCCGAACACAAGAGTAGCCCTCTCCCCTCTCCAGTCTCCTTCCTGGCCCTCAGGACCACACAACCCTCCCCCCAGCAGAGGATCCGCTCTGGGCACCCGGAGCTGAGACATAATATGGCGGATAAAGGCTGCGTAATGTTGGCAGCTCACGTTACTGCCTGCCGCCCCCCTCCGGGACAGCCCCATCGCTCACGCGCTGGGAGACCGAAGGAGACAGCAGCGGTTATTTTTAGATGGTCCCTTTTGGGCCGGGAATCCCATGCGCAGGAGCCGCAGTCCAAAGGGCATTCCCACCCACCGGGCGGCACATCCCTCGCCTGCTTGCTTGCTTGCTCCCCAGGCCTCACGCTGCCCAGCCCTGGGCACCACCTCTGCCACCCTCCCCGGGCATCTGTTGTGCAACTGGGGCACACCAAGCCAGACTGAGCATCAGGGGCCACACCCAGAGCAGGCCGGACCAATTCTGGGATGCCAGAGCAGCGCCTACCACCAGCTGGATCCAGAAACAGAGGCACCCTGAGAGCAGGACAAGCTGCACTGCCCTCCAACTGGGCCACAACCCCCCACAGGGGGAGGCGTTGTGGCTTCACCTACTCAACCCCCGAGGGCAGGAAGCAAGGGGGTGTGAAATCCCTCATGCAGGCAAGGTCAGAGGAGGAGGATTAAATTGCCCCAGCTGGAATCTGGCCCAGATCCCAAAGCTGGCTCTCCTGCAAGAGGGGCTGGGCCTTCACCAGGCACTTGCAACCCAGGCCAGAGAGCGCCCCTGGCCACTCGTGGCTCCAGCTCTTCAGGAGGGGACCAGCTCCCCTTGGGATCCAACTGGGAGATTGGGGGGGGGGCTCCCATCCAAGTTAGACACGGGCTGTCCAGCATTCACAGGAGCTGGCAGAGGCACAGCTTGGACAACAGGAGTACAGGATTCAGCCATTTCTGCAGACCCACCCCAGGCACCCAAAGCACTGGGGAAAACGTTCCAAGTATTTATTTAAATTTTGTGGTCATTGGCGAGGGTGTGGAGAAAGAGGCAAATGTGTTTAAATGTTGGGGGGTCCTTGCTGGTATGTCTGCATGATTCAGCAAAAACTACTCGTCCTGCTGCTCCCCCAGCTAAGAATGTAATATCAGCCTCCTGGATGAAGCCAGTGGCCCAGTTAGTTCAGCCGCTTTTATTTTTACAGTGGCCAATCAGGTGCTCTTCCGAGACGCCCACGAGCAGGACCCAAGCACAAGGGCAGCCTGCGCTCCTGCGCTCTGCAGCCTAGATGCCCACGCAACCGCTCTGATCCGCAGAACTGGCACTGTTCTATGTGCCACACGACACCCATTTTGCATCTGTAAGGAATCCACCTTTTAGCGCAGCAGCACCCGTCCTTGGAACTCCCTGCCTCTTGGCATCATTCAAGCGCCTTCACCAAACTCTTTCTGGCACCTGCTAAAGACTTTTTTGTTTAAGCAAGCCTGCCCAAATATCTACGGTCTGCTTGTAGTTTATCTTTCCTTTTCACTGCTCTTTGGATGTTTTAAATGGCCGCTTTTAATTGATCATTTTTATTGTTTAATTCTTTTTGCAAATTGCTTTGAGGAGTTATTTTTCCTTACAGTTAAGCAGCATATAAATTTTATGAAATAAATAAAATAAATCAATTTGTGTTCAGAAGCATTACAGCCTCCCAAGTCAACTACTCTCATTGCATTTCCCTACCCCCCAAGTGGTGGGGGCAAATCCCCAAAATCTGTCCAAGTCAACTAAGTAAAATTATTTTGGAATATATTGACTCCTACAACATGGTAAGGAGAGTAAAACACACTTATAAATCCACCCTACACATCACAAGCAAACATAAGCTGATGGCAACATGCAGGGTGATAAGACCTTGCACCAAGCATGAGCATCCAAGACAGGACAGAGGCCGTCTTGGTGGCTGCTTGACATATATGAACACCCCCCCACACACACAAACACAAACACCCAGCCACAAGAGCATCTCCCCAGCCTCAGCCCATTTCAGAAGCCCCAGGCGAATATGGAGAGAGGGTTTTGGGACATGGAAATGACCTCCTACCAAATCCGACCATTGCTCCATTGAGCTCAGGATTGTCTACACTGAGTAGCAACTGCGACTCTTCAAGGTTTCAGGCAGGAGACATTCCCAGCCCTGCCTGGCAATATCAGAGCAAAGCAATCCAAAGCAAACGTGTCGGTTTCATTTTATTTCGCTATTATAAATTCGCACAATGCTGCCCCATGGAGCTGTCGCAACGCAACCTGCTTCTAAGTCCTTCAGGGAGGGTCCTCCCCCTGCCCCACTGCCAACGGTGAATCAGAGGCACACATGCGCTGCAGTGTGCGCAGAGGAGATTCCTGCACTGCAGGGGGTTGGACTGGATGACCCTTGGGGTCCCTTCCAACTCGAGCGCCCCATGAGCCTAGGCACAGGTCAGAGGATTGGCTGCAGCAACAAAGGGAGAGTGTGGCTAAATGAGCAAGGCAGGAGACGCGAGAGGGGTCACCTCCAGCATGTCTCCACACCTCACTCTGGATGCCACGGAGTTATTCTGGATTAACAAGGGGCACAAGCCCAGGCAGGTCAGAGAAGAACTGACAGGAAGCAGCTGCCACCAACATGAGACTTCAGGGAGGGACCAAGTAGCCCCAGATTTAGGACGGTGTGGGCGGTTCCCCTGCACAGGATGCCAAGCCGAGGGCCTGCTAATTTGAGAAGATCCATAACTGAGAAGATCCATTCGGGGGCGCCAAATGCCGGCCTCACTCACCAAAGTCCAGTCCTGGGTCAAATGATGGGTCCTGCACAAAGCAGGCCAGGGAAAGCATGGAAAGCTCAAGGTGCAATGTGGCACGAGAAGGAAGCCCCAATTTGGGCACAGGGCATTCTTCCAGTGCCAAGAAGGGTTCAAAATCCCAAAGCTCAGGTGTCTCTCTCTGCAAGTGGCAGCCTCCGAAAGCATTCCACTCCTCCCCACAATACGTGATCCTGCTCCCCACTCTCTGTGCACACTGTCCTTGGTGTTCTCCTCTCGCTGGGCACCAACCGCCATGCGCTCTAAACAGCCTGGTCAGGATAACTCCCTCTTCTGGGCTGTCTTTTCCCACCCACACTGCAACCTTTCCCCTAGCTGCTCCTTTTGTCTGTCTTAATAAGGTAGCTCTGTCCTGGCACGGGCAGCTGACTTGCCCTCCTTTTGCCCAGCACAGCACCTGCCTGGCAGACTGGTAGCACAAATGCCAGGAAGTCGTCACAGCACTGAAGCCAGACAGCGATGAGGAAGCCAGAGGTTGCCAGGCAAGGGCCGGGGAACAGGGCAGAAGTTGTGGTTATGAAAGGAAACCCAAAGCGCAGACACCCCACCCTCCTCACCACAGACATTCTGGTAACTGGAGGTGGGGAGTAACCTGTCCAGAATTCAGCCAGATTGGGAAAGGGGAAAGGAGGAAGTCTACAAACAAGGAGACGTCTTCAATGGTATTTTCAAATGTTCTTCTCAACAAACCCCAAAGCTCTTGGTAGCAACAGCAGCAAAGCTGGCTCTATTTTTCTTTCCAATTTATTGTATTTTACTAGTTCTAATGCTTGTCTGTGTCTCTTTATAAAGCTATGAGCTGCTTTAGGCACCTTTTTTTGGGGGGGGGAGTGGCATATTCATCCAAACAAAATCCTGAAGATGCCTATGAACACTTACTCAGAAGTACCGGTAAGTCCACTAAGTTCAGCTGGACTTACTTGCAAGTCGGTACGCACGGGATTGCAGCACAGAGTGGGAAAGAAAGACCCCAAATTCAGGCACGTTGAGACAGGGTGAAGAGATACGGGTGCAAAATCCGTACAGCTAGGCCGTTGCTTTAATTCAACTTTTAAAAAGTGAACGCACAACAGAGCAACCAAGCTTCCAGTTCTCCCTGGAAGCATCTGAGCAGCGCCTGTGCAGCAATATTTCTGGGGGATCCCAACTGTGCTCAGAAACAAGACCCAAACATTTTTCCTTAATGAGAAAGCAAGAAACACAGCCATGAAATGGAAGGTTTGGGGTTGCCTAGAAAAAGGAGGTGGTGTCTGAGCCCAGGGAACAATGTGGCTGGGACTCTTGCTGCAACATGAGACTCTTAATCTCAGAGACATGGGTTCAAGTCCCACTTTTGGGCAAAAGGCACTGCATTGCAGGGGGTTGGAATGGATGACCCTCTACAGTTCTACGACACCACATCAACAAGAAAACCACGTATACCACCCTGAGATCCTTGAGGAAAGGTGAGATAGAAACACAGTAAAATGAACAAGTAAAAACCCTCAGCCCCACCCGGAAGAAGAATGTGCAAAGAAGCCCTGAAAGGCTCCTGCGCCTCTTGAGCAGAGCTGAGTGAAAGGGATCCTTCGCGAGAAAGAGCATCGCTGCCCCATGAGCAGAGGCAGAAAAGAGCTCAGCAGCAGTCAAGTCAGATCCGGTTCTTACCTGCAGGCCTCCCGTCTCTGGCAACCAGGCAGGCAGCAAACCTTTCAGGAGGAGGAACAAAGCAAAGAAGGGGGGGGGGGGGGAGAGAGAGAAAAGAATAAAACACCAAATTCACCCGCAGGGCTTTGATGCAAAGCAGCCCCTCGGCTTTTGGGGGGGGCACAGGCTCAAGACCCCCCCCCAAAAATCCCGCCTTCCCTTTCTTCTCTAGGGGCTGACACCCCAACCCAGTTCCACTTTGGGGGGGTCCCTTGCAGGCTCCCCCCCACCTTCCCATTTATTTATTTTTGGTGGGGGGGAGGAAAAAAAAGGGTCGCGACACAAGGCAGTCTTGGGGGGGGAGTGCTATGGACCCCCCCAAAAAACCACGCCCTTAAAGCCTCGGGAAACTCTCCTGCGCAGCCCCCAAGGGAATCCCCCCCCCCGCATGGGATGCCTCTGATCCCCCCCCGCCCCATAAATCCGGCTCCTCCCCCTCCCTGCTTGCTCCGGGGCAACTGACCCCGCCCCGCCCGGGATCTGCCCGGCCCACCTGTCTTCCTCCGGGTCCGCAGTCGCCCCCGCTCGCCTCCCCGCCAGCCCCGCAGGAGCAGCAGCTTCCGGGCCCCGCCGCCGGCCCCGCCCCCGCCCGCCCTCATTGGAGACCTCGGCGCCCGGCGGCCAATGGCGGGGCGCGGCTCCGGCGGCGGCCCCCCCCCCGCCACGTGCAGGTCTGTGATGACAGCGCGGTGGGCGGGGCCGCGGAGGGAGGAGGGCGCGCCTGATTGGGCGGCGGGACCGGGAGGGGCGGGAGCCGGGCGGCCGGCCGAGAGGGACCCTCCGAGGCCATCCAGTCCAGCCCGCCGCCCGGAGAGCGGCATCCTGGGCCCGCCCCGGAGCTGGACGTGGGAGGGGGGCTGCTCTGGAGCGAAAAAGCTCCGTGAATCGCCCAAATCCGGGGGGATACTCGCAGTGCCGGATTGACGTAGACGCTCACCAAGCTCTAGCTTAGGGCCCCACTCTCTCGGAGGCCCCCCCAAAATTAAAGGAAAAAACCCCTGCATGTACATTTCCAAAATATTAGATAAAAAATAAAATAAAATAAAACCTACATACAGCAACAGTGTTTTGTGTTGTGCAGGCTCCTATGATGGTAAGTAATGGCCCCCGCCTGCTAGCCTGCTCCCTAAAATATCACATTTACTTTGATAAAATACATATTTTGTTATGTGCAAATGCCTTTAGATACCTATTAGGTCCATAAATTAGCATATAAAAAGGGGTAAAGGGACCCCTGACCACTAGGTCCAGTCGTGGCCGACTCTGGGGTTGCGGCGCTCATCTCGCTTTATTGGCCGAGGGAGCCGGCGTACAGCTTCCGGGTCATGTGGCCAGTATGACTAAGCCGCTTCTGGCGAACCAGAGCAGCGCACGGAAACGCTGTTTACCTTCCCGCCAGAGCAGTACCTATTTATCTACTTGCACTTGGATGTGCTTTCAAACTGCTAGGTTGTTCGGAGCAGGGACCGAGCTCACCCCGTCGCGGGGATTCGAACCACCAACCTTCTGATCAGCAAGTCCTAGGCTCTGTGGTTTAATCCACAGCGCCACCCGTGTCCCAAATTAGCATATACTGTAGTATATATTCAACACAAAAAACCAGCGACAATTTGTTGTTGAGAAAGGACAGCTGGACGTATAAAGACCCCATTACCTTCAGGAGCTGAGGGCCTCATCCAACCTCAGTCCAGCCCTGGGTGACTGACATTCTCCGGAGCTCTGAAAGGCCAGACTGGAAGGGCTTCCCTTTGCAGAAACCAGGCTGTATCCTTATATAGAAAGGTTTTCCAGCACTTTCCCCGGAATAGATGCTCAGCTCCTAACCTGTATTTTCCAATATTCATTTTTTAAAATTGGTATCACACTGGCCAATGTTCTCAGGGGCAGAAGTTGCTATTAAGGGAAAGTTACCTATTTGTTCTTTGCTTCGTTCAGAATGGACTTCTTGATTCAGAGATACCCAGGGAGGCTGGAAGAGTCTCAGGAGCACCAAGCTCAGCTGGGGAACCTCCAAAACACTTTCATCCATTATATTTGGGCCTGAAAAATAATTCACCACGGGAGACTTCCGGGTCAGCGCCATCGGTGAATGGCGGAGTTCCTCCGTCCGGAGGAACGGGCTCCGTGGAAACTGGGTCTTCCCGCCGCGGCGAAGGTGGGGACCCGCTAGAAATCCCAGGCGGAGGAAGCCTGGGAACGTGGGGTTCGGCAGGGCACCAGGAGCGCCCCCCTACTCGCAGGGAATCCCATTTAGGGGCTCCGGAGCGAAGTGGGGTGAGAAGTGCAGTGCTGCGAACTGTCCGCTACTTTCACGGAGTGAAGCCGCACAGCCATTGCCGGAGAGTGCTGACTTTTTCCTGTGGACAATTGGATTTAAAACAAGTACCCGTGAGTAGAAACGGAAAATTGGATCAAGAAATTTCTTAATTTGGTAACGAAGCGGGAAGGTTCAAAACAGGAAGTCTGCCTTCCGCTTTTTGTATATAGACTAAAGCAAAAACTTTGTAAGCTAAAGCCTGGAAAGCTGTCAAAAAAGTCTAAATTTTCTTCATTTAGAATTACTGAACCCCCTTGGAAGCAGGAGAAAAGGGGGGGAACTTTGTTCAACCCTAGCAGGAGAGGGAGTGAAGAAGGATAAGTTTCCACCGTCTCTAACCTGGGAACGGGGTGTCAGAGACAGAAATTGTTGGAGAGGTTCATTGACTGTGAATGGGATATTTTGACAGATAGCTAAAGAAGAGAAACAAGCTGATTCCAATGTTGCCTTTTGCATCCTAAAGAAACAAAATATCTGAAAAATATCTGAAAAACGAAAGTAATTTTCCTTTGTTGGACTTGCCTAAAAAAAATGGATACAAATAGAAATTGCCTCCTCTAGAGGGAGCTTGTCAAATTGTTGCTGCAGTACATTTGAGGGCTCAACAGATGTGAGATTAAGACCGTGGGAACAGGCTTTTCTGACCTTGACTAAAGATGAGTTGGAAAGAAGACTGGGTGCTTGCCTTATGCAAGACAAGTGCCCTGCTGGAACAGATGCATGAGAAGATGGACTTGATGAATGAGAAAATGGATTTGACTGTTGCAGTTAATAACTGTGGGCAAACAGGGAATATTGATACAGAAATTATCCAGGGACCAACTCATGAATCTGTACTGACTGGGCAAGTGCAGAAGATAATGGAGGAGGATGCGGTTGCACCCCAAATAATACAAATGGAGAGTCCCGAGGCCCTACAGGAGTATGAGCCGCTGTCATTGAAGATTGAAGTTGGAGTGGGCCAGGGGGAGTCTGGAGTTGAGGAGGTTCCCAACGTTGGAGAGACCTTGGAATATGCTTTTAAATACTTTTTGGACTATATTGAGGATTGTGGGGAGTGGGACTGTGGGGAATGGGCGGGTTTGATGAAGGGAGATGGAGACAATTCTGGCTTGGAACCCCCCAGAGGCCTACCCCTCAATGAGAAAGGAAAGAAACTAAGAAAGAGACCAACAAAAGACAAGGAAAAGGGCAAGTATAAACAACAAGAAGAAGAATTGCAGAAGAGACATGGAAGAGACTTAAGGGCCTCGGACATAAGGCTTCCAGGTTGATGGACTAGATGGAATGGACAGTAAGGACTGACACGATCCGAGACCAGGAAGAAGGGACGTTGGATGAAGATTGGAAGAAAATTTATAAAGAAAATTTTCTAATTGGGGAATTGGCTAAAAATTAATGAATATTAGGGAAAATGTTGGAATGAAACTATATGACTTTAGCAGAAATGATATCAGGAGTAATGTATATTTGATAACTAAGATTCAAGCTTTAAGGTGCTTTAGGGTAAGATAAGGTTAAATTAATTAAGGTAATGTGAATAATAGAATATGGGGAAAGATGGAAAGGATTTGTTGAGTTAATTATTAGATTAAATTAGGTTAGGATGAATTTTTTAACAAAAATTGAGAAAGATGGAAAGAATTTGCTGAAATAACTAATTAAACTAGAATACAAAAAGGGAGGTGTGAGGAAGTCAATGAAACAAGCAAATGGAAGTTTTAGATATGTAAGTTGGGATTTGTGTTGTTTTCTTTTTTCTTTTTCTTTTTTGTTGTATTGTTGTATTGGTTTTTGTGTTTTTTCCTTTCTTTTTGTCTATTATAGTGTTGTTTTTTAAATTTTTTTAATGTTTTTCTTCTTATAATTCTGAAAACTACTAATAAATATTTTTTTTTTTAAAAAAAGAAAAATAATTCGCCACGGAACTCTGATGCAGCTTCCCCCAACCTGGTGTTGTGCACTACAACTCCCATCTGCCTAGGTGTTATTTACCTGCGCTGGCTGGGGTTGATGGGCATTGTAGTCCCAAACAGCCGGAGGGCACCAGGTTGGGGAAGGCTGCCCGCTTGCCTTTGCTCTGCACGTTTCACTTGGTGAGAGCAAAACCGCAGCAGATGTTTGGGTGTTTTTAAATCCCTTTAGAAAACCCAGGTGTCATCTCGAGAGAAGAGGTGAGTCAGGCGGCTGAGGAGAGGTTGCAGCTGCGCAGCCAAAAGAAAGGGCAGCAAAAGGAGGGCAAGAGGGAGAGAGAGAGCCAGGGGCAAAAGTAAAAATAAGAAATGAGTCACCTCTTCCTGTCCTGAGCTGCCCTGGCCTTGTTGCTTTTCTCTTCTGTGAGTGAGCATGTGCAGTTCTTGCTAAGCTCTCCACTGCCTTGAAGCACGGAGACATCCACGAAGCTGAATGCTAGAAGATTCAGGATGGAGAAGGTTAATGGAGAAATCTGAGGGCTCCCTTGGACAAAAAACAAGGACCCCAGCCAGGAATACCAGAGCAAAACAGCAGCCAGTAGGCTTGGTCTTGATTGAAGACCGTCGCGACAGGACTCCCACCTGCCACAAGGTGGAACAAGATGGAAGCCCCGAACAAAAGAGAACCCAAACTTTTATTAGCTGCTAATCCCCATGTTACACCCCCCCAAACGACATCACAGTTACATCATGAAAGGGGAGGTCTGGTGGCAGTAATCTGAGCATCCTGGACCCTGCCCCATGGTTCCCCTTGCCCTCCACCAAACACCCATCAAGTGAAGCAAAAGAGATATTTACATTTCCCTGTTTCCCAGCCAAGTTAATCCCACCCTTTTGCCTTCATCTGGGTTTGTTATTTCTGGAATGGCTACCTGTCTGGCACTCAGGTATCAGGATGCCAGGAATCATCACTCAGGCAGAGGGGCTGCTGAGTAGCTGAGCTCACATGTCTATAGGAATTTCTGAAGTTTTCCCAGTGAGCCAGTACAGAGATACATTGATCAGTGAATTCTTACATTTGGTATTGTGCAGCAGAGGCCCTTTTAATAGATAGGAAGAAACTGAGATGGGGTGTTTTGTGGGGACAAATCACAAAAGTCACAAAAGCGATTGTGCTGGTTTTGGTAGTGGGCTGCATGTGCATGATATCTGCTGGAGGGACAACCCCCCCAACCTATACATAAATTCCTGCAACAAGAAAAGAAAGCCCTTCTTTATGAAGCGCAGAGTTAACCTGTGGAACTCCTTGCCACAGGAGGCAGAGGTGACCAGCAACCCAGAGGGCTTTAAGAGAAGATTGGGCAAATTCATGGCAGAGGAGGGGGCTTGAGGGCCGCTAGCCATGCCTGCTCCACTCTGCCTCTGCAGCAATGCCTCTCAATTCCAGTTGCTGGAAACCTCAGGAGGGCTCTGGTGCTCAGATCCTTCTTCCTGGTTTCTCACAGGCTGCTATGAAGGCGGGATGCCATTGGCCTGATCCTGCAGGCTGTTTTTATGTTCAGAGTGGGTGGTTGCTTGAGAGCGGGGGAAGACGGCATGTCAGGACACAAAGTTGTTAATATTTTTGTCGATCATTGTTTTTACCTTCTCCGTAAACGGCTTTGAGTTGTTTGGCGTGTTTTGTTTTTACAGTCAAGCAGTGTAAAAGTTTTAAGAAATCGAGAAGAACTTTCTGACATGAAAATCAGTTTGACTTGCTCAGATGAGGGTGATGGACTCTCCGTCGCTGGTTGGAGGGGCACCTGTCAGAGGTTCACCTGTCACCTGTTAGCTGCGATTCCTGCCTTGCACAGGGTTGGACTAGATGACCCTTGGGGTTCCCTTTCATCTCTACCATTCTATGGTTGTAAATCAATGACAGCAAGTGACCCCAGACACCTGGGACCCCAGACACCTGGGTCCTGCATTAAAGCAAGATGAGGGGAGGGAAGCCGCAGAGCAGAAACTGCCGCATGGAAATCGTACTGTTTCACCAACACACGATGGAACTGGAAGATGCAAAAGCCACCAAAGGAGAGGAAGGTCCTTCTGCCAGGCCCTTCTTGCTGCACCTGTGGCTGCAGGAGCTGCCCTGTCCCATTCAGGGTCCTCAGGGGGGCAGGGAGCGCTGCGCCCCTCACGGGCAGCAAGGGCAGAGGCAGTGGTGCTCCTTTGGGAGAGGTTTTCGACTTCCCAACCAGCCAGGCTGAAGCAGGGACCGGCCGGGCAGCAACCATCTTACAAATCAGCCCAGGCTGCTGCGGGCAGAAAGGCAGACAAGACCGAGAGCACAGCTGGAGTCCAGGACACCCCCAAATACAGTGGTACCTCCGTTTTCGAACGTCATCCATTCCGGAAGACCGTTTGAGTTCTGAAACGTTCGAAAACCGAAAACTCAGTATGGAAGCCTTGATACAGAAAATTCAATATGGAAGCCGCATGGCATGTTTTTGACTTCCAAGGTGTGTTCGAAAACCAAAGCATTTACTTCCGGTTTTTCAGCGTTCGAAAACTGAAATGTTCGTCAACAGAGACATTTGAAAATCGAGGTACCACTTTAGTTCTTTGGCAGACAAGAAGGCATTTTCCTCATGAAGGAAAAAGCTGTTGATATAAAACTCAGGAACACTTTGTCCTAAGGGTGGTTAGCTTCATTTGGGAGAGGGAGGGAGAATCTGCACATGCTCAGAGGCACTGAGCCCAAGGTACCGGAAAAACTCCTGCCCGGAAACCAAAGTCCCCACTGTGGAAGGATGTGTGGATCCAGAATTGGCCTTCACAGTCACTTACGGACTCATTGTTAAAACTGTGTTTATGGAAGACAATCTTACTCAGCTACGAGGGATCGCCAGAGAAGAAGAAGAAGAACCGGAAAAAGAGGCGTTAGGTAGGCAGTGTTTGAGACGAGAAAGGTGTGGCTCTGGCCCCAGAAAACTGGTGGTTCTTTGTATTGTCCCTGACCAGCTCAGTCTGAGGCTGACAGCGAAGGAAGTGCCACTTAAATTTGGAATCCCTTCTTGGAAGCGTGCCTGACAATAAGGAAGGTCGTCACTCACCAGACTGGGGACAGCAATTGTTCCTGCTGACTGCACATAATACAGGATCTCTGCAACGTAGCAGCTTATGGAAGGAGGCTTGGCAAGGAAGGCACTGACTGCAGTTCATTTGAAAGGCTTGTATAGAATTCCATGTTTTTAAACCAGAATTCAAAGGAAGGAAGGGCACTGCTGCTCTCTAGTGACCGACAGGCAGAATTGTCTCAAAAAAGGCTTCCAAAGCCTGAGAAAGCAAAGCAAGAGAACTCTTCAGACTCACCAGGGGCACTCTGTCGATCTATCTGCCTATCCTTCTGCGCCTCCATTGTTGAAATGGTTTAAGCTTCCATAAAATTGTGCTCAAGTTACTGTGAAGAATTGTATTTTTCCATTGCACAGGTGAGTTTTATGACTGAGTCACAGGTTTGAGGACAGCCTTTCCGAGTGCTCACTAATCTTAACGAAGCAGCCCCCACCGCTCAGTCAGGCGTTGCTTTTGCACACAAAGGGCTCCCTGGGCATGGACCAAAATGCCGCAAGTTGGAAAAGATGGAGGCAGAGTTCTTTCGATTTTTAGCTGAAAAAGCTGGTGGGTTCTTGAGTCTTACACTGGAATCTCTCTCTCTTGGTCATCACTCGTAGCAGAGTAAGATTGTCTTCCAGAAACACGGTTTGAACAATGAGTCCGTAAGTGACCATGGAGCCAATTCTGGATCCACACGTCCTTCCACAGCGGGGACATTGGCTTCTGGGCCGGAGTTGATCACAGTGTGGATTTGCCAAGCATGCCTTCCTCTTAGCACATTTCTCCCTTGCGTCCTGAATTTGTGCTTCTTCAAAATCCATGATGCCTTTAGTAGAGGCTGTTCTCCAATTGGAGCACTTGGAGGCCAGTGTTTCCCAATTATCGATTTTTATAATGCATTTTTTAAAAGATTTGCTTTGAGAGTGTCTTTAAAACTCTTTTGTTGACCACCAGTATTTTGCTTTCTGTACTTAAGTTGGGAATAGAGTAGTTGCTTTGGAAGATGATAATCAGGCATCTGAACAACGTGAGATCAATATATGCAAGAACAGAAATGTATAACTGAGACGATGTATCGCTTATTGTTTTTGAAACATTTAAACCAACTTTCTGCCGGTAAAGCTTTAAAACATACTTTTTGTGTGTGCTGAGAATTTATTTTGTCACAAAAAGTCAGAGCAGAGAGAGGACCTCCTCCGCTGGCTACATTAATCATCTACATCCCTGCCCAAATGCCAAGAGCTAAATCAGTGGGGAGAGGAGACGACAGCAAGCGAAGCTGCCCCACCGAACTGTTTCCTTGGCGGATTGATTTGTGGGACTTAGGAGAGAGAGACCCTCGTGTTGCCTCTTTGCTTTGCTTTCCCATGTCCAGAGAGAGAGAGAGAGAGAGAGAGAGAATGTGCAGCAGCCGGAATTGTGAGGAAGGGGAGTCCACAGTAAGACAGAAGGGGTGAATGTTCTGGGGGTTCACCGTATTGGGTGCCTGAGGGTGACCAGGGATTGGTCTTGGCTCAGGGCAGGGTGCCCCTCTATGACATGCCCGGTGCCTTTATGAGGTGGCCTGGAACGCTGCCATGGGCCTCAGGTGGCCCAGAAAGGCAGCAGGGGAGGCTTAGTTGTTGTGGGCCCACAGGCCTGGGCAGCCGAGATGGAGGTGTCCCACGATGACTCCTTCAGCTGCTACTTCTCCTGCTGCTTGGTCCCCTGGTTCCTCCTTGGCGGCAGCGTCATCCTGTCCCTCCTCGTCTGCTTCTCCCGGAAGATTCTGCAGGGGAGGCTTCTTCCGGAGAGGAGAGCCTGTCCGCTGTCTGCAGGTGCCTGGCCCAAGTCGCCACGGGTGGGTATCTGCGTCTGAGGCGAAATGCAGCCAGGACTTTCATGCAACACAGGCGCACAACACTATTGCCACATCTGCAAGAACTGACCTGGTTTAGGAACTCTGGTTCTGCACCTGAGCATGTGCAGAAAGGGAGGAAGGAGAGTCAAGGCTTTGGTGGCTCCTTAATGAGTCTGGTAGCAAGTGCAAAAGCTCCTTAAAGTGCCCTTTGCTCAGTCTGGGTGAAGGATGCTTTGGGAGAAGATGGGGAGCAGCTGCTTCCACGTTTAAGCTCGCCGGAGAATCCCTCCTTTTCCTCAACCAGGTGCCCTCCAGCTGTTTTGGACTCCAATTCCCATCAGCCTCAGCATCATATGGCCACACTGGCTGGATCAGGCCAAAGGCAGGATTTGGACACAGCAACTGGGATTCAAGAGTTTTTATTGTCTCCAACTGTGGAGGCAGAGCAGAGCCATTATGTTTCTAATGTATATACAAACTCATTGTGAACAGGTTAAAACATTAGCAGGATTCTATATACACTTGTAGGGACGCGGATGGCGCTGTGGGTTAAACCACTGAGCCTAGGACTTGCCGATCAGAAGGTCGGCAGTTTGAATCCCTGCGATGGGGTGAGCTCCCGTTGTTCAGTCCCTGCTCCTGCCAACCTATCAGTTCAGAAGCACGTCAAAGTGCAAGTAGATAAATAGGTACCACTCCGGCGGGAAGGTAAACGGCGTTTCCGTGCACTGCTCTGGTTCGCCAGAAGCGGCTTAGTCCTGCTGGCCACATGACCCGGAAGCTGTACGCCGGCTCCCTCGGCCAGTAAAGCGAGATGAGTGCCGCAACCCCAGAGTCAGCCAGGACTGGACCTAATGGTCAGGGGTCCCTTTACCTTTACCTTATATACACTTGTAATGTTATAGGATGTAGAGATAACTTAGGAAGACGAAAGATTGGAGAAGTATTGATATGCAGTTGAAAACAGAATTAAGAGGACCCACGGATGGGATGGGGGGGGGGAGTTAGGAAATTCAGAGTAATCTCGATATGTGGAATATGTATGATCTTTTGATGTAAGTTTATCCTTTCTCCTACTTTTCTTTTTCTATATTTTCTTTATGTTTGAAATTAAATTTAAAAATTAACAAAGGCTCTTTTCCTTCCTTTGAGTAACTCTTCTCCCTCGTCTCTTCCTGACAGGCTTATCCCACGAGCAGAGACCGGCCCCAGGCAACTGTAAAAAAGGCGAAAGGTAATGCAGGGCGGGTGGTCCTGGGGGCACCCCGAGATCCCAGCTCCCCCAAATTGGTATCAGCACCACCAGGTGGTCTTGTTAGGAACCCGTTTTGGAAGCAGGGCTGTGAAATCCAAACTCCCCTTAGCTCAGCCAAGCTCTTTTCCTGCTCCTCTTCCTACAACTGCTGTGGCTTTCCTGTAACCTTCCCAACCAGCAGTCGGGCCAGATCCTGACACTAATGGTGCCCCCAAGGCCCAACTCCTGCGTGCCCCAAAATTCTCCTCCCCCAACGTCCTTTCTCCTCTCTGTTCCCTGGAGTGGGTGCTTGTGAGGGTTTGGAGGAGGAGGAAAAGAGGCTGTCAGCAACAGCAGGTGCCTCTCAGCCAGGTGGGTCTCCATCCCACACATTCCATAGCATGCCCTGGAAGGGAGATGTACCAAGAAAAAAGCACACCAAGAACTCTGGCCAACATAAGTTTCAGTTGTGGGAGTGGTCCCTACTCGCAAATCAATAGTCACTTGTAACAAAAACTAATGCATTCATAAGTATGTATTCTGCCAAGGATTACAAACTCAAATGGACTAACATGAATTTACTGGTTTCTGATCCATAATTGACTTCTGAGTTCTGCTCAATGATTGAAACTAAGACCTTCACATCTCTACTCATAAACTCTTATCTCTAATTCTATAACTAATTACAGTGGTGCCTCGCAAGACGAAATTAATTCGTTCCGCAAGTTTTTTCTTCTTGCGAGTTTTTCGTCTTGCGATGCACGGTTTCCCATAGGAATGCATTGAAAATCAATTAATGCGTTCCTAGGGAAACCGACTTCAGACCAGGTCCGGGGACAGTCTGTCCCCTGACCTCTTCTGAAGGCTGGGGGGGACAAGGGCTTTTCTTCCCACCCCCAGCATTTTAAAAACCCGGGACAGCGGAGAGCTTCTCCGCTGTCCGGGGCGATCTTAAAATGCTGGCGGGCGGCATTTAAAATTGTCCCGGGACAGCGGAGGACTTCTCCGCTGTCCGGGGCAATTCAAAGCCCCTGGGAAGGCAGGCAGGGGGACAAAGACTTTGCCCCCGCCAGCCTTCAGAAGAGGTCCTGGACCTCTTCTGAAGGCTGGCGGGGGCGAAAGTCTTTGTCCCCCCACCTGCCTTCAAAAGCTGTCCAGCCAAGGCTCGCGGACCTCTCCGCAAGCAGCGGCAGCACTGCCGCTGCTTGCGGAGAGTTGCCGGCATGCCGAGCCTGCGCGCGCTGAGATCAGCGCGCCCAGGCTCCGCGGACCTCTCCGCGAGCAGCGGCAGCGCTGCCGCTGCTCGCGGAGAGCTGCCGGCATGCCGAGCCTGCGCGCGCTGAGATCAGCGCGCCCAGGCTTCGCGGACCTCTCCGCGAGCAGCGGCAGCGCTGCCGCTGCTCGCGGAGAGTTGCCGGCATGCCGAAGCCTGCGCGCGCTGAGATCAGCGCGCCCAGGCTCCGCGGACCTCTCCGCGAGCAGCGGCAGCGCTGCACGCTGCTCGCGGAGAGTTGCCGGCATGCCGAAGCCTGCGCGCGCTGAGATCAGCGCGCCCAGGCCTCGCGGACCTCTCCGCGAGCAGCGGCAGCGCTGCCGCTGCTCGCGGAGAGTTGCCGGCATGCCGAAGCCTGCGCGCGCTGAGATCAGCGCGCCCAGGCTCGCGGACCTCTCCGCGAGCAGCGGCAGCGCTGACCGCTGCTCGCGGAGAGTTGCCGGCATGCCGAAGCCTGCGCGCGCTGAGATCAGCGCGCCCAGGCTTCGCGGACCTCTCCGCGAGCAGCGGCAGCGCTGCCGCTGCTCGCGGAGAGCCGCCGGCATGCCGGAAGCCTGCGCGCGCTGAGATCAGCGCGCCCAGGCTTCGCGGACCTCTCCGCGAGCAGCGGTCAGCGCTGCCGCTGCTCGCGGAGAGCTGCCGGCATGCCGGAGCCTGCGCGCGCTGAGATCAGCGCGCCCAGGCTTCGCGGACTGAGATTTCCCTATGGGCTTCGTCTTGCGAAGCAAGCCCATAGGGAAATTCGTTTTGCGAAGCGCCTCCAAAACGGAAAACCCTTTCGTCTAGCGGGTTTTTCGTCTTGCGAGGCGTTCGTCTTGCGGGGCACCACTGTATTGTGTTATACATATCCTTATGAGTTTGTAATCTCTATTTGAGTTTGTAATCCTTGTCAGAATACAGACTTATGAATGGATTAGTTTTTGTTACAACTGACTATTGATTTGCGAGCAGGGACCACTCCCACTACTGAAACTTATATTGACCCGAGTTCTTGGTGTGCTTTTTTCCTGGAAGGGAGATGGGCAACTTGCCGGTCAGAGTTCTGCCTCCTACTTTCATCAGAGAAGGCAGTGCGATGGATTTCTTCAATAAACACACAGTTGTGATGTTTGGGGTGACTATTTGGTCCGAGCAGCAGTGGCCGCTGGGAACCCACAAGAGTCTCCCGGCCTCTAAATCACACAGGCTTATCCAGAGGCATTCCCTCGCCTTAATTTTACACTTGCTGAAAAATCAAGTCACATTCTCAGAAGGAAAAGCGTGCTGGCACTGTCAGAGCTGGATGTCTGATTCAGTGAGAGAACAGCGTGTCTGCTCCCTCTCAGGATAGCTCAAGGCTGAGCTTTTCCTGCACAAAGATCCTTGACACGTTCTTAATACCATCTCCCAACAATATCCTTTCACGCTCCCTTTGACAGTCTTTGCATGTTGGTTCCCTATGGAAGCCTGTGATATCATTCCCACTCCAACAGCTCGCCCTCTTCTCCTCCGCAGACCTCCAAGGACAGGCGCAGGATGGCCCCTCACCCAGGACCCCTCGCCAGGACCCCATCCGCCACCTGCTGTGCGCCGACCCCGCCTGCACCCTCTGCGACAGGGTGGCTGTGCAGGCCAGACGGCTGGCGTACCCCAGAGGACGGGGCCTCCCACCTTCGCCAGCGCCGCTGGACCCCAACACCTCGTGCCTGGAGTACTCCAGCTGCCTAGACGTGTCCAAATCGCCCGCTTCTGTCACTTTGCTCAGGAGCGACAGCGAGCCTGGCCCTGCCGGCAACCTCTCCCTTTCCACTCCGGGAGCACCTCTTGCACCCTGCACGGGTCCTCACCAGCTCAGGACCCCGAAGAAGCAGAGGGCGGCGAAGAAGGCTAAGCAGGAGGGTCTCAGGGGCCTGGAGGAATGCGTGTGCTGCTCTGACGACTGGGTGGAAGAACAGGCCGCCCTCAGCACCTCCACCTTCACCTTCTCGGAGATCTCCTTCACCAGCAGGACAGATTACAGCTCCTCTTCTGCTCGGTCCAGGACATCCCTCGAAGTCACCCTCCGGCAAGTCTCTGAATGTTCGCTGAGGATCGAGAGCAGCACATCTTCCAGGGTATGGGGAGAGCCTGTGGAGGAGGAAGCCTTTGTCAGGAAGAGGAAATCCCCAGGGACCAGCCCCTCCAGAGGACGTCCCAAGAAACGAGGGCGCAGCAGGGAGAAAGGGTCTCCTGTTTTTTGTAGGAAACGGGGGTCTCTGAGGGCAGAGTTTGCTCCCACAGACACTCCCTTCCTGACGGAGGCTGCCCGGGCAATCTTGGAGTGGCATGTGCTTTGGAAGCGAGCCCAGCATGCCCTGGGGCTGCCCCAGTCCCTCCTGCGCTCTCTCCGGGCCTTCATGCCCGCTGCTCCAGGTTCTGCCCCTCGAAAGGCCACGGGGGAGGTTGTGGCTGTGACCCAGCCTCAGGCGCCCTCCTTTCTGAGCGAGGACTCCAGGGCAGGACTCGAGAAGCACCTCCAGAAGATGGTGCGCCTCAAGCGCTGGGGGCTGCCGCAGAGGGTGCGGGAGGCCCTGCAACACATGCACCCAGCCGCACCACGGAAAGTGCTCCGGAGCGAGGGCCGAGGGCTTGCGAGTTCAGGGGCCGGAGGAGCACAGCAGCAAGCCAGGGCCGTGAGCTTCAGACCCGCTGGTGCCTCTCCAGTGAAGCTCCCTCCGCCTGCCCAGAAGATGCCCGCCTCCCTGCTGAAGCCATTCCCCCTGGGCTGGAAGTACCTGCAGCCAACAAGCCATCTCCACCCGCAGGCGGAAGCAGAGAGGGTGGCGCTTGCTCCTGAGCGGGCCCGTCTCCAGGTGGCTCTCCCTCCTCGCCACGGAGCCCCCAGGCTGCAGCCTCCTGCCCCACCTCTCCCTGCTCTGGAGTTTGTGGCGTCCTCTGCCTTGGACGGCCTGGAGACCCACGCCCTCCGGAAGAGGCTCCAGCACCAGTGGGGCCTCCCTGGCCTCCTCCAGAGGTCCCTGCAGCGCTTCCTCCCGGCTCCTCCGCCCCGGCCACCAACCCATTGCCTCCTCGTCCCGCGGGGCTCCCAGCAAGTGCGCCCTGCCATCGGGCAGCTGCCCTGCATCCCGCCAGAGACCAAGAAGCTGCTGGAAAGCCACCTCAAGAGAGTGGTGATAGAGAGGCGCTGGGGCCTCCCCAGGCGGGTCTTGGAGTCCCTCCAGCACTTCCGGGCCCCCTCTCCCCCGCCGACAATAAAGCCCAGGGACAGGGAGAAGGTCTCTTGGCCCCAGGGAGTGAAGCGGCTTCCACCCCAAAAGCTACCCACCCTGCCAGAGAGGGGAGCCAACTCCTCCCCAGAGACCCGCTGGGATGCCAAGCATCAGGCCTTGCAGCGGCAAGTGGCCAAGAAAGCCCTGGAGACGCAACTGGGCCTCTTTTCGCCCGTGGTGCGTCTGTCGCAAGAACTCAGCCGCCGAGTGGGCAGAGAGGCCCTTCCCAGGGTCCTGCTGCGGGGGCTGAGACCTCTCCGGCCGAGATCGCAGGCCTTCCCCTTCCTGGAGGAGTCTGCGCTGCAGTCGATTGAACTGAACCTCGTCCGGAAACAGCTGGCCTACCGTTGGGGGCTGCCCACCCTCTACAGGAGGTCCGTGGCCCTCCTGGTCCCCGGCCCTCCCCTCTCACCCACGGCCGGCACAACCACAGCCAGGTTCGCCGCAGCAGAGACCCTCTTTGTTGGCACTGAGGTCCGGGGAGAGCTGGAGTGGCACGTCAGGAGGAAGCAGGTGCAGCACACCTGGGGGGTGCCTGGCCTGGTCCAGCGCTCCCTCCGCAACCTTCTCCTCGCCACCCCCCAGCTGTGCCGCCAGAGGCTTGGGCAGGGGACTGTGACCATCCTCCAGGAGAGGCCCTTGTTCCTCCGCAAGGAAACCCGGCATAAACTGGAGCTGAATGTGCGGAAAAGGGTCGTTCTCCAGCGGTGGGGGCTGCCCAAGTTGGTACTGGAGTCCCTGCGCTTCCTCTTTCCAGAGATGCGGCTCCAGCCCCCCAGGAAGGAAGCACCAAAATCTCCCCTGGCTCTGCCTGAGGGACGCAGCCCCAGCGACCGCGACAGAGGAGGCTACCTGGGGGCTTTGGCTAGTGCCATGGCGACTCCCCGGAAGGCTCACCTGGTGGTCTTGAACCACCAGAAGATGGAGCAGCATGTGGCAAAGAGGTCCGTGGAGGTGCTCTTGGGGGTCTTCCCTCCCGTGGCCCAGCTCTCGTGGCGCCTCGCCTCGCTTTCCACGAGGCCGTTGCTCCCCTGGCTAATACGTCCCGGCCAAGGTGCCCTTCGACCTCGCAGCAGCAGCTTCCTTCCTTTCGTCCGCCCAGAGGAGGTGGGTCAGATTGAGCTAGCCGTTTGCCGGAGCCACCTGGCCTCCCTCTGGGGTCTGGGGGTGCGCTACACGGAGGTGCTGCGGGTGGTGCTCTGTGGGCCACCCGCTCGGCCTCTCGCCCCCCAGCAGATGGGCCAGGAGTTCTTGGAGGCCCAGACACCATTCCTGGCCCAGTCGGACAGAGGCGTCCTGGAGCTGTGCGTCAGGAAGAGACGGCTGCAGCACCAGTGGGGGTTGCCTGCTCTCATCCAGAGGTCCCTGAGGGCCTTCATGCAAGGCTCTCCCCTCCTGCCTCTCCTGCTGACTGGCCGTAGGGCCAGGATCCAAGTGGTTGTCCTGGAGCAGGAGCTGCTCTTCCTCCCGGGGACGACCCGTAACCACCTGGAGCTCCACCTGCAGAAGATGAAGCTGCAGCGGCAGTGGGGGCTTCCCAGAAGAGTCCTGCAGTCCTTGAAGATCTTTGCCCCTTCGGGTCTTCTGGGCGAGGTGGGGAGGGGCAGGCCTTGGACACAGAGGCCCCCACAGCCCCCTCTGGAACAGCTGGTGCCCGTAGGAGCCGTGGCCTTCCCCCAGGGGAGCCGGGGCCAGTTTGACATACAGGAAAAGGCCGAGGAGGAGGAGAAGATCCAACAAGAGGAGGAGCAGGAGAGCGGGGAAGGGTCCTTGAGCGGGAAAGAGGTCGCAGATAAATGCAGCAGCAGCAGCAGCCCAGAGAGCTGGCACGACACAGAAGAGGCTCCAACGTCCCACGAGGAATGTGCCGAATATGCTGCATCTGGCCCAGCCTCCTGCGCCCACCAGGTTGGCAAGGGAAGCAGGACATGCCAGGCGCTAGAGCAAAAAGTCCTTGATGGGGACCGGGCTCTGCGGAGGACCCAGCCCAGAAGTGAAGGCAAAGGAGAGCAAGGAGGCCCACCTCAGTTCCTGCCCATGGGAGAAGGCATCTTCTTGGGCCGCCACAGGGACACTGACAAGAACCTGTCCCTGCTTGGCTCCATCGTGGAGAAGAAGCTGGGCTTACAGCAGGGGATCCACATCTGGCTGGATGACCAGGGAAGGCAGACGGAGGAGAGCCTGCCACGGGGCCACCAGGGGCCTGGCCTTCATGAGGACCAGAGGCATGCAAAGGAAATTGGAGCTCAACATCACTGGGGTGCCATAAGCTATGCAGGAGAAGCCATCACTATGAAGTGGGAAGAAACCCAGTGTTGCTTTAGTCAAGTAGCAGACTCTGCAGGGCAGGCAGGTGAGGAGACTCAAGGCCTGGGTTCAGCCCCCACCCCCAAAGTGCAGCTGCTCCAGGCAGGCAGGATGGAGTCCCGTGTCAGGCTTGAAGAATCTTCTGTAAGGGCAGCTTCATGGATGCCCTCGGAAATGGGCAGAGGGAGGAGTGGGGCGAGAGGCACAAGGCCCACAACAAGGGGGGAAGGGAGAGGCACACTCAGTCAAGATGGGCTGCTTGGAAGTGGAGGACAGAGATGGAGCAGCAAGGAGCAGAGATGGAGGAGCAAAGAGCAGAGATCTAGTAGCAGGGAGCAGAGATCGAGCAGCAGGGAGAAGAGATCGAGCAGCAGGGAGAAGAGATCGAGCAGCAGGGAGAAGAGATCGAGCAGCAAGGAGCAGAGATGGAGGAGCAAAGAGCAGAGATCTAGTAGCAGGGAGCAGAGACTGAGCAGCAGGGAGAAGAGATCGAGCAGCAAAGAGCAGAGATCGAGCAGCAGAAGTTCAAGCATTAAGGAACGGAGGTCGAGCAGCAGGGAGCAGAGATGGAAGAGCAAGGAGCAGAGATGGAAGAGCAAGGAGCAGAGATCGAGCAGCAAGGAGCAGAAGTGTAGCAGCAAGGAACGTAAGCTGAGCACAAGTGACCAGAAATCAAGCAGCAGAAAAAAGAGATCAAAAATTGGGGCCTGGATATTCTGTGGCAGAAAACAGAAATCCGAGGGCAGGGCCCAAAATTCAAGCAAGCGGCGAGGAAGGTCTCGGAGCCAAGTGCAGAGCAAAGGAGGGCGCAGAGGCAACCATTTGCCAAGAGCCCAACCATAGCAGCACTGAAGGACCCAGAATTTATTTATTTACTGACATAGTTACGTTTTATATTCACGAGAGACCTCATTAAGTAAATTCTCTAGGCACCAAACAAAATAAAAAGAGAATAAGAATCTGAGGGTTGTGTTGGAGCCATCACTGGGTTGCATGTGTCCTCTTTTTCTGGGGTAAAATTTCTGTCCAGGTGCATTTTTCAAATTTGCCATTATGTCTCTGGCTATACTTCTCGATGAGACATAGGCATAACTGGGCTTGAAGACTTGCTTTCCTCTTCTCTTCTCCTGCCCCCCCCCCCCAGCAATGTATCACAGCTTCTACAGCCTACATATAGTTATTGTTGTTTAGTCATCTTAGTCGTATCCGTGACCCCATGAACCATGCCTTGGAAACTCTCACTTTCTTCTCAAAGCTTCTCCTTTTTTGTCCATGGAGTTTTCTTGGCAAAATACTGGAGTGGTTTGCCAGTTCCTTCTCCAGGTGGATCACATTTAGTTTAAACTCTCGGCTATGACCTGTCCGTCTTGGGTGGCCCTGTGTGGCTCACAGCTTCTCTGAGTTCTTGAAGCTCCTTCGCCACGACAAGGCAGTGGTCCATGAAAGCGCTACATCTAGTAGGGGTATTTAAAATGAGAGTTCTCATAGCACCCTCTTTTTTGCTCTTCATAATAGGGCAACCCTAAAAGAATCCATAGTCGGCTTAAGAGACAACATCAGCCGATTTCATTGATGAATAATGATTGTAAGTTATATGCATGGATTATGGAAAATCAGCTGAAAAGTGGTGTTAAGGGACTTCATATATCAAGATCAAGCTGGATTTCGACCGGGTAGACATTTGTGTAATAATGTTAGGAACACTATAGACATAATAGAGTATTTAGAGGTAAGAAATGAAAAACAAGCAGCATTAATATTTTTGGATGTGGAGAAAGCCTTTGACGACATTTTGTTTGCAAATTTTTTTATTCATTTCCCAATAATAATAAAAATAATTCATATTGATAACAAATTAAACCAAATCTTACCAAATTCAAAAAACAATACATCCAATTATATAGTCTAAATTAATTTATTTCAATAGGGACTTCACGTGTTCTGCCTTTCAAGAGCTAATATCCATCCTTTATTTTCTGCTGATACTGATCATCTGCTCCAGCAGTCACTGGTTTAACTCTCTCTCTTGTTTTATTTTACCATTCCTTATTTATAGTCGCGTAGGGGACAATTTTCCCATATTGTTCTCAGTCTTAATATTTTAAAATATTAAATATTTTTAAAAAAAATAAAAATATTAAGGCCTTTGACAACATTTTTTGGTCATTTATAATTAAGTTGTTGGAAAAGAAGGAGTCTGTAGATAGATTTGTAAAAGGAATCAAGGCAATGGTTACAGAGCAAACCGCAAATTTGATTGTCCATAATTCTGTGACTGAAAAATGTAAAATATTGGAGGGTACAAGATACGGGTTTCCCCTATCACTGCTCTAGAGATGCTGGCAAGAAGAATAAAAAATTAATAAATCCAGATATAAATGGGATGCAGGTGGGCCAACAGAGCTATAAATTAATTTTTTTATAAGATATTTATTAAGATTTTCAGAAAATTACAATATAAAAATGAAAAATTAAATTAAAGGCCTTTGCTGATGATGTAGTGATGCCCATAGAGGAACCGCTGTCGTGCACCCGGGGTGTTGGAAGAAATTAGAAAATAATGCAGAAGTAGCAGGGTTTCAAATAAATCGAAATAAAACTTAAGGTTTTAAAAAATGGATGCAGGCAAAAAAAAAAGAATTGCAGTTAATCAGCAGGCTGACAATTGAAAAAACTTGGGAGTTTGGTTAACATAAAAAACCCCCAATATATGTCAAGACAACAATGCTAAAACTTGGAATCATCACAGGCTCTGTTTCTATGGGCTGCAAAGACCTAAATCTAGACCGCAATGCCAATCTTTAACAGCAGATGGCAGAGGGATCCAATTTACTGCATTCCTTGCCAGGTTCTTATTTGTGTTCTCAACTCCCCCCCCCCCCCCCTTCTTTCTAAAGTGTCTTCTGCCCCCAGAATTGCCGGCTGGCCCACTTGGCCGGCTTGCCTTTCTTGACAGAGCCGTCTCCAAGTGGACAGTGCTATTTAAAAGGAGACTCAGGCGTTCTGCCGCTTAGCCAGCGTGGCTTGAGAGAACGCAGCCTGCAGCCTTGCTCTCAAGGCCGATGTGCTTATGGAAGCAAGCAGGTGACCTTGAGGGTTTAGGAGAACCGAAAGAAGCCCCTCTGGCGGTGGCAGCAACAGGCCTCTCGCCGCTGCAGGGAGAGGGGTCAGATCAAAGCACCTGGACTTTGCGCTGGACCAGCAGCCTTTCCAGCTTCTATGGGCTCGCCTTGCCTCTTTGCTGCTCCCCTGGTGACTATCTTGGTTGGCCGATCAGCCGGCGGGTCAAAGGCGCCTTCCCAGCTGCTGTGGCTGTGGGATCCTGGCTTCCTTTCCGCTCAGCAGGAGGAAATGGGGGCAGCCTGCTTGGCTATGCTGGGAAGTCCTCAATGCAAGCAGAAGGATGAGAAACACGGAGCAGGAAACGGACCGCTGCCTTCCATGCCAAACCCGACTCCTTTGTTTCTCCAGGAACCAGCTCTCCCAGCAGAGCACAGCAGAGGCCCTTCTCTTAATAAGAATAAGAATAAAAATTTTTATTTATACCCCACCCTCCCTGGCCAAGACCGGGCTCAGGGCGGCTAACACCAAATATATACAGTCATACCTTGGGTTGAAGTTGCTTCAGGTTGAGCGTTTTCAGGTTGCGTCCCCCGGCGACCTGGAAGTAACAGAACACGTTACTTCCGGGTTTCGCCGCTCGCACATGTGCAGACAGTCAAAATGATGTCGTGTGCATGCACAGAAGCGGCAAATTGCGACCCGCACAGATGCGCAGGTGTGGGTTGCGTTCGCTTCAGGATGCGAACTGGGCTCCGGAACAGATCCCCTTCGTATCCAGAGGTACCACTGTAATACATTAAAAACACAAAAACAACCAATTGGTTAAAATACAGTTCAAAATCACATTAAAAATCAAAATAAAGTTAAGTTGGAACCCATGAATCACAACAGTAGGGGTAAGGAATATGAAATGTTCACCAGACCCGGCCACCCATGCTGGTCCCATATGGGCTGATAGGTAAAGCCAAGGGGACCACTTACATACAGGGTAAAGGATTCTTAAAGGATTCCCAGCCCCCCAGTTTCCTTTGCTGGGCACTGTTGCGGGGAGGAAGCCGTGACCCAGATCTCCTGCCCTTCCCCCTTTTAAATAATGGTCCTTACAGCAGAAGGGGCACAATGAAGGGTGGCGCCAGGGAGACTCTCAGCTGCCCATCCTCTCCATCTGCCAAGAGGCGGACACACACAAATGTGCCTTGTGGGTGCGCACCCTGACAGCCCATTCACCGATGACTCCGGAGAGAGCCGCTTCTTCCTCTAGCACCACTGGTCTGTGAGACTCACTCCAGGGTCCACAGGCAGCCAGAGGACAGGGATGACCCCTTGCCATTGCCTCCTGCTCCTGCGTGATTTTTCTTCTGACAAAACAGAAGCTCCAGAAGTTCACAGGTCTGGGCAGTCAGCTCTCCTGCCAGGTGGGACTGGGGCATCACTGCCACTCCTCCTGCCACTTTCAGCCCTGCCATTTCACGGCAGGTCGAACCAAACGTCCAGTGCCCACTTATGCCAGAAATTTGGCCCTTGGCCCTTCCCTGCATGGGCATTTGGCTGGCACTTTTCAGTGGGCTGACCACTTGCCTTAGTTGCTCCTATTTTCTATGTCCATCTTCAGGTTTTATTGCCTCATGAGATGATGTTCAATTTTAGAATGATTTCTTGCATTTTTTTTACAATGTGTACTTGAATTTTTACTTTTTATTTTGACAAAGTAATAATAAAAAATAAATAAACCTCACCCCCCAAGACCATTCCATTGTAACAGTCCAGCCTCCCATAATGTCAATACCTCTTGAGATGGTTTGACCCCTTTCCGTTTTAACAGTACAAATTCTACAAATACCTTCCATATCTCCTCAAAATCATTTCTCCTGCGTATTCCCTGTCTTACCTTAATGGCACTTGTTAATTTATCGTTAATAGCTATATCCCACACCTCTTTATACCATTCTTCCATTTTATATTCTGCTTGCCCCTTCCGCTTCCTCGCTATAATAACTTGTGCAGCTGTCAATCAATTTGTGAGCAAGTCCTTCACAGCCTGCGAACCTTCCACCCCATCATAAATTGATAATAATGCTACCTCTGGATTTTCGGTCAGCTTTAACCTAGTGATTTCTGTTATCTCCTTACACACCTTTTGCCCTCCAAAAGTTCATATTTACACCCCCACCACATGTGAATATAATTCCCGGTTTCCTGGCATCCCCTCCAACATAACACCAAATATCCCTTGTTTATTTGATTTAATCTCCAAACTAATTTATAATAATTTTATTTTATTCTTACGGACATTTTCAAAGTGTGCTTCTCCCATGTTTTCCCCAGCTTAGACTCTTTGTCTGCCCTGTTGTCTCCTTTTCCTCTTTCCCTCTTTTAATTGCTCTTCTTGATCCCCCATTTCTGCTATTATTTTATAAATTTCACTGGGGTTTTTTGGCAATTCTAATTTTTTTTGTACAAAGCACCCTGGGCTTGGGTTTGACACTGGAAGGGCAAGGTGTAAGTGTTCTCAGTTAAATAAAATAAAATTAAGAACAAGCCAACCCTGTCTCTGAGCAAGAGCCATGTCTGCAGAATTGCCCTGTTATGAAAACATGGTGTGTCGCTGCGGACTGGGGTGACATCAGCCTGCCATCGAGTTTCTCTGTTGTGCTGACGGCACTCCAGGAGCTCAGCCTGCACCCTGTTGCCAGGCAATGGCCAAACAATGCCAGGCCCTTCTCCCAGCAGGGCATCTGCTGGAAGTGCCAGCCCCTGCCAGGCTGCACAGGCTCTGAAGCGCTAGTGCAAAGCAAGGCGCCATTCAATAATCTACTGGCTCCCGCAGAGAGCAGGAGGCCACTCAGCTGTTTTGCCATTCAGAGGGGCTTTCAAAGACATGTAGCTGGATAGCTCAGTTAGTACAGTAAAGGTAAAGGGACCCTTGACCACTAGGTCCAGTTGCGGACGATTCTAGGGTTGCGGCGCTCATCTCGCTTTATTGGCCGAGGGAGCCGGCGTACAGCTTCCAGGTCATGTGGCCAGCAGGACTAAGCCGCTTCTGGCGAACCACAGCAGCGCACGGAACGCCTTTTACCTTCCCGCCGGAGCGGTACCTATTTATCTACTTGCACTTGGATGTGCTTTTGAACTGCTAGGTTGGCAGGAGCAGGGACCCAGCAACGGGAGCTCACCCCGTCGTGGGGATTCAAACTGCCAACCTTCTGATCGGCAAGCCCTAGGCTCTGTGGTTTAACCTACAGCGCCACCCGCGTCCCTCAGTTAGTACAGTAGGAGACTCTTAATCTCAGGGTTGTGGGTTCGAGTCCCACATTGGACAGAAGGGTTTTTGCATTGCAGGGGGTTGGACCAGATGACGACAAATCTTTGGGCCCTTATAGGTGTGAGATTTTGCCACAGTGAGCTGGCTAATCCATCTAGTGCTTCAGGAAATGATAGCTGGAGTGCAATTCTTTTTATTTCATTTAGTCAAGTGCAAATGCTGCACAGTGTGTCACATCCAGCAGCAGACCACCCCAAACCTGCCACTCAGTGCATCTTCACCAGAGCAGCCTTGGGTCCTTCCTGGGAGGAGGCCTTCTCACTAAGGCTGAGTTCGTTCTGGCCCTGGCAGGGCAAAGAAGGCTCTCTCCATCTCAGAGGGGTTGGAGGAATGGCTTCCCAGCCAGAGAGCAGCCGGCATGTGCAGGCAGAGTTCACAGGAGCCAAGAATCAGAAGCACCCAAAGATGTATTTACAGGGAACGGAGCAGGGAGGAAGCAGAAGGAGACGATTTACTTGCAGCCTTGATGAACCACTTTATAACAAAAAGGCACCTGGGTTGCTTGCTACATAAACCTTTTGGGAGACTTTTAAAAACAACAGTGAAAAACACAACAGCCCCAAACCAATACTGGAAAACCGTCAGACTAAAACAGAACTAGACGCCATGAGATTGAAAAGGCTGAGAAAATTCCAGGAAGAGCCTTTGCTTGGCACCGTGAGCTTCTCTGGGAAGGACCTTCCATAGCCAGGGGGCTACCACGGAGGAGACCTTTTCTCCTGTGGAAACACCTGCAGAAGGGCCTTTGGGGAGGGTGTCTAGGTCAGGGTAGAAAACCATGGGGAGGGGGATATTCTTCAGGTGGTCTGACTCAAGCTGTGAAGAGCCTTCAAGGTCCAGGCTAGGACTTTGAATTGGGCCTGGAAAGGAGGAGGAGTCGGTGAAGATAATGAACCCTTCTTGATGTCCTCACATTGTCCAGTCCCTGAACTCCCTATTCTGAACTCAGTGAAGTTTCCAGGCCACTTTCCAAGGCAGCCCCCTCCCGCAAATGCAATATTCCCAGCTCCTAATAATAATAATAATAATAATTTATTATTTATACCCCACCCATCTGGCTGAGCTTCCCCATCCGCCACTCTGGGTGGCTTCCAATCAAGTGTTAAAAACAATACAGCATTAAATGTTAAAAACTTCCCTAAACAGGGCGGCCTTCAGATGTATTTTAAAGAGAAGATAGCTGCTTATTTTCTTCACATCTGGTGGGAGGGCGTTCCACAGGGTGGGCGCCACCACCGAGAAGGCCCTCTGCCTCGTTCCCTGTAACCTCACTTCTCGCAGGGAGGGAACTGCCAGAAGGCCCTCGGCGCTGGACCTCAGTGTCCGGGCAGAACGATGGGGGTGGAGATGCTCCTTCAGGTATACTGGACCGAGGCCGTTTAGGGCTTTCAAGGTCAGCACCAACACTTTGAATTGTGGTCGGAAACGTCCTGGGAGCCAATGCAGATCTCAGGACCGGTCTCAGGCCAGCGGCCACTCCGAGTCCCCAGTCTAGCTGCCGCATTCTGGATTAGTTGTAGTTTCCGAGTCACCTTCAAAGGTAGCCCCACATAGAGTGCATTGCAGTAGTCTAAGCGAGAGATAACTAGAGCATGCACCACTCTGGCGAGACAGTCTGCGGGCAGGGAGGGTCTCATCCTGTGTACCAGATGGAGCTGGTAGACAGCTGCCCTGGACACAGAATTGACCTGCGCCTCCATGAACAGCTGTGAGTCCAAAATGACTCCCAGGCTGCGCACCTGGTCCCTCCACCCTCAGAGGTCGGGGTGTTTGTCTCACTTTGCTTCTTCTGCCCATCTGGGAGGGTGGCTGCGAGGCAGAGCCAGCCCTGGGTGGCGTGTGGCTTGGCAGCCGCCCTTGGCCGCCAGGTTCACACGCAGCGGCTGAAGGCTGAGTCATCTCTTCTGCGTCTGGTGTTGTTTAACTGGGCTGCCTCTTATTTGCCTTTCCAGGCACAGGTGGCGCAAAGCAAACGGCAGGGAAAGGGCAAACAGGAACAGGTGCTCAAGCAAAGGCGATGCAGTAGCAGCGAGACTGGTCAGGGGAAGAGGGAAGCCCAGGGCTGAATGTCCTGGCCCCGGCTGCTTCACTCCAAGGACGGCCACACATGCACTAAGAAGGCCATGGATAATAATAATAATAATAATAATAATAATAATAATAATTTATCACTTATACCCCGCCCATCTGGCTGGGTTTCCCCAGCCACTCTGGGCAGCTTCCAACAAGAGATTAAAAATACATTAAATTAGATGATGATGATGAAAGATAATGATTTTTTAAACCTTCTAGTTGCTTGTCACCCAAAAGTCTCCAAGCAACTTGCATGTATATAAAAACACACATACACACACATAACACCATAAGGGGAAAAGGGATGATCATTACTATTGTCATATAATACCTAAAACTTAGGGAAACCGTGTCACAAAGAACACACCCACGGTATGAATGATAGCGCATAACCTTAACTACGCTCAAATAATCAAGAGACCCCTCCCACCCATTAATTAGCAGAAAAATAACCATTCCTGCCTCCCTTTCACTTCCCTGACCCACCCCAAGGTCTGCTGTCCTGCCAGCGGGTGCAGATGGGGGGGGCGACTCCATCCTGCTTCCCCAGGGAGGAGCAGCAACAAGGCGAATGGGGAAAGTGGGGAAAAAAAACCTTTGTACTTATACTTTCCTAGTTTTCACATTCTTTCTGTTCCTTCTTTCCAGGAACTTTGGGTACGGATTATTTAAAATATGGTTTGTAGTCCTGAAATGAGTTTGTGAGTTGGAAAAACATTTGGTTTTTTAGTGTTTTTTATTTTTCGTCTTTTTTGTTGTGTCTTTATTTCTTTTAAAAATGAGGCTGCATTTTAAATTGTATTTTAACCTGTATATTAAATTAGTGTTTTCCCCCCTATTGTGTTTTTATTGTAATTTTACTGGTGTTAGCTGCCCTGAGCCCGGCTCTGGCCGGGGAAGGCGGGATATAAATAAAAATTATTTTTATTTTTTATTATTATTCATTATTTTTACTAGTTTTGATCGTGGATATTATTATTATTATTATTATTATTATTGCTGTGGCTTGTTTTTTACTGGCAAATTAATAAAGCATTTATAAAAAGAAAAGAAAAGAAAGCGGAGCGTGAAATGATTGTTAATGATCAGACAACGAGGCCCACGCTGCGCGCCTTTGGCCCTGCTGCCTCGCCTCCCTGCCTCTTCCCCGGGGCAAGGGGGCTCCGGGGCGCGGGCAGAGCGCCCTTTCTCCTCCCTCCCGGCCGGGCAGGTGCGCCGAGGGGCGTGGCCTCGGCAGGTGCGGCGTCTGTCCGGCCTGGCCCCGCCCCTCCCGGGCGCGGCGATTGGCTGCGCGGCGGCGGCGGCGTCGCCCTTCGCGACGGGGTCTCCGGCGCGCCTCCCGGGGGCCGCCCGCCGCTCTCCGCCGCTCTGCCGCGCCGCGGGTTCGAGTCCCGGCCTGGGCCTGGCGGGCGGGCGGGGGGCATGAGGAGGACGAGAGGCCGGGCGCCGCGCGGCACCGCCCCCCCCGCAGCAGCAGAGGCCCCCGCGACGCCGGAGGAGGAGGAGGAGGCGGCGGCGCCCCGGAGGAGGAGGGCGCCCCGAGCCCGGCCCGCCCCAGCCATGTCCCTCCTCTGCGTCCGAGGTGAGTCGGGCCCGCCCGGAGGAGGGGGGGGCGGCGAGGGGGCCGGGGAAGCCCCGGGGAGAACCAGTAATAATAGGCTCCCGCCGGCGCCAGAGCTGTCAACCTTCCCCCTTTCCTAAGGGGAATGCCCTTCTTCCGAATAGGATGCCTCGCGAGAAAAGGGAAAAGTGGGCAGCTGTGCCGACGCCCCCCCCCCCGCCGAAGAAGGCGCCCCCTGCCCTGGCTCGGCAGCCAAAGGGTTAATGCGGGCGGGGGGGGGTTGTTTGTTGCTTGATGTTGTTGTTGGTGGTGCTGCTTCGGCGTCTCTCTCGCCCCCCCCCCCGAAGATGCTCTTCCCCCCCGCCTCTCCTCCTCCGCCCCCTCGGGAGAGCCCCCCCCCCCCGGGTGGCCGGGGCTGCCTTCTGGACCAAGGGGCGCCGCTTTCTCCTGCCAGCTGTTGCAAAGAAATGTGCCCCCCCCAGGGGGGGTGGGGAGGAGGGAGACGGGGTCCGACCCTGGGGAGTTTGCTCCAGCTCCGCCTTCAAGCCAGCGCTGTCAATGTTTCCTTTTTCTAAAGGGAAATTCCCTTATTCCGCACAGGATTCCTTGCAAGAAAAGGGAAAAATGGACAGCTGTGCTTAAAGCTGTGAGTCCAATAGACCCCTTGACTCCGCTTTCCTCTAGTGCCTGCAGTAATAAAGTGATGGGTTCAAAGAGCTCCCAAAAGTATTTAGATCAACTTTTAAGAAAAGAACTTGTAGAAGCTGGCAGAGGGAGACTTAACGCAAGTTAGAAGCAGCCAAGGCACTTGGTCCTGCGATGACCAAAGTGCTCTCTGGGGTCAGGTACAAGTTTCATTTTAGTGGTCAGTGCTCTTATAGCAGTACAAGGAAGTGAAATGAGGAGCTCCTTAATCTGGTGATGTCAGATGCTTACACACCAGGGCAGCAACACGGAAACAGCCCTCCTCTTACGTGTATTTTGGTAACAAAGGGCAAGTCAGGTGCCTAAGACAGCTCCCCCCCCCCCCCCCGTTGTTGTTTTTGGCCAGGAACTACAGCATGTGAGGCTGCTTCTGAGAAAGTCCATTCCATTGCCAAAAAGCTATTAACTGCCAGAAAGTTATTCCCAATATTTAGTTGGAATCTCCTTTCTTGCAACTGCAATCCATCGACTTGGGTCCTGCACTCCGGAGCAGCAGAAAACAAGCTTGCTCCATCCTCCATGTGGCAGTTCTGTAGATATGTAGGTCTGTACAAATGTATGCGCGTACCCACAACTCAGGATATGACATCACACATCCGATGAATTGGACCTTAGTCCGTGAAAGGATGCTGGGCTGAACTTATTAGTCTATAAGGCA